GTTCTTGTTTCTTCAAGTTCATGGCCTGTACCTGTAATGCCAGCGTCGTCTCACTCTCGTGATCTTCTTTCAACCGTTTATCTTCACGAATGATTCTCACAGTAAGATTTTCTATCTTCTGTGCATCCTTAGGAGTGCATTCCCATGCCATTCTAAACGCTGAGAATCTTGGAGTCAAGCTACTTAGGAGTTTCGATATCACGGACATCTCTGATACCTTTTCACCAATATTTTCAAGCTTCTTGTATATGCTTTCAAACTTCTCGATCTGAACATTGACTGGTTCATTATCATCAATTTTAAAATCATAGTATTGCTGCCACGCACTAGCCGCTGCGTCTTCACTAACTTCACCATACAGTGCTTTTAGCTTGTCCCAAATGGCTTGGGGACTACTACAGTTGATCAGATTTGGATGCAGTGCTTGTTCGACGGAAGTCAGTAGAATCACAGCTGCCTGTGATCTGCTCTTACGCCACATCTTCCACTCATTCAAATTTTTCGCCTTATCAGGTTCTTCATCAGCCCCTTCAACAAATTCTGACAGTTCTTTCGCATCCAGTAGGAAGGTAATACCGAATTTCCACATCTCGTAATTCTTTCCGTCTAATTTAATCAAATTCGCGGTGTCTTTCTCAGTCATTGTAAACAGTTTTATTTCACAGGTAGTTTATACACAAATTACACCAACACACACCAAATTGTTCTCTTGACTCAAACTAGAACTCGTAACACTCAACCACGAACTAACTAGACTCTAACTAGGATTCGCGGATTCACACTTTTATTTACTGCTTTATTTATCAAATAAAACTCGTGGCGCAGTGGAAGCGTGCTGGGCCCATAACCTGTTAAATCTAGTAATTGATGACACAATTATTAGGTTTAATATCTGAGTTTTATTTATATTACAATAAGGCAGTATACAAAAGTATCTATGACAATGAGTAAGTTGACCGCTTGCTTCAAGAGGGATCAGCTCGACTGACTCTACTCGTTGATATCGACTTACGCCTGTAACAGAGAAACAATATTAGGGGTTCAAGGAACTATGGAAGGGGAAGGGTCAGGTATACAAATGCAAGAGTACTGTACTTGCAAGTACTGTATGTCTGTTGGAACTAAATATATTTCCAACACAAACCGCAACAACCTCGTGAACATGTATGTAGGGGTCGATTGGCTGCTTGAGTTAGTATTTCTGCACTGCGGGTGGGTAACCCTGCTTTTACTCTTCCCATGGAAACTCAACTTTCCTGGAAAAGTAAATAATCTGTTTAAGAGACTTATTGCGTAAATCTTGAATCGCTAGTATTCAATGCCCATGTTTTACCAAATAGGAATGTCCAAAATAGCGCTGTTTTGGATTGTCGTTAAGTCCGTTCTATTTGCTCCTATAGCTGATAATATTAAGTGCGCACTGGGCCAGGCTAGTAGTCATCGCTTTAATTCTGTTCTCCGTGAAAACTTTTAGAAGGTCGTCCACGATCAGACACCACAATAGAGGTAGAAGCTTGCGACAGTGAGTATACTCTAAGACAGTTTCCGGCCGACTCTGGTTGTTCGAACCGTTCGACGTAGCCTTTCACTGATGAATATTTCTGTAGATCCGGAAAAGTGTGTCTGTAGTAAAACACTCAGGCTTTGGTATACATCTTATGTGTATTCACCGTTGGTTTTTTTAGTAGCCCTATGTCATTTCAGTGGTCCTTTGCCAACATCTTTTGTTCTTTTGCTGTTGGGACGAGCTGATTGATCCCCTCAAAGAATTTCAGCCGGGTTTTGCGCTTAGACTTTCTCAATTCCTTAATGAATTCAGTGAGTGCGCTTCAATAAGCATCCCAGTTGCCTGTTCGCTTTGACTTATTGAAAGTTTTCCTTGCCGTTTTCTTTAGGCGCCCAAGTTCAGCGTTCCACCAGGGCACTATTCTGGACAATTGTCTCTTTTTTACGAGCCTACTTCTTTCCTAAGTATTTTTGATTATGTTCATAATATGGGACGTTGCTGCTTCCAGTTCGTTCATGTATTAACCTTGAGGTGTAGCCTGTTGGTTTCTTCCCTTCGATGCTCACGGTAGAGTTCCTCGTTGGTGTGCCTAGGTTTTCGGCACTCCTTGTTTCAATATCTACCTCATCTAAGCTGAATTCTACTTTTTAATGGTTTGTCACTTTTCGTAAACGCACCGGCTAAGGTTAGGTCGATAACCTCTTGTCTGATGGCGTTAATACAGGTGTGTTTGTTACTCTCATTAACGACCTCTACATCGTTATGAAATAAATGTTCAAGGAGTTGCTTACTTCTAGTATTTACGTCCGTGCTGCCCCATACTGTATAATGAGCGTTGGCATGGCATCGCAGCCAAGAATGTAGTGACTGTTATTCCCCTTGTACCACTTCACAAGGTGTTTGGTTGCGCCTGATAGGGGTTGACCTCGTCAGCTGGGTGATTTATTGAGGCCATGATTATATGCCTCTTCCCGCCTACTGTTGGGATCTCCACCACTGCCACCGCCTGGTCTCATGTGGTGAATTCTGAAATAGGATTATGTTTAATGTCCTTCCTGAGCATTAACACTGCTGCTGGCCTCGGACAATTGGGTGGGTCTCCTGCTTCTTGAATGTTCCGGGTAAAGCGCTGAACACCGCCTTTGAATGGTGTTAGGTTTTTGGCACACCAACACCATGCCGGATAACGGTTTTAAGCTTGTCCTCTCGATTTCCTAGGCGGTTTTTCACTTTTATATTTTCGAGAAATGTCCTTTCCCACTGGTTCACCCGGCTTCTTGCTGGAAGGGACATTTACCTCCTGTCCAGGAGTCGTGTTTTCCTTAGCGTGGCCAAAGTCGTAGTTGACTTTAAAACCAAGGTCTGCTAATGAAGCACTCTCCACAAGGAGTTGTTTAGCTCGTTTTGAGCCCCCATTAAAACCAGGACCCTTTTGGCTTTCTTACCTGCACTGATTGGCAAGTAAACGAAGATAATTTTGTGGTGCTACATTTCAGCTGCTTCAACTACTCTCACGTCTACTCCTTCCCATAGTTTGAGTTGGGCTATTAAGCTCCTTACCCAATCCAGGCCATTGAAGAGCCTGCAAAAAGGCGGTTCTTAGTGCGAATATTACGTCCAGGATGGCTTTTCAAACAATCTTTACCTGGCTTTCATTAATTTGGATACGGGGAAATCCTTGTGGGATAACCATAACCTTCACGGTGTTGGCCAGCTGGATGTATGATGTTCCTGCGGAGACACTCGAACTGGACGCAATAGCACGGGACATAGACACATCCTACCTTCTGGTACGCTGCTCCAGACGTCTTTCCGGAGTGCTGCCATCAAAAAGTGCTGCCTCTTGTCCGCTTTCGCGCCCCTGGCCACGTCTTCGGACACCAGAGGATTTAAGAGCAGTACTGGCTTTACTCTAGGTTCCTCTTCCAACATACTACCTTTGATAAGGAACTTCATTTTCTTCCTCCCCGCACCGCTTAGCCTAGCATTTTTGGGGTGTACCGTAGCCTGTTTTAAGTAACTCCTCATCGTTGCAGACTAGAAGTTCGTTTTCCTTTGTCAGGGTTGTGAGCGTTCGAAGGCTGCTTAGCCCTTTCGGATGGGTTGTTAAAATTACTCAGCTTATATACTATTACTTCTTCCGCTTATGACGTCATGAAGGGGCATATTGCCCTTTACTAATGATGCAGTTTATTCTGACGACCCGGATGGTCCAGGCGGTTAAGCCAAGACTCCACTATCTGCGAGCGAAACATGACCACATTCGGCATCTGGTTAAAGATTAAACCTGCAAGATGGCTTTTCAACCTAACTATTGCAGGTGGCTCACGACACGCCAGGCAAGCAGGGTGATTATACGTTTGGCGTAGCAGCACGAAGGTATAATCTCACATCCCATATCCTCATAGCGTATATTTAAGATCGACTCTCGCGTTATCAGAATAAAAAGAATAAATTCATGTACTCGCAGGGTCTCTAAGATAAGACCCAATTATTACAGCAAAACTTAAAAAAAACAGGACGCATATTTTTTATTTTAATTCTAAGTATCAAAATAATCCAATAGCCGTCGTAACCACTGTAGGAATCTACAGCAACACATGTTCCAAAAAATTTCTAAATCCCAAATTTTCAATTTATCTTCAATTATTCCATTTCATTACTTTACAACTCTTGTAAATTGATTTAGTATTCCATCCCTTATTTCTTGAATTTCCCAATATTACCAGACGTTCCAAAGTTCCAAGTAGCGCTGTTGACCAATTGATCGGTCAGTGCTAAACCATATTTCCGATATTCCACCAATCAACAATAACCAAACTCCTACCCTTACTCAGTACCCCTACAACGATTTGCCAAAAATGGGTGTTTGGAGAAGGCATCAATCAGATCATCAACAACGAAGAGTTCGACAAAAGGTTTGGTTCACGACAGTTCATCCAGTTCATCAACAACAATCGGTTCATCAACAAGAAACAATTGGACACAAGATTTGGTAAGATCCAGTTCATCAAGAACAGTCACTACACAACAGTGCAATTTGTTATTCAATCAGCCGTGTTTTCCCTTTGTTAATAAAACTCATATGAACATAGTATTTCGTTGATAAGAGAGATTCGCATTAATACAAGCTAGAGCCCCGTTACAACACCCGCACCACTAATTCTCAGATAAACACAGAAGTTTTATAATCATTTCTCGCGTAACGCATAGTTAGCAAAACACAGTAGTCATTAACTGACGATATTTATCACAATTTTAATCGATAAAATGTAATGCAATTACTTTAATCGAAATGAATGAAAGAAAGGTAGCAAGCTACGTGCAAATAAGAAAAGACCGAAACGTTATAACTTTCATAGCACGCGTGCAGAATGAAACTGGTCAAAGAGATAAAAAAGTTGTTTATATACGAACACTGATAAGCGTGCGAATTTGAAAACAAATTTCATTCATGCAACAGAATTAATTTTCAAATAAGTAAAACACGTGGTTTAAATTTAGTGTTTATTTACAAAGTTCTAAAATTACAAAATGTCTATAAATATTATCTACACCATTTTTTTCTTTCATTTGCATGTTTGCTTGCATACAGCCTTCACACAGCTACAAAAAAGTTTCATAGCATAGCTTCAGCCTTCTTGGCATTGCTTAGTTTTGTTTAGCTTCTTATTACTCTTGCTTGCTAATGTTGCGCTTGCTAATCTTATGATTCGTAAAAAAAGAAAAAGTAATAGTAAAACACATCACTTATAGATATATACAGTTACAACGTGTACGCACACACAAATCAGAAAAGAAACCAACATAATACATAATACGGTTGAATGAGCAATCGTTCAGTTTCATAATTCATAAACAATTATTGTACGATTTTGTCCGCCAATGATAGTGTTCAAATTTTCCAAACGTTTTAAATAAAAAATATAATAAATTTCCCTAAAAGAATTTGTTATACGAACGAGCTAAGTAGAAAACATAAAATCATCCACAGCGATTAATCGTAAAAACACCAAAACCCTGAATAACATAGAAATCCTCTTTGTAGATGATTTTATCTTAGATTCTTTAGTTCTCTTGCTGCTGAGCTCTTTCTATGAATGTCAATTCATCGATGGCAAGTTTCTAATGTGGTGAAAAGAAGAGCGTATTTACAAAAAATGTCACTAATTAAATTATTACAATTACGACAATATAGTAGAAAGTAAAAGTGAAGAAATACCGGAGGAACGAGAAAAGAAAAAGAGAAAATAACATAAGTTGTAGTGATATTAAGGCAGGTGATAAGCTAATTCGTGCTCATAGCTGATGTTTGTGCTATCGGTGATAACGGCTATCCTAGTAGGTAGTGGGCGCTCCTGCACATCCTCTCGCACTTTCATTTATAAGCAACTTCGTGATATCGGCGTCTTTCCCATTTTCATCAAAAAGACAAAAAAGATGAAGAAAACAGGCAAACGCCGCGCGTTAATCTATGTACATATCCAACGCCTAAGCAAGTCTTAATTAAGTAGTAGTTATTTAGGACGGATGGTCAATGGATGTCGATGCGAATGCCGATGAATTGCCAGCACGTGCACATTGGAAGACGGAGCGAGCGATCATCAGCGAGCGCGCGATGACGTCGTCCGTTGGCGGTGGGTTCCGTGCCTTTTATGGAGGCTATTAGACGATAGAGGGCGGTGGTGGCGCACGCGCTCGATGATGCCGATGAGAGGTGACTGATTGACTTCGATGGATGCTAGGTTGTTGGAACTTAGATCAGGGCGGTTATCAATCTCGCCTTGAAGTTGACAATCCTTTCGCTCGTGGAGGCTATGCGCTACAAATCACAACAATTAAATTAGTTACACGTTTACTAACGCTACAGATACAAATGTCAATTAAATAATAACTAATACTTAACACTAAACTGGTTTCACCGTCGTGTAATGACTACTTATATGCAAAGTGCAAACGTTTATTGCTCCAGTTTTCAAACCGGAGTTGAAACGGAGAAAAATGAATCGTGCATGCAAGGTGATTGTGAGTTGTGAGCGTGTGTTACCCTTAAACGAACCGACGCCAACGTGGTGTGGTTTCTTGGGAAGGCCGCGCCCGAACGTTAAGCCTTTCTAAATTCTTGCGGAAACTTACACACTTTAAATTGAATTTATGCGAACGCCGGGATCTCGTTAAGCAAAGTTACATAACATAAGAGACACAAAAAGGGTCAAGTAGATATTAGTAAGCTAAATTTCAGCATTCAGGTTCTCTGTTAGTATAACTAGTAAAACAAAGCAATGATTACGTTCAACCGTGTAGATGGCGTTCTACGTTCTACGTGAAAATAATGAAGCAATTCTGTTTTTCGTTACCAAGATCAGGTCTTGAATGAGATTGGCGATGCCTCGGTTTGCGAGTACGAAGAGACGAGTGATGGGGCCGGGAATACCCTCAGTGGAACCCTTGGCGACGTCGATCTCAACCACGCCGCCCGGACCGGCCGGTGCGTTGTCCTTCTCGTCGGATTCCTCGGTAGCGCCCGAACCAGCAACCAACTGTACAAACAAGCAATTAGTAACGCAATCTATCAACCTTAACATTTGTTTTCCTATTCTACATGTGGTTTGGATTAAGTGATTAGCCTTCGCATACAAACAAGGCTTGCTACGCACAAAATTCCAATTTATAAAACTATTAAATCCATATATACATTTACGTGGCACTTAAATTAGAATATGTTACAATATGTTACACCCTTCTGCATTTGATTAATTAACGCACGTGTGACGCACGTATCCTTAATTAGAACCGCGGAATAATTATGCGATAATTGTGACTGGTGAATGTACAGAGTGTGTGCATTGGTTGTACGTGCATAATTACACAATGTGCGCCGCGCAATGTAAATTTAATTTCCTAATCGAATCCTTGCTCGGACTCAATCGGCGATAAATCTGACAAAATGAAACAATGCTTCACGCGTGGCTTGCGTCCAAACGATTCCTAACTATGTACAGACAAAAGAGTCAATAAAATAATAGCACAACCACAACGTGCGCAGAAATTAAACAGATTTATTGCTGTTTATGCCTTTGCGACAATCAATAATAATATTGCAGCATTAGAATGCATTTTTTAAATGAGTTTTCTGCCGTTTTCGTTGATTTAATTAGTCAGGTGTTGGTTTTATTCGCGATACGTCCTTGTAATATGTGTTGCATAACGTCGCGCACCATCGTACCAGAATTTACGGTGAAATTATTCAAAATAACCGCCATTACGACACGCAATGAAATTAATTTTAATAAATTCCCGTTGTGCTATGTGGTGTTTTGCATTTGATTGAAATATAAGTAAATTACTCGGTGTTATTTAATAAAAGAATTGAAAATATGCGTAAGTGTGACGGCGGAAATGACTCAAAATGGCTGTAACAGTGCGCCAGCGCCATGTAACAGTTACCGTTGCCGTTTTAATGCTCGATTTTGCATGTGTTCCAGCCGAATCGTTTCCTTGTTCTCGAAGAGTTACGCAGTCGATTACGATTTGGGCATTTTTCTAACCGCGATGAGGTAACACACAAACACGTATCGCCTTCATTACGATGCGTTGTTTGTTTTACGACGCGGGAGTACGACGACAAGATGATGCGCGATGTGAAAGGAGATGCTTTCACTTCCATCCGTCTCGTGTTAAATGTGAACAACCCAACGAGCATATGTGCGCGTCCGATTGGAAGAGAGTGCGCACGAGAAGACGCAACTTTCGTTTTCGCGATCGCAAAATAGCAGATATCGAACAATGCCTACGAGCGGACAATTTACATTATGTACATTTGCATGCTGATTATCCAAAATGTTTCTATTATCTATTATGTCGAGGTTTTCTTTTTACACAGGACTTTATTCTACAATGCACTCAATGCAATTATATGGACAATACTTACCTTGCCGACCTTGGAATACATTTTCCATTTGTTGGATTGCGTTAAAAATTATTTACAACAAATTGTCAGGGCACAATTTTTACTACGAATGTACAAAAATGTTTTTGGTCTACATGCGTAAATTTTACAGCAACTACTCAATCGTCGTTTGTCGGCTACATGTTACTAGATGGCGCTGTTTGTCAACAAGTCGCCATTTTAACAATTGAATACTAAGTCAGTTTTTGTCGAGTCAAATGTCTTGTTTGTCTGTTATGTCTGTCTGCTTGTCATCGTCGAGAGGATTGTCAGGAGATTTGGACGATGAATAAAGATTGCGGCTGTTTGGGAGCTGAAGAAAAAGGAAGATTAATGAATTAATCGAGCACAAACATTAATCAAGAGAGTAAATGTAGGAAGAGGCAGCAACACAGTTAACAAAGAGATCAATGTTAGCAAATCAAAGAAAATCAGAGCTAAATGAAAAGAAGTAGTAGCGAAACAACCAGACATTATAACATTTGTTGTGTGTATAAACATGCAACTCAAATTTCGCAAATGTTTGGTAAAAATGTAAAAGTGTCGAATTTAAAGTGAAATCAATACGAAAAAAAACTTGAATCAAAAATAAAAAATCACGAAAACACAAAACAGTTGAATTAATATAAATAAAAAAATATGCATAAAATAGTATTAATTACATAATGAAAAATCGAAAACCGAAACCGTGCCGCTGGTGTATGTACACGTTGGAGAAAAGTTTAATAACAAAAATACCACGTACAACAACAACAAAAAACAATATCACAAACACCGTGGCTAATTAATAAAAAATGATTTGTACAATTTGCGATAGAAAACAGCGTGAAGTTTAGAGACGTAGAGTAAAGCACCAACTAACGAAAGTTCAACCACTAGTCAAGAAGTCAAGAAAAAGAGACTGGATCGATTTTGTCACAAGAAAGTTGACCGAAATTTTCTTACAATGCTTTCTTCTTTTCTTACAGAAAAATTTCTTGTTTAAAAAAAGTTGTCAAGTGTCTTGCGCCAAAACGGAAAAATATAACGAGAGTTAATTAAATTAATTAATCGAAAGATTATCAAGCTATGTTGGAGGTGTGTTTGAGGGAAGATTCGTCTTGAGGATAGAAAATACCTGAGGTAAGAACGTTCTCGCCGAGGAGGCAGTTGCTGTAAAACCGAGTCCGACGTTTTCAGTGCCTGCAATCATGCGGTACACGGTGCCGGCCGCCCTCGCTGCTCCGTCCGCGGTGCTCTAAACAACACCCAAAAACATATGTGGGACAACAACACATCTCAAACAATCATCTTCTCTGTCGATTAATAAGTTATTACACACAGCTACTAACATGGCCACGTCGTATTTCATCAGCTTAGCCGATAGAGGGCGTAGTCTGTCACGCACAACATTACTGGTATTTATTTTCAGAGATATTGCATTCGTTCGATCTAGTCAAGTAGGTGAAAGCGATTTATGTGATACTCTTGTCTAAGTATATGAGTTTTCGTCGGAGTTTTGCGATGGCGTAACACAGCAAAATTGATACACTTTGCATTCATTGTGTCACGTAACAAAAACAAGATGGCGGCGGGTACAAGTTACAAGAATGTCGTTTCCCGACGACGACAACAATTGCATTGCATTGCATTGCACTACATGCAATATGCGATATGATTCCGTTTGGAGCCGTATTTGGACATGTAGGTTCAGATTCGGCGGCGATTTGTCGTAAGTTAACGGCGTCGTTAACCGTTTCTATTATATTTTATTCTTCGTGCTCGCGTTTCGCGAATCGCGAGTGCAACCTTCGAGATTGCGCAAAACGTGCGGCCGAGCGCGCGGACTTTCGCGCGCGCGTATTGTGGCATAATTAATACATATTTTATGCATTAATTTCATTTATTATGTAGTGTTCTGCAATCGGAGTAGCTGCCGACTAAATTAAGAAATCGCAATTCGTGAACACCTACAAGATTACCTTTCATAGCTAATACTCTTTGAATGATTGATTTTTGAAAAGTGAACGTAAAAATCGTGATGAAAAGAATTAAACAAACAATTCTCGATTGAATCAACATCTCTTACTAGGAAAAAATAAATAATTATTAATGCAGGCATGCGTACGTAATAAGTTTTAAATGTCAATTAGTTGGTAAAATGAGGTCTTGCGCGATATTTTAATAAATCGCCGATTGCACAAATCAACACGGATCGCTTGCAGATCACCTTGACACCTTGACACTATAAAATTTCAGTTTTACGAACCCAAAAACGCCGTTTAATTAACAACAGGCCACATTTTGAAACGATTTCCAAAAAAAATTCACACACATGCGTAAATGATTTATGGAGCTTCCTCGTCGCGTTGTAAATAATCATTTAGCAAGTGGGTATTAATAGTTTACGGCCAGATCATTAATTACAAGTATTGCTATGATGCGCCTCTCTGTTCTCACTTGGTGTGGCAATTTTTGTTCGACGCTTTTATGAGCGAAAGTGAACGAGCGCTTTACGAGCAACTGTTGTTGAAGGAAATTGAACAGAAATGCACTCATATTATTTAATTGTAGACAATATAAAAAAATAGTATGGTAGCTAGTGTTATGCTATTAATTATGCAATTTACACGCAAACATTTGCGTGCCGATTTTTACCTCCTCATGAAAGTCTAACAAAGTAATTATTTTAATTTAAACTGTAACCGTTGTAACCTTCTCGTAGAGTTATTAATATTAGTCAATAATACACAATAACACAATATTAATGGTTAAAAAGGAGGAGAAACTTCTGATTTCTTTTCTTTTTCTCTCAGAAATTGTACATGTACAAGTTTGCTGTTTGTTAATCGTTGCTTACCCGAATAATATCGAAGAGGAAGTTGCCGGAGCCGCCGGCCGAGCCGCCCGCGGAGGCGGACGCGCCAAAGCTACCACCGAAGGGCAAGAAGCGCTTGTCGCGGTCCGCGTCGTCCGCCTCCACATTAGACAGATCATCAGAGGGGTTCAACGCATTACCGCCGGAGGCGGCTGATTCCTGATCGCTGGCCTTTGCGTCTTCGGCTGCTCTTATCGTCCTTTCGGCTGTTTCGCGCTTTGATCGCGTTTCGCTTGCCGGAGACTGTAAAATTATCAATATTTAGTCATTTAAACCAAAAACTATAAAAAATAATTGACATGAAATGAAAACAATGCAGAATATGAGATAAAAAGCGAAGCAATGCATGCAATAATAAGTATAGTGTAGGTAATCAATGTTAATGTAAGCTTTGTCTCGTGTACGGTTAAACAAAGCTTTTAAATAAATAAATAAAAAGAAAAAAAATCAAAAAAAAATTAAAATCATTCCACAGAGTCATAATTCATGATGGAATGTTCAATGAACACGATTAAAACGATTGAACGACCAAACGCTGTCAAAATGGTTGGTCTTGAAAACAAAATAAAAAAAAAGGACGACTGAATTTCGTTGCATACTGTGTACGGTGCAGTGTCAGAAATGTGTTCGGCGCTAGTCGCCAACAGGTTGCGCTTGTCGTCGATGCGAATGTTGATATCTGCATTGTCGACTGATGATGATGTAGTAGTAGTAGTAGTAGTAGTAGTAGTGGTGGGGGATGAGCTACTAGCCTCAGTAGTACTGCTGCTCGCCACAAGATTGTTCGACTCCTCCTCTTCGTCGTCATAGTCGTCGTCATCGGGACCAAACGTCGGCAGGACGACGCTGACCCGAGACCCACCCGAGCTGCTACCGCCGCCGCCACCTCCTCCGCCGCCAATGCCAAGCGCGCCGCTCTGCAGCACCACTCGTCCGATCACTCTAAACGCCGTGCTGGTCACGTTCTGTATTACGTTATCTATCACCTGGGATTTTGGACATATTGTACTATTTTTTCTTGCCTCTTGCATAGAGACACATAAGTTCATAAAGTTTATAAAGTGGCATGCGTAATTTAGTGAGTAATTTGAGCTAATTGCTTACGCAATCGGAAATTTTGTAATTGCATCTCGATATTCAGCAATAAATTCAATTAGGAAATAAAAAGCGTGCTCTAACAAGGTTTCCGAATGACTTAATCGAAGAGTTTTTATTTTTATAATTTAATTTCTATTTTTTTTTATGATTTACTCTTAACGGAATGCAAATGTTGATCAATATCGAACTCGGTGCGACAAAAAATGCACCGCTGCGTTTATTCATAACTGCTTAATAATTAGAAAGTGTTTGTCGCGGCGAGTGGCAAACAAAACACAAAAAGTAATAGCGGCGCGCGCGCGTAAAATTTCGAATTTTAATGCGGCGTTACGTAATCGCGTGAGACGTGTGCGAAGTGGAAGTGAAAAGAAAAGTTGGTCAACCGATCACTTTATAAACTCCAATAACTTATACATTCAAATATTCAAAATCAATAACATACATGAGACATAACAAAAATGAGAGAAAAGTCGAAATCATCTCTTGCATAAAACTGTCATAATAGTTTTTTTCTCTTCTCAAAAAGATCAAGTTCTTCATCAAATTAATTATTTACCTGAAAGAGTTGCGGACAATACTGGCGAAGCAGTTTAATTTTATTATTAATTCCGTTGACGATTTGCGTCGTCTGAGCGCGCGTGTCCACTCCATTATCCTGCGGAGACGCACATTTAAATACAACCCAAATTACAACATTACAACAACGCATGCGTTTACGTTTAGATACTGGTGATGTGATGATAGTCCACAAACGCTTGGACTATTTGCTTTTGAGATGGAGATCTAGTCGTCAATCGACTGTTCAGATCCAGCTGGTTTCAATGTTGCATGCCAGAAACATAACCCTACCGCTAACGAGGATGCACAAACAGTTACATATATATATTATTGAAAAACGAATGGCAACACTGCAACCCACTACACACGTGTGACTGCACAATTGCATACATTTAACTCGTCAAACATTATGTTCGATTGTGTGTGACATGGAAGTAGGTAATATAAGTACAAGCAATTGTTGTTACTAATGACGGTCATAAACAAAATCGACGTTTAGAGATATTTATTACGCTGTAAATAATCATGAGCATGATTTCGTGTGCGGTGTGTCGCCGACGGCGTAATTTGTGTGTTTTTCTTAGTCAAACAAGACGCGCAAGTTAAAAACGCGTCAATTTGAACCATTTAAAACATCCGTGTTGGATTAAAATGAATAAAAATTCCAAAAGTGAATTTTAATTATTTCTGTGATGCAATACGTCCGCAATGACACACGACACAAGTTTATCATCCTTTAGCGATTATTATCATTGTAGTGGTACGAGCATCACGTGCGTCGCATCGAGAAAGGGGAAACTTTCACTTATTTTACTTTCTTCTTCGACTCGTCGAGTATTTCACGTTCGGAGGATCCGAATTAAATGCTGAGCGTGATAACGAATCGGCAAAATCACGAATTCGGACCAAATTTGTCTCACAAAAAGAAAAACATTCCTCGTGTTCACCAAACAAACCGAATCTAATCATGCACATCGTCTGTTTTTAGTTCGTGGAAGAAAAGTTTTCAATGTGATAGGTAAGCGAATGTCGAAGCACTTTCGTTTTGTAATTTTGGCTTCAAATGAATTTTAAAACTAAATATTATCCCCAAACCCGTGCAAAAAACTCACCAAAAACCATGTAAATCATGCGATTTAATAATTAAAACATGCAACTATTGATGATACAAGTTTCAGGTATAAAGTAGACGTGAAACTTTTTGAATTAATTGATTGATGATAACGTACCTGATCATTTTGTGGCATAGGCGCGCCATTCGTAAGAGCAACCAACACACAGAGAGCACACACGACACTTAAGTATTTCATATTGACTAGACTAGGTTATCACTCCTGAAACAAACCAAAACAGAAAATTAATCACTGCACAATAATTAAATTTTTTTAAGGAATTTAATTGCTGGTAAATAATAATAATAAACGTACGAAATGAAATCGCTTTATTGTGAGTGTGTTGAACGCGCCGCCGACCGCTCGCAGCTTTAATTAGAGACTGATTTCGCTTTTTTACTTTTGCTCGGCACGTCGAATCGGTCCGATCGAATACGCGATGGACTTGTGTGCACAAGAAATGGTAACGGAGTAACGCGAACCGAGAGATACCAAAGAGTGTGTTGCAAGTTTACGATGACGACGACGCCACAACGCGCGGTTTATGTAAGTCCGGCAGGTAAATCATACGGATTTGAATCGCCAACACACTCACATCAGTTATGAAGAATTACCGCAAACAGTGAGCAATTGTGGTTGGTTATATTGCATTTGCTTTACTTAATTTACTTTTACTTATTTACCTACTCAAATATTAAGCTGCAATAAAAATTAATTAAATCGCGTTATTTTCAGAGGGAAAGTGAATGCAAAATGCAATTTTCGATTTTAAGATGCAAGCAAACAATGCAGACAATTACTGTCAACTTGTAAACATTGTGACATTGATTTTTCCACTCTGCGTTTCACGAATTAACGAATTAGAAATTTATAAATGCAAATTTTCTGCTAAATTAATCTCTTATTTCTTGTCTTGCGTAAGATTTGTAAAGTGCAAGAAACAAACATAGAGTTTATCAAGTATAAAATAAACAAATATAGGAATATTCTGCAGATATTTGCTTTATTCAATAAAATTCACTTTCGATTCAATATTTAACTAGCATTTATCCTGCGTAATAGACGCGTACTATTAAATTATAAATTTTGATTAAATCTATATTACTGTAGAACATGTTGACTAGCATTTTAATAAAACTGACCTACAAACACGTCAAGAACCGACTACTTACTGCCCGAGTCACTTTTACTTTCAACTTTACTTTGTGTTCCATTTTATTCGGAATAAAAGTTTAACTTTAAATAAATATTACAATTGGAATTATTTCTTGCTTCGCATGTGTTACAAAATAATTTCTTAGGTCAATTTAAGTCAGTCTTAAGAGTATTAGGACAAGTGTCTAATGAAGTGATGTGGTAACTAGTACTTAATTAATTAAGTGACACGTTCGCGTGCATGTGCATTCATGCCCGGCTCACTTAAGTAGCTATTAACGAATCCATTAATTCCCGATCGCACATGTTCGAACGCGTGTCATACACAACAAAAAGACACAATATTGACAATACCACTGACCATTTTCGGTCTTTTTTAAGTTTTAATTCTCACCCGATGCTGAATTGACTTAAGCCAAACTTTAAGCTTACTTAACTCAACAAATATTTATTTCTTTTCACACTTCCTTGCAATATTAAAATAATTTTAATGAAATTCACGTTATGCAATATCAATATTTTCTTCCTGAAATTAATCCAACATAACTTGTTAAATCTATTAGATCACTAATTGACTGATTAATTTTGTCACCACACTTTTACTCTCAATCGCTAAAGTGATCTAAAATTGTCAATCAAAGTCGAAATCAATTAAATGTAATCGAAAAATAATCGTGAGTAAATTTTGGTTTTGGTTTTAATTTAGTAACAGCCGGTAATACTTGAAACTTAACGCTTTAGTTAACAATTAATTTCAACAGATTACGACTTTACCTACTTTTCAACTGCGTTAACAAACTTTATGCAAACAAACACACAAATAACTCGAATAACTCATGCAACTGTTTTGTAATCCACTTGCTACACAAATCAATATAATAATTTGAACCGAATTATAAAAAAAGTGCAAACTTTTTTTCGCAGGTATGTGTTTCCTAACTTGAAGAAATCGAAGGTAAGTTTAACGCATGCCATATGTTTGGGTTTTGAATTTGATCTTGAGTGCAACTTTCGGTTTTTTTTCGAACTTCGATTACACACATCAAATGATTCAAGTCGTAAACGTACAGCTCTATCCTGACAAGTAAATTGCAAGCCAAAAATAAAACAAATTTACGTTTAAATTTAAAACCGATCGTTAAATAAGTACTTTCATTTTAAGTTTACTGTTTAAAAGGATGTTATTTAAGACGTAAATTTGCAAAATGATTGAAAACCTAAAAAAACTCTTTAAAAAAAAATTGATTTTAGGTTTTAATTAATTACTCAAACACTATTTATGATAAGATAATTATTTTTGTATAAATTGATTTATGATTAAATTCTGCACAAAACTAAATAAATTTTTTGTTGTTAACAATATTTCTGTTATAGTTATTAACAAATAAAATTTTTAATCATAAAATTTTAATATTTTTTATAAATTTGGTAATAACTAGTAATAAAAATAAGCTATAAATAATAACTTTAAGAATAATGATCAAGAATTTAATGCTTAATAAGATTCTGAAGAAATAATTCATTAATATTTAATAGTTTAGAAGTTATTAAATAAAAACTAAACGAATTCATACGTGAAATATTCATCTTGACTCACGATGTTTAAAACTAACCTAAATGGCAGAAATCCTATTATACGCATGCCTAAACTTATTCCTCTCGTCCTTTTGTTAATTCTCCTCTTTAGTTTATAGTTTAGTGCCTGATATTGCGTCTCGTTACGCACTTAAGCACGATTTAAGTGTTGCTCATCTTTAATGTGCAATAATTGTCCCCCTCTTGTCAACATAATGCAATCGCATTCACGCATTCAGCACTAATGCATCGCGTATTATCTCTGCAATTGCTGGACGCTTGAAGTTTGCAGAATTCGCAAAGTTTTCTCGCAAAAGACAAAACCTAAATCCTTTCTTCTACACCTTACCTTGGCACCGATTAAATACAAAATTATTCAATACCAATACAAATAAAAAATTAAATGAATGAATTTTAGTAGTTTTTAGATGTTTGTATTAATTTAAAACTCAATTTCATTGATATCGATTGAAAAGAAGAAGGCCTTGATCGTTCGGCCTTCGAGTAAGTGCACTACTTATCTCACAAACCGTCCACGCTGTCACTAATGATATTAGTACTCATTTCTAGTGTAATTATTTATAAAATATTACGTTTTTACGCGCGAACGTTCGAAAAATATGATTGGTATGCAAAGACAATTTCGCAGCTGACTAGGTGAGTGAATGCGATCGATAAATTCAAAAGACTCGAAGAGAAAGTACGCGTACTTAGTTTACTTTACTAAGTTTCAATTCATTAAGTAAATTCACACAAATAAAATAAATTGATTTGCAAAAATATCGATAAAGTGAAAATAAAACGCGTTGAAACAGGTTTTCGTGATCTATATGATCTACAACATGTAGTAAACTTATAAATTTGGTAATAACCTGTCATTACACACTTTTAACACAGTTAACGAGCAAACTGGACTTGAAATGTCACTAATTAAGTATTAACTATGCCAAATTTAAATCATACGTGCACAAGGACAAAGAAATGTCTAAGCTGGTTGAAAATTTAAATTTCTAAATGACTCACACTCGTATTCCACACACTTTTCACTTATTTCTGTCCAAATATAGTACACTGCAGTTAATATACGTGCAAAAATAGTTAATGATGAAATGTAAACTAAAACTAAATTAGTGTTTCTAGTGCATACAAACCCAAGAAATTGTTTCACTTGTATTTCGACTTATGAAATTATTCTCGAAAACTCTGCAATAAACGTGAAATTTAATTTCGTATGTCGTTGCTATATTATAATAATGTATAATATAATATGCGATGTCTATCGAGCTGGTCTGGGTTGGTGTGTCGCAAGTGGCGCGTTTTTCGTAAACGACGTAAACGCAAGCAAAAGTGAACTGAGCAAGTGAAATTGAAACTGAAGATCGTCTCGATCGGAATGATGTCGCAGTCGGTAGCGCACTGACTCGGCACGCTTTGCGTCCGAGCAATTTGTGTTGTTTCGTCGAACCGAACACACACACAGCTACAATCACCACATCTCCATCCAATCTTGTTGGTTGTCTCTTACTCGCACGTGGTTTCATGTGTGTATTGCATAAAAAAAAGATGACGTCCTTAATTTGCAAGGTTCACACACAATACACACGTGTATTGACAGAAAATACGTATAGACAAGTAAAATTACGAAAATATTGAGGTTTCTAGATGAAATTTTGTTTAAATTTCTTTTTAAACATGAAATAATCAAGTTATTAACTTTTTTTCACTAAAATATAATTTTTTTCACTTTGGAACACTCTGTATTGATTTTAATTTTAGGCAAAGTGCGAAGGTTACCTTAAAATGTAATATTTAAACTTCTACTTGTATGTGTTTAATGACTAACTAATAATGAATGCGTTAAAAACGTAAATAAAGACATGGAAGTGATTTAAATTCTGAAAGAGTCTTATTAACCTTGTCATAATGTGATGAAGTATGGAAGTAATTTCTAGCTATTTTTTAAAAAGTATTTTACGGCGTTTAGAAAGTGACTAAAATTATTTTCATAATTTTTATGTGTTAATTTCGTCAGAAAAAAGCTTTTTATTCATTTAATTCCATTGTTTAAGATGAAATCTCAGCATTATATTAAAATAATTACTCTTGTTATACATAACTATCTAGTTTAATAGCAATTAATTGACGTAAAAAATTGGAGCAAATAAATTAAACTTATTAGGAATTTTACTTTTACTTCATTTTATTTTGTTTTTTATGAATTACTCTAAGACTGTTTATGGTAAAATTATAATTCTTTCAGCCATAAACAGAGAATTAATTCTACATACGCCAAGATTAATGTTTCATAGATACAATCAATGTAAGAATAGTTATAAACAAAAAACTTTTTAAAATTTTGTCAAAAAATATAAAGTTGCGCTAAAAATGCTTTTAATTTACTGAAAATTAATTTTTTTAATGAAATATTTTTACTATTCGACGTAGATTTTAATATTGAATTTATTTATAAAAAATTATAAATATTTATTGATCTGTTATCGAGTTATTCATAGATAACTATACCAAACACTGTAGACTGTAAAAACTGTGCCAACTCTTCATATTCATAATTTCCGGTAATTTGCGATGCAAATATATATTACAATAAACAAACAATAAAATTGCCTTCGTTGAAATAAATAAATAACAATAATAACAATATCAGAGATGTAGATGTGCGACAGAGTTGAAAATTATGAAGATTATGCAAAAAAATACGCCTTATAACCTCGCATTATTTACATTGAATTGTTTACATCTCTCATTATTTGTTTATCAACTGCAATTAAACCAATTAATGCAAAAATGTCTTACAAATCTTTTAAAACACTCGGCATTTCAATTCGTAAACAAAAAGTTACGGAGATATCAATGCCGGAGATCTTCTCAAAATCGTTTAATAAGTCTGCCTAATAAACATAATAGGAAAGTAGCACTTTCACATCTTCAAAAGTTTAAACCAACGCACATCACACACACGAAATCAACAGTTTCACATCTTCAACACGCGGATGCCAGCGTTATATGCACGAATTTTTATTGCAATTTATTTCTCAGGCCTTTTCCTGAGCAAGAAAGTCTTGATTTATTTTTATCTATTGTTGTTTGTTTACTAGCGTACCGGTCCTATTGCAATTTCAAGGTTTTCCAATGAGTGGATATTAATAAGTGTGGGAAAACGTTGATAGATGTCGTGAAACATGCACAAAACTTAATTTTCTAAATAAATTCATCAAAATAATAAAATTTGTAATAAAAACGCGTGGAATTTAATTAAAAACCGTAAAAAATAATATTTTTGATGAGTATATATAAAAATATAACGATTTCATTTGTTTTATAATAAAAAATTTAAAAAATTGAAATTTTTGTTTTGTTTTGTGGATTATAAAGTAAAAAATGTACTTACGTTTGTTTATAAATAAATACGTGTATTCGCACTGCACCACAAGCACAGAGGTTGATGGACACTGCCCGTTACTGAGATAGCAACCGAATGTTGGCACTGCCGAGCGCCAATCTCTCTTTAAACCCAGCGCCGCGCGCGCCAAAGGCACTCTGGCGGCGGTCCGCCAAACTAAAAACACCTACCTTCTTTCTTCTTCTTCTTCATTGCTTGTACAACATACGCATGCGGCGCGCCTGCAATCAGATTCGGGCCAGAAGTTAATGAGTCAATTACGCGTGAGTCAATTGCACACGGTGTGTTTATGTTACAATTTCGGTTATCGACATCCATTGCGCTAGCACCCGCACAATTAAAAGCGCGAGTTGTCTCACTTCCCGAATGCACAAAAAAATACCACGCGGTTTAAACAATTCGCGCCCGCGAGATATGAAATTCGTTGTAATTACATTAATGCAATCTCGGTTGTAGCGAGTGTAATGTGTAATGAAACGACATTAAATGTCGTTTTAATTTTTGGCCACGCGGCGTGTGAGAAATGTTTAGAAATGTCCCAATTACACGCTTGCAAATATTACTCACTTTTAATTACTTTTATTTTTACTTTTAACACTTTAACTGCATGTAAAATTATAGCAATCAGTTTTTAAGTGTGTAAATTTTCTTCCGGTTCGAGTATTTTCCGTATTATCAAAATGACGCAACTGTAAATTAGCTGAAAATTACAGTTTACCTGTAATCTAGCTATACCCAAATATGATTTTATCTAATTTTTGGCTAACTTATCAGTGTTTTAATCAGTTTACACAATAATTTGTACAATTAAACCAACTATTGTTGCACCAAGTGGTTTAAACAACCGTCAAAGTATTAATTATTGCACAATGCTGTAACTAGTTCAATGTAACATCAAATGCGTCAGTGCATTTCCATAATTATATGAAATTTTCAAATTCTTTGAATATTGCTTTTTCTGCATTGCGGAAACTTTGCGTCCAATGAAAATCTCTCAAAATCAAGATAAGATAAACAATACTTTCCAGTTAGGTGTGCGTTAAGACACTTTGTTTATGTGCAAGTGTTGTTCAATCATCCTAAGAAAACCGTTACACAAGTTATTTTCAAAACGCTTACGCATTTCTCAATATTGAGCAAAGTCTCAACCAATAAACACACCAAGTGAAAATGGCACTTGAACAATAACAAATATTTAATATTAATGAACACATCACGAAGAAAAATCACTGATGCGCATAGAAACTCGTCAGGATGAATGAATTTAGAGGTTAGGATGAGCCGTGCATCAGGAAAAAAAACACCACGTTTACTGCCCTCTGGCGGATAAAATTGTAGATTTAATTTGAAAAACATTATCTAAATAAAGTCAAGCGCTTCTATTTTGTATTAATAATTAATATTAATGAATATATTACAAAGAAATAACGCTGATAAGCATTGAAACCCGTAAATATAAGAGAACTTAGAAATTAGAATGATCCGTGCCACAGGAAATAGAAAACACCATTTAGCGCCTCCTGGCGGATGAAATTGAATACTTCTTTAAAATATTAATGATTAATATTCAATAATATTCAATATATTACAAAGACTTAACGCTGATAAGCTTAGAAACACATTAAATTAATGAATTCTAAATTTTGATTGATTGGCAAATCAGAAAACTGAGAAACGTCATTTAGCGCCACCTAGCGAATAAAATTGTAGGTATAATTTGCAATAAAATGATCTAAAGAAAGTCCACATTGCAATATTATTGCTTTTCTTATGTTATACTTTGTTTTATTACTGATTTTATAGTTGTCTGATATACATAATGATAAAATATGTTGTGTAATTAATTAAAATCAAATTAAACATGTTCGAAATTTAAATAAATAGATCCAGGTGCAGATATTGCACAAATAGCAAATAGCATCGCATAATTCATAAAAAACAGCTACTAACACAACCACATTAAATATTAAACATTTCTAGATCAATAAATTCATAACAAACGACAAAATGCAAAAAATAACCTTTTGCAAGCCGTGAAATGCAATAATTGACTCAAATCTAAGTTTGACTATATAATTAGCGTCCATGTTCCGAATTTTCTAGCTCAAGCTAATTTATAAAGCCATTTACACTTTTTTGCATTCAATAATTTTAATATTTTCAATCTTTTGCATTAACAATTGATCAATATCGATAACTTTCGATTGGCTGATTAGGATATAACATGCCTCATTAATTTATTACTTCAGTGATATTTTTTTATTCTTCCTTGATAGAAAACTACGTCATGAACACCGTCCACAGACGAATGGTTTTAATTGCAACATTTAAGCACACTGCTTATTAAATTTATTATTTTATTTATTAAAATTACGTCCTGACATAAATTTCAAGCGGTTTTAGTGCTGTGCGTAGTTGAACAACCTAATCGCAAGGCATCAAAATATTTGTTTCATTAACATTCGCATTTGTCGGACAATTATTAAACATTAATTATTTGTAGGTCCAATTAGTCGTAAATGTAACACGCGCGGAATTAAATTAATATATATTTGCAATTTCGGGTGGAAATTAGATGTTTGAATCAAGGTAGGAATAACACCTTGTCAAACTTGTGTTTATGAATGGTAATATTTGTTTATTGGCCAAATAAAACAATAAGCAAAGTGTTTAATTAACATAAAAGGCAATTAAACTACTGTTGCACTAATAACAATTAAAATGTATGATGTAGGTTAGGATTTTACACATTTGAAGCTCGAAATGATTGTTCAAACAAGTTATGTCAAAACATTGCTTGAATCCGTGTTTTGACCGAAAATTAACCTTAAAATATGTAAATAATTTTGTTTTTAAAACCCTTTAAGCATATGTAACGAGAGTTTTAATCACTAGATTGATTATAAGCAAGCGTAGCGAATGTTTAATCAATCGAGTGTTTAAAAACGTTTAGTCATGAGATGCAAACATTATTTGTTTGACTTCTACCTTATTTCCACGTTGAGGTTTTTGTATTTTCACTTTTGTATTTTAAATCTTCAAAATTCAAAGATTTCAAATGGTCTGGAGCTGCATCGTGGACAAATGCGCATACTCAAGTTCCATCCCGTGACTAAAACACGTGACTTACGTATTTTAGTCACGGCATTGCCCCTCTGTGTTTAAAATACAAATTTTATGTCTCAAAAGCGTAGAGATATTAGCGCTTTGAAGGTAGCTGTAGAAAAAGGGTAGAAAACTACTGTTAACCTATAAACAATAAAAATTTTACAATTTAGGTTAGAATTTTACACACTAGTGCTTAAAACAAATGTACAAACACCTTCTGTCAACATTTTGCTTGAATACATATTTTGACAGCCACCAAACCTCAAAATTAATTATTTAGTACTATACGCATTATTAGACATGCTTAAAACTAATATTTTATGCACTAAATGAACAAATAGCCGTTTATCAAAATATGTCTTTGTGCACTATTCAAATCGATGTATCTACGAGTAAATTATATTGTATGCAAAGCTAATGATTGGCAGTTATATTATGAAATTGTGAAATTCGCCGAGTCGAACATTGAATTAAACAATAATCCACGTCTAATATTCAAAAGTAATATTAATATATTGAATTTCGCGTTGAGTTGTTGCGTAAACGCATTTTTATTCTTTATCACTTGCTCGATATCACAAACGAAAGCTATTTTTAAATTGATACTTAAAACCCACACGCAAAACGAAAAAATCTAACATTTTATGCAAATGTGAAATAAGTAACGTGTACTTAAGTAGTAAGTACTTTATTTTAAAGTGACACCGAAATTTACCTCAAAAACAATTGAGTGTCGTGCGAGTCGCGTTGAGATTTATTTATAATAATTTATATTGTTCTCTGGAGTAAATACACGTTCTAAACTTAGTCATGAAATGATTTAATCTCAATTAACATCAATTTTTATGTAATCAAACGTCAATTAACAAGATGTAACCAGCTGTAAAAGATGTGTACGCAATACCGGCAAGCATTCGTCAAAAAGTCGAAAATCCACGCAATTATTACGAGATTTAACATCTGAACCATCTTCACAACTTCAATTGATGTTAACAGAGCGTAAAAAGATTTATTACATAATTGAATTGAACATGTATCAACAAAATAAGTTGTAACCTTTAAGAAACAGATTTTTTCGGTTGAAAACACCGAAAATCGTTGCACGGTTGCAAACTGTTTCGATTCTTTTAAACAAATGTGTTTTACGTGTTTTAATGGCTTTTAAAATCAAGGTAAACGATTAAATTTCGCAATATACACGTAAAAGGTTGTTGACATGTCGAAATATTCTCATACAATGACAGAAATCACTGATTATTATTCAAAAATTTAGTTTTATTGATTGAATGCCTTCTAAACGCTTAAAAATTAAATAAGTTGTAAACTTTATACAACTCCATGATTGTACTATCTAAATACATAGTAAGTTAATTTGGTTAATCAATTATCTCACTAATTAGACACATTAGCGACATGACTCTGATCAGAATTAGGAAATCATTTATTCATCACCTGTCTGGGTCAAAAGTTTACACGGGAAAGCTTTATATAAAGCGCAATCAGTTAAAACTTGTCATTCAAATCATAACATTCAATACTTTAGCATCAAAATGGCTGAATTTGACAATGAAGATAAATTAAGTTTACCTAAACAAATATTGGAAATGGGACCATCATATTTTAAATATATACTAATGAAACCAACACAGAGACGTATAAGTTACATGTCGGCCATTTTCCTTACAGCACTACGTCTTACAATGGTTGTTTTGGCATTACGTTTACTACCGGAAGCGAAAAGTTTAATGGTGATTATTGATGTTATTGCAAGTGCTTCAGCATTCACACAAGTAACACCTAATTTAAATTTACATAACATAACCTCACATAACCTTAAAATGTGTATAAATTTAAGGGGTTAAAATCTACAGTACCTATAGTATTTTATAAAGAAGAACTTTTATGGTTAACAACGAAATCTGCACTGTTTTGGTCTACAAATGACGAAACAAAATCAATAGAGAGTTTTTACCGAAAAGTAATCAATGTTTTGCTTTTTTATAAACGACTTATCATCGCTACATACACTGCCTACGTGCCGGTGGCGTTTATTCTTCATAAACTACCATTTGTCACATGGATTCCGTCGTTTACAGGCGGATATTATTTGATTTACGCGTTGCAGTTTATAATGTTGTCGTTTGATGCAACTATTGTATGTGGGAGTGATTCGTTTTTTATTGGAGCTTGCTTGAATATTCATGCGCAGTTTGTGATTCTTCATAATCGGCTTAAAAATTTAGGAACGAAGAAAACTGATAGAAATTTTGATCTTAACAATGAAGTTGTTAGATGTGTCAAACAACATAATTTTTTACTACAGTAAGTTTAACTATTTTAATTAATAATTTGTAAAATTGTTTCAATAATTGTTTTTTTAAGCTATACAAATGTTTTAATTCACATGTATTCAATTGGATTAATATTTCAATTTTTTGTCACTACTTATTCGCTGTGTATAGAGATTTTTATCTTTACTAAAAGGTATTTGACTTCATTACCTCAAAAAAAAATTTTTTATGTTAATTTATAATTATTTTTCAGGGATACTGTCGGAATGATAATTGGAGTAATCTATTGCTGCATGTTGACGTCTCAATTGGCGCTTTATTGCTTCCCGGCTGACGCTGTAAATGATATCGTAAGTAAACCATCTAAACACGAAATAATTAAATAAATAAATTCATTAAAATCTGAAAAAAATAATCTAATTAAAGGTTATTTCGCATTGATGTTAAACATTAAGGTACACGACCTTTAATTTGATTAATTCGCTCGTAATTTTATTTATTCAATTAGTTTAAAATGCGTGTCACGTTTCAATAATTATTTCGATGATCCTCGCGAATTTTCAAGGACTTAACACTAAAAACCACTAAAAAATATCACGCAGTAATTAATCTACATTTAGGTGTAGGTACTAAATAAACTTTTTATTATTTTGTTTTTATGTTTTAATTAATAAAAAAATAGATTTTTTATTCCGTAGTCTGAGCAATGCGCAGAAGCAATTTATAGCTGTCCATGGTATGATAACAGTCCGGAACTGAAACATGTCGTGATGAATTGTATGCAAAGATCACACAAACGACTGATATTCACTGCTGGAGGACTTATTGATATTGATAAACGAGCATTTACCAAAGTAAATATAAAAAATAGATTTTTTACAAAAAAAAACTTTTAAAAAATTAATTTTTAGATATTTAAAGGAATTTTATCGTTGAATACATTAATGAAGAATGTTTTTGAGTAAATAATCACAGTCTCTACCTAAAAACAAGGAAAAATAAAGAAAAAGAGGAAAATTCCAGACGTATGCTAATAGATGGAGCTATTTTGCAGGTTATGACGTAAATATCAATAAAATAATTTGCAATTCACAATTTGCAATAGGAAATCCACGATCAATTTTGAAATGTGTGCCGACATGCGTGAACTAGTTTAATAGTTGTTAGATAATATTATAATCCGTAAATGTGACACCTATATACTAAAATATTGATTCTAGGAAATTGTTTAATAATATCATTATAAATAAACAAATATTAACATTTTAATAATAAAATTTTCTCAAATTTTTGCATATTTCACATTTTTTTCTTTAATTTCTTTGAATTTATTGATATTAATTTATATTAAACTTTGTTTAATATTTGTTGTCATTGGAAAGTCATCCATAGCGAATAGTTTTGCATTATTCATGCATCACAATCACCAGGTTCGCAGTAAACGAAAGTGAGTACACTTACACTATCACACAAACCTATACTTATTATGAATATTACGATTATTGTTAAAGTCATAAGATATACGCCTGTTGTCTACAAGTGTATGAGTCAACTTAAATCGACTTAAACATTTCCACGTGTTTCCCCTACAAAACGCACATTCCTCAAATAATAATTGCCTCTGTGGCTCATTATCGAAAAACTGAAATTCGTACTTTCTAAATCTACTCAACTGCACTCTGCACCACATTACTTAAGTCACATTACATTAAATTGTCTCGCAAAAAATGTTGCAAACAAAGCAACTATTACTCATTAAAATTTATTTATTACATTGTCAAAGACAAATATTAGATAACAAAGTTTAAGAAGTGTGTTTTTTTGCCATCTGTATGTGACTTAAGTGAGCAAGAAGTAGGACAGAATGACTATCATGCACATGTGTTGTTAGCGGATTGTTAACAGTGTTAAGCAAAACATGAAATGGCAGCTCATTCGCCTTGATTAAGTAAAAATAAAAAAAATAAAATTATTTCCATTTCAATTCTTTGTCCCTAGGAATGAAATAAAAATAAAATTGAAAGTATAAGTAAGCGGCGTGTTAAGCGACCAATGACACGGTGACTAATGTGGGAAATAATTAATTTTACCATAAATTAATTTATCCCTGAGTATACATTGATAATAATAAAAATAAAACTTTAGTAAAACATAACCTAATTTTTGCACTATGACACTTTGAAAGTCCGTAACCTGATTCATTTTAATATGGTGTTAGATTAAACGTTTGGCATCTTTAATAAAGTTTGTTTTGTACTTCAATATGAAAGTCAGGTCTAGTTGTCCGCTAGGTAGTGATCAAATACGTATAATTTGCCTTCCGCGAGTCGCCCGTCCGTCAAAAAACGCGAGGAACAGCTTTGATTTATTCGCTTGGGTGGCGCACAAATTATAGGATGCGACGCACGCGAAAGACACACATTAGTGCCATTATTGTGAAAACGTCGCTTCCCTTTGTCCGGCAAAGAGGGAAGCGTTCGTATTTTTTCCTACACGCATATAAATATCGATCGTCGTCATTTGTCACATCGCATTCCACGCTAAAAACCCGCACCACACGCATACAAGGGGGTGATTTCAATATTCACGTTCGGTTAGTGTTTCACTTAAACATAAAGTGTGTACAAAGTGTTTTAAAACAGTGTTTATATGTTGCAGATAGCTAAGAAAGAAGGCTTTTTAGTGTCGTTTGCGTTTCCAGCACTAATTTCCGCCGAAAAAGTGATTGCAAACGTCGAAAAATGCATCTGGCTATCGGCGTGATATTGTTGTGTTGCGGGAGCCACGCCTACCCAGCGCCATCACCCGTTGAGTTACCATGGAGTCCCTTCGCGCACTACGGGGAGCCACAGGTATCTGCGCTAGTGCGCTTGCGCAAGACACTTAACGCAACCATCCTATAGAATCATTAACTCATTACGGCCACAACTACGCGCACATAATAATCAAAGAGAAAAAATGATCATGTGCAATAACATAGATCGCCCACAGTGATGCGTATATTGTATATTTTTCTGTATTTTGTCGAAACAATTACATAACACGGACGTGCTCTTGCTCACAATTCACATCACACTGATTCGATTTCGGGCGTAAAGATTTTTAATCACAGACAACACGCATCGACACTGCTAACCTATTGCCGACAGGAAAACATTATCTAACATCACATAAAACATAAAAGTCTTCTGAACTCTGAAAAATGAGTCATAAAAACGCTGATACACTTTCTAAGACATATTGTAACTTAATTAGTGTGTAATTTTGTCACAAATGTGTATTGATTGAGTGTTGTCGCAATGTGTAATTGCAGATATCGCAGGATTACGAATATGTAGGTCCTGCCTTGATTGGTGAAATGATTAATCCAAGAGTTACACGGAATCCTTCACCAGGAGCAATTGATATCGTTACAAATGTAAGCAGAAAATTATTTTAAATAATTTTTACAAAAAACGATTTTTTTAGGGAGTTGTAGCAGGTTTAAACTTCTTTGACAATCTTGTCCCGCCAGTTTATGAAGTAAGTGTAAATTTAAAATATTGTAGCATTGCACACGAATTAATTACACTCTATTTACATTATTGGCAAAACTAGTTATGACGATCATTTGCGCGCGCGTTCGCTAATCGATGTCAATTAATTTTATTTCTAGAGCGCCGTACGTCCCATCGATCCGAATGCTGTCGACACGCTCAAGAATTTCACCCGGTCGAGACGACACGAGGTAAAGTTTAAAATACACGAAAAAACTAAGCTTAAAGCGTCGGCTATAACGATATAGTCTTATATAATAACTTAATACGTCAATTAGACAAAAAATAATCGTTTTTTACTTCGATTTTAATTATAGAATGAATCAACTACAACCGAATCGCCATTAACTGAGTCTACAGAAATCCTAACCACAACTATAACACCCACGACTGAATCAATAGCGATAGTGACACCTATGGTTATTATGCAAGATAAAATGGATGTGGGTCAAGTAGCGACACCTCGCGCCGACACGTCTGAACTGGAACAAATGATCAAACAACTTAATAATGCTTTATTGTACATACAACAACATGGAAATGAAAAAATCCATGAGGAAATCAGCAATACAACATCAACTGAAAAATTAGTGCAGTACATTTCTACTCAGGTTGAATTATTGTCAAAAAATAAAAATATTGAAGGACGTCCACAGAAAATCAAACAAATCTCAAAAGCTTTGGATATTCTTTTGAATAGGATTGCAAAATCAGCGAAACCTTTAATACCAAAACAAGATAGTCAAGAAAAAACGAAAACTGATCCTATTTTAATGGCGCGTATTGTACAACACGTAGCAGAATTAAAGAAATCTGTAATATCGGATAAGGAAAACAACGGTTATGAATTGACATCTGCTGAATTGGATAGCGGGTTGCCTGCTAGGTTCAGACCTGTGAGACAAGGTGGTGATGACGAGAATACCATCAATGATCAAGATGATCAAGATTCAGATGAAAATGATGTTAATAAAGATGTGGAACAGATTGCTCCGAAAGTTACCACTACAACAATGAAGCCTGGTGAAGTCACTGCCAGACAAGAGGAGAGTTCTGATCAACAGAGTTCTTCACAAGAAGGTGGTGGTAATCTTGTTGCAAATTTACTTTCTTCATTTTTGGGAAGTTTGAGTAAACCTAATGGTGCTGTTGATGTTGATGCTATTGTTGCTTTAGTCAGTGGTCTAAGTGTGGTAAGTAGCTGATAATTGAGGTTATGTCACTTATTCATATGCCATTTTTATTTTGTGTGTGCTTTTAGCAAAGAGACGATGGTACCTTTGATTTCAGTGGTCTAACTGACCTTCTGCAGAGCTTCCTAGGGGTAAGTATAACATGACTCATAAAATGACTTGAAAGTAAGTCACTTGCAAAGTGTGCAATGTTTATGAAAGGCTCACATTGCCATTCACAGCAGGAGATAATCAAGTACCTATTTAATCACCTGCTAGATGAAAGGTACAATTACTCTAATAGTCTAATGAAATATTATTAATAATAATGCCGTTAAAGTTGCACCTGGTGGTAAATCATGATTGTGGTAATCTTGCATTTTGCAATTAACTCAACAATTACAACATGCTAAACGCAGTCATAAAATAAAATTGTAAAATAAAATAGAACGGAATTTTAAATGTCAAACAATTAAACATTTATTATAAATTATAAATTTTTTAAATTCATTTCCCAGGGTGATGGAGACGGTGAGGGTGGATCTGATGTAGGAGCCTTCTTGGGTGGACTCCTTGGAGCTATAATTCAAGGTAGTGCCAATCCTCCAGGACCAGTAAGTAAATATAACCTTAAAATCAATTTTTATTAAATTTGTTTAATATTTAGAAAGGTACAGGACGTTTGACAGGTAATTTAGTAGCTGGTATCCTTCCTGGATTAAGTGGACCTGTAAGTGTTTTAAAAAGTTGATTTTGATGTTTGTGAGTATAATTGGTTGCCTATATTGTAGCCGCCGCCATCTTCGTCAGAGGAAGCAGGTAACGGCGCTATGCAACCAGGTAAACCCATTGATTCGGGTTCGTTTCTCGCTGGGCTACTCACAAGTATGTTGGGTGCGTCCAGTGGTACCAGCAGTGGGTCTCATCCTATGAACGGGGTGAGTAAATGGTGAAAACAAACAAAACCAACAAAAATCATCTTCATATCATTACTTCATATTATTTTTTATAACTTAAGAGTTAATATTTGTAATAGCGGTTAGCGGGGTCCAGTAAAAGACCATAATTACTCATTATTTAAGTAATTAATTAGATTAGTGTTGATATTGCGTTAAATAAATGTGTTACTGTTGCATCGACATCATTTGACGTTCTTTTCACATGCATTGCCAGCTTGCTGACTAATTTCGAGCATTTTTAGGCTGATAATCACAAAATGGGCTCTGCAGGTTTCTTCATGAAGGTAAGCAATAAACAATAAATAAATTATCTAGGTTTTGGTCAAGTACTTCTGTTAATCGAATGTGTTAATTTAATTTTAATGTAATGATGAGACTAGTGATGTTACTAATGTTTGTTTCGTGTGTAGTTGAAGCAAGAACTGTTCAAAACGATATTCGGACTGATTACCTCCATTTTGGGTGCTTCATCAGGCGGGATTTCACAAGCAAGTGGCGCTAGCAGCGGTGCTAGCTCGCAGAAGTTCGGCGGGAAACACTAAACCTCCATTTTGAATGCAAAAAAAACATAATATCGTTGTGAATTTATAAATTTATTCATGTTTATTTTTATACTGATGCTTAACGTTTACAAAGCAGAACATTTTATCAACGTCGAAACAAAACAAACAAAAAAATTACAATAAAAGAAAGTATTGTGAATTCTTTATGGAACATTTGAGTTTGTACTAAAAAATAAAAACGGTTTTAATTATATTCGTTTGTATTAATTATTTTATGTTTTATTGTGTTTTTATAGCGTGTTGATAGATTTATTGTCTCAGACTTGTTTGGGTTATGCAGCCAACCTAACAATATCTTATAATATGAAAAGAAAGTTTCATTTTAAGCTATTCGTCATGAATGGAATTCCGTAAAATTAATTAATTAAACATTAAGCGGATTAAGTAACCGTCTACGTTTTGACTAATATCAAATGTTTAATATTTTAAAGAAGAACTAATTAAAAACGAAGATGTAATAAAATACTTTGAGCTATAAATTAAATTAAGCTTTCATTTAATGTTTAGTTCATCATGTATATAAATATTAAAAATGTGTCCTAGATATTCGCCTAGACTAAATGATTGAATAATAAAAAATGTTCATAGTAAGAACAAAAAATTTAATCTATAAAAAATGAGAGTGTATTATGTAATTTGATGGTGTTTAAATGCAACGGAATTAAATCACGGTCAAATGTGATAGTATCAAGAAAAAAATAATGTGGAATATTATTAAAAGATAGCTAATAGTACAAAGCGCCATCTGTCGTCGGATTAATACAATATAACCTTTAAAAAATGCAAAAATCTAATAAATACGGTTATGTTGTTAACTGCAATCTAAGTAAACACTAATCCATTTTATAAATAGATAATTAAAGGGAACTACAGCTATATAATTTAATCTTAATACTTAAAAACTTGCGAGTCAGCGTTTAATCTTTAAACATTCAACTTCAAACAAGAATTGCAGCAAAATATTGATTAATTTAAGTTAAGTCACCTTTTAAGTCACTTCAATTATATTAATAATATTTATGGATTAAGTATACTTTGCACATTTTTTAATGTTTAAGTAAGGTTGAGTTAAGTCATTAAGTTATTTAAGTAAAGTGACTTAAGTCAAGCACTTGCCTTCAATAACACCCAAAACTCTCATAAGTGTTTGAGTGTCAATAAAATATTATATATTAATAATATAATATATTGTTTGCCAAGTAACGCCATCTATCGTTGAATTGACACAAGATAACTTCAAAAAATACAAAATCCTCATAAATACGACTATCTCATTTATTTTTATTTGTCACACGTTAATTATACTCATTTTAAACACGTAGTTAATCTGCTTTTACAACTGGCATCCATTGCAGCCAACTCAACCGCCCGAAGAAAGTTTAAATTATAAAACAAGCAACGTGCAGCCGCGCATAGCACTTCTCTCTACTTTTTACACGCCTCGCAAATCGAACGAACTTTCCTTACATTATTCCTAAACGGAATGTCGAAGAAATTTCGAGCTCAAACTGTGAGTGGACAACACGTCTACAACTAGTCTAAGGCGATCATCGCGACACGCCGCTAGAATCATTTCTTTCTATGAGCATCTACTCGTTAGTGTCTTGACCTCGCGTTTCTTCTTCTGCCGCGCGACGGATGCTGCATGCATTACGTGTCATCAGGAGAAAAGAGAGTGTCGAGAGTGTGCTCGCGGTCATCGCGTGCGATAGATGTGCTTGTGCCGTGCTCACTGCATCTTCAAAAAAAGAAAATCGTGCGAGATTCACATTAATATTTGGTGTGTTCATCATTACGCAAAGAAAAAAATTGAAAGTCAATGAAACTTTGAACCATTATATCATATAATTACATTTAACTACGTTTGTGTTTGTGAGCGTCTTTAAACAATTTTTTTTGCGCGCTGAGTGAAGTTGAACGTGGGATTGTACGTTGTTGAATGCAATTGAATTAAGTTCAGCACAACGAGTTTGTGAGCCCATTGGCGATCGAATATCTTTCAAGGTAACGACTATTATCACCTTTTACTCTTATTATTAATGTGTAACTGTTATTTTACTTTGTAAACATCAGAAAGAAGAAGTTAAACACAGGAACGTATTTGTGTTTAAGTAATTTCCGTTTTTCACTTGTAGATGGCGTTAGTATACACAGTTACATGTCAATTAAGTCAATAAATCATCTATATCATTAAAAAAACATTTTTTTGTATAGAATAATCTTCTATCCATAATAAAAAAATGAATCGCAAAATCTGTTTGTAAGCGCATAACTCAACAATGCCCTGACCAATTTGTCCAATTTTTATTTTATAATGTTCGTTACAGTCCAAGGATGCCTTTTACGGCAAGAAAAATTCGAATAATTGCTTGGAAAACTTGAAAGACAAGGGCTGTCTTCTATAGGATAAAAGTTATCATTGAGATTCAATCATAGTTATAGTTACATAGTTGAATCCGAGATGGCGCTGAAGTGCATTATAAGCAATTCTTTATATAATTAATTTCTTTAAAATAAAATTGCGAATCTTATTGATAGAGTTGACACATACTATGTCTAGAACAAGAAAGTAAAAACGAATTACATTTTTATTAAATACTACCTGGACGAAGTCGCGGGCAAAAGCCAGTAATATATAATTGCTAGTAAAAAATATTGTACAATAGTATTTAACACAAAAATCAAGATAAAAATCATCAAAAATTGTGAAAAATAACGATGTACACAGATGATTAAACTTCCATTAACATAAACGCTTGCCTAATTATTGCTAATTGTGTCGAAATTGATGAAACCTAAGTTCATAAATATTAATGGCTAAAGTTTAACGTTTAGATAACACTAAAGTGACTCAATTTCCACAGAGTGTTCCAATGTATGTGAAATTTGCGAAATTTAACAATTTCGCATGAATAAGCAGATAACACATTAAAATATAATGAATATTTGATTAAAGTACTTGTTTTTAATTATATTATAACAAGTTATACGAAATTATTTAATTGTTTTTCAATTAGCTAATGTCATTAAAGTAATGTTTACTCTTGATGAGTAGATAATTAAATATTGCTTAGATATGACCTAATTGGTTGTAAATTATGAATTCTTCTAGTTGCACGGTCATGAAATGTCACTTTGTTTAATAATTAATTGTTTACATTGTTTTGTCTTGTACTACGCGTAAAATGAATTCTGTTTTATTTTGATGCATGTTTTGCAAGTTTATTTTATGCATAAATGTCAACAAACTCATAAACCATTGCATCTTAAGTCTCTTAAGTGACTTAAGTCACTTGCGCATTTTTTTTAAATAAATTATTTATTTATGAAAATGATCAGGTTATAATAAACAAAACCGACATTTAACCTTGATACATTTTATGTTATGAACTAAGTTCAAGTAATTACAACTTAATACTTTGTTTTTTTTTCTTTATGCGTATTAATGTTTATTAAAAATTAGATTAATGCCATTCCTAATTCAAGGTGATTAATAAATTATCGTCATGAATGAACTAAATAAAAGTCGAATTAGATGCGTACAGGAAATTAATTAAAATTAAAATATTACAATAAACAATTACATTTGTAAATAGCAATTTTATTAAATAAAATTCGCAATCTTTTGTTTGTGACCTTTTAAGGACGAATTTTAATTTATTCATAGATTACTTAAATTGCAATACTAAAACTCAAAATGCATTTGGTTGCATAACATCTCAATCTAGGTTAACACTAATCCATTTTATTAATAAATAATTAAAGTGAACTACAGCTATATAATTAAATGTTAACACTAGATAACTGCAAGTTAACGTTTGGGCTTCAAACATTCAACTTCAAACAAAAATTGCAGCGAAATTTTTGAATAACGTGAGTTAAGTCACTTTTTAAGTCACTTTGATTATATTAATAATATTTGTGCATTAAGTATACTATGCACATTTTTTAATATTTAAGTAAAGTTGAGTTAAGTCATTAAGTTACTTAAGTAAAGTGACTTAAGTCAAGCACCTGCATCAAATTACACACACGACTCTAATCAATGTTTGTGTGTCAATAACATCAATCAATTAATTTATTCCAAATTGCATCAACGTGTGCTCCAAATTAAAAAATTAAAAAGCCATTCATCAAAATTTAAGTCATAGAAAAAAATTCTGAGTAAAAAATAAAAAAGATTTTGTTATTCATATCGGAATTTACATCTAAATTAAATGTTAATATTTTTTTGAGTATTTTTTAAGTAATAGTTTAATGTGACTTAAGTCAATTTTAAAGTTTATTTAAAAAATTAAATGTTCATAGATTTTAAGTATTCTGTTCTAAAAGCTTGTTTTAATATGACTTAAGTCATTGTTGTTTTATTGAACCTTCCTTGACCTATATCGTCTCAAATAAAAAAAAAAGTGCATGTGATTTTTTCCAAGTGATTTTTGAGTCAGCTGTGTGCCCAAAAGTGGCTTAAGTCAGGTGCGCGCGCGCGTTCAACACCGACCTACATTATACGCGCCCGCCGAAGAAAAGCAAGAGTGCGGCCGCGGCGTGCGCACCAAGTCTCCGCCGGGAGTAGAAATAAGAAGAACTCTATTACGTTACGCGCATTCACTTTCCAACAACCGCGCACTGAACGTTCGAACGTGGCGCGCATCGGACGCCTTTTTTTACCATCTACGGTCACACACGCACGAAGTAAATAGGACCTCATTAGGGTCGCCATATTTAAGTCACTGTCAAATCACAAACAAACATTTAAAGAAAATAAAACCGTGTGACTTAAGTTAAGTAAACTTTACTTAAATAAAATATTTTGATTTGTTTTAGATCCTGCACCGTCCAAGGAACTGAATTAGGCTTAATTTAATTTATTATCTAATTGGACGTCGACCACAGCCGAAAAATGAGACAAACATGGATTTTAATAGGGGTGTGCGCCTTGTTTTACATCGTCGAAGGTAGAACCATCGTCAAACGCGACGCTTACGATGATTTGGATCCTACTCTGCAGGTAAGTGACTTAAACCACTAAATTCTGCATGTATTCAAGAAGTGAAACTGAAGTCATGCGCGTATTGCGTCATTATTTTATTCTAATTAACCGACAGTTATGAATAATTGCAAATTAGTTCACCGAGTGCGATTTGTAATTGAATAATAACCGGTTGCTGTTATTAAAAGTAAATTTAGTACGTTGCGCATGCGCGGAGCGCTAAAACGAAAAGCGGAAAGATGCTCAGTCGAGGTGATTTAATTAAGACCGGAGTTCATTATTTCCGAGTGTCGTCCGGTGACCGGAGTGAAAGTTTCAAGTCTCACAGAAAACGAAACCGAATTTTTTAGAAATTTTACATCTTAAACCACCATATTTAAACACACTGTATAGCAACAATAGTAAATTTAATTGTTACTTTCAATTTCATTCGAGTTCCTGGTTAAAATCATCTGTTAACATGACTTAAGTTAATCTTATGCGTTTGACTTACATTAGTAAACCACATGTTATTAAACGTGACTTAGAATGTCCTTAAATAGACTTACGATTTGCATTTCGCCGTTCACCACAAGCCACACACACACACATATTCGTATATGTTACATATTCACGACAGGGTAATAACCATTGATTTATTAACGTTTTATTGTTTTATACAGACATAAGAAAAAAATAAGTAAAACGTTAAATAACATGCGCAGTGTGCTTTCACGCCATATTAATATATTCTGATCTGGTTCTGAGCTTATGTTTAATTAGTGAGTTAATTAAATGCATAGCGAAAGCACCAAATGCGAATAATGTACTCGTATAAATTTATGTAATGCAATCAAACAAAAATTGCATTTTCGATTCGTATTCAAATTTGAAGCATGTATGCGTATGCGCATGCGCATTAAGCTTACATTAGTAGCACACATTTTATTCAAGTCACTCGTGTTATATAACACCATCGTGCTACTTTTCAGTTGAAGTAAGCCATTGAACTTTAAATCAAACATATTTTAGGCAATTTCAATTTCAAGATGATATTAAAAATAATCAATTTTATTACGAACGCAAACCACTTTACAGATCATTAACTTTTATTTGTGATTAATTTTTTGGGAACAAAAATTGTGCGGTTTTTGCATAATCGTAAAATTGACGAATTTTATAGACGCGTTTGCGCAAGAATTTAATAGCTCACTTTAATTCATCCCACGATGAAATTATGTCTGCAATATTCACATGAGCCGCAAAAGGACGAATCAATTACGCATTTAACACAAATTTCTTGTAATTCACAGAATATTTTAAACGTTTTAACAAGTTTAAACAAAAATATTTTGCAACTAATTATTCGATTGCAATTTGTTTGCATTGTTGCAATGCATTTCGTCCTTCACACCTCAGCAATCACTTTTCCAATAAACGTGTGGGACGTGCAGGAGTGTTATTTGAATAATATGCAACTACTACAGCGACACTTCAAGCGAGTGTCAATTATGCCAATTAACAAATTGCATATATTCACCAGAACTTGTTTAAAACAAATACAGAAGCAATAATTACGTCACGATTATTTTGTTTAATTATCAAGAGGAAATTGTAAACAAATGTTTTGTTTCTCGTTGTTTTTTTATCGCGTGCGATATGCGGAATTGCATAACTTATCTTCCGTGATATAAAATTACAATAAAACGTCATCAGGATAAACTCAACGATCCGATATGCTATATCATAATTTCAACGTTGATAAAAATCGCGATTATGCAATCGATGTGTTTTCACATTGAAATACTGTTTGCGTTTGCGTTCATTAAGCTATTAACGTCTTTGGTACGCGGATGTTGCAAACGCACGTGTGTGCTTGTCCTGAACATTGAAAACAAGGACAACCGACTTCACTTTCTATTCACTTTCTTTGCCATTTGTTGCGCATCTTGATTTTTTTTCTCTCTACAAAATTTTTTTTCTAGGAGGTCGAAGGCGAAGACATTGTCAGAGACAAACGGCATCAGGATGTTAAATTCGGCGTGAAGAACGCTCTCCTAGGCTTTGTGTTCAATGTAAGTTGAATTATTACATTTTATTATCACTTTCACTTGAAAAAATTTGCAACAAAAAAACTGTAATTTGGTATTACTTGTCTGTATGCTCTGCGCATATAGAAAATCAATTCGTTCATCGATCAAAAGACGCTGTGGATCGACCAGTTGGATCGTACGAACGTGGCGAAGAACGCCCAGCATGGTATCCACCCGCCCGCCGATCCAGTCACTTCCCTCTCGGGCGTCATCTCCGGCGCTATCGGGCAGAAACTGCAAGCCGCCGGGCCATTAATCGGCGTGGCTGTGCAGACGCTCACATCCGGCTCGGGCGGTCTGTCGGGTGGAGGCGGTGGCTTCAACATTGGTTCCCTTCTGGGTGGGCTTAGCGGAGGTGGTGGTGGCGGTGCTTCAGCTGGCATCGAGGCGGAGGGACACGCCGAAGTGAACGCCTTCGCTGGCTAAAACTTTTAAGCTACACTACGTCACTAGAAACTATAAAAGAAAATAGTTACCTACTTTTGTACATAATTTATTATTTGTAATATGTGTTTCATAAACTCTGCTAATTATCTATGCGTAAACTACTGTATTTTGTATTTAAAACATTTGCACGCCGACGATTTGCTCAAGAAAAACGAAAAAACCTTTCTCTTCGACCGCTGCCGACCTGCAGAGGGCGCTACTGCCACAATAATCTGTAAATAGTTTTAGAATCGAATGTACTAGCCGTAAGACTTGAATAAACTCGAATAATTTTATTATGCCTTGAATTACTCTAGTTTATGTCGACGTAAATGTCAAATTTCGTTGTCGACGTTTACGTGTGCTAAATACACATTGCACAATTTGTGCTCGATATAAATCTCAACAACTACGCCTCTCGAAATTGTGCTCACGTATTGCACAACTAACCAATTTCGTAGCTATGAATGCCAAATTACAGTTTCATGTAGTCTACTTCACTTTCGATTCTAATTCCAATCCAATGAATAGTAGTAATAAAATTATTTCTCTATTTCAGCCGTCTTCGGCAGCGAGTAAACCCAGAGTACTCACATCTACCACGAAGAAGCCCACAACAACACAGGATATTGTTATTTTCGAAAAGGATAAACCAGTTTCGTTAGATTTTCCGGGCGAATTATTCGGATCGTCTTTTAATTTGGTCACGAACTTATCGGAAACCGTCGGTGATTTCATGATTGTAAGTGGATTGATTACGATTTCATTAACTTGTTGAGATAATGGAATATGTTGCTTGATATTTTAGAATTCAGCATTGCGTACGCAACGTTTATTGGAGTCTATGCGGCCATTTTTACGTGCTATTTTTGGTGCAAAAGGACTTGTCATTGAAGCCACGACTGACAAGCCGATTTTTTCAGATCCAAACGGCGATAACGACGTTTAGAAACTGAACGAACCTAATTTAATTTAATTCATGTCTTTTAATTTAATTATTAATAAATATCTGAACACTTGAAACGTTCACGCGTTAATTTTTATTTTTTTGATGATAAAAAAGATTCTGTAAAATAACTGGAATCAATTATTTCTAATATATTTTGTTATCTCATTATTTAAGGACTGATTATAATTAAGAAATAATGTCGTAACCACTTGAGATGTGTGTATATAAACGCTGATCAAAATAGGATTGGATATATATCTGTCATCATGTTGCACCTGAAGCTTGTATCGGCGATTCTCTTGCTTGGATGTCTTACCTCCATCCAATGCGAGGATAATTTGTTACGTAAGTGAAATTAACCATGTTTATGTTATTTAGAGTGTTTTTTTAATATGTGCGTTTTTGTTTAGACATATTCTTGGGTATTATTCCTGAAGAATCAACATCTACAGATGCTCCTTCTAATAACTTTGATTACGAGTTCCTGGTTGACGCAGATGTACGTAATGTACCTTTCGACGATCCCAACTACACTTATTTCCCATTTATCAATAATGAATTTGAATTCTACGCCAAAGGCGAAGGCACACTGAAAATATCCCTCACCATGTACCCAATTGAATCCAACCAACTGTTCAACTACAAATTGCATATGGACAGTGCCTCAGTTGTGTTGACCAAAGAAGGTCTAGGAGTAGACACTAAAACCGAGGATTTCGGATTTCTGACAAATTCATTCCAGCATTACAAGCTGTCAATTGTAGAAGTTATTGATACAACAACCACTACAGAAGGTTCCGAGGTCACAACCGGGGTTCCCACATACCATCACGAGTTGATTCTTCATAATATCGAAGACCAAACAGATGCTGCTTACGTAATCGACGCAAGCGTTGACTTGATATATATCGGGTTCGGGGCACAAGATAAAACCGCCAACTTGATGATTGATATTAAGAATATTGTTAAGGAAGAGGAAAAGTGAAGCTTTTCTCTTAATTTTTTGTCTATATTTTAATTATTTATCTATATTAATAGATGAAAAATAAAAGATTTTAAAAATTGGTCCATTGGTTCTTGAATTATAATAAGTGTAACCCCATGTATTCTTTCTAAAATATAATTGATTACCATGACAATTTTTTTGTTCCTTTTGTTTTATTAAATGTCAGTTTATTCATATCATGGGGAAAGATTATTACCAAATCCTAGGTCTGAATCAAACCGCAACAGACGATGAAATCAAGCGGGCTTATCGCCGACTGGCACTTAAGTACCACCCTGATAAGAATCAATCAGCCGATGCTGATTCCCGCTTTCGGGAAATTGCCGAAGCCTATGAAGTGCTTTCAGACAAACGTAAACGTGACATATTCGACCGCTACGGCGAAGAAGGTCTCAAAGGTGGTCCAACCGGGCAAACTGATGGTACAGACGGAAGCACCCACTTCCATTACGAATTTCACGGTGATCCACGTGCTACCTTTGCGCAGTTCTTCGGCAATTCAAACCCATTTGGTTCATTTTTTGGTGATGATGACTTTGGTATGTTTTCATTTACTGGTGGTGGCCCAACGTTACAATCGGATAGAACTCTACAACAAGACAATGCAATTGAGCACGAGATCCAGGTCAGTCTAGAGGAGGTACTCCTTGGAGTGTGTAAAAAGATGCGCGTGACTCGGAAGATCTATGATTGTCGAGGTGCGTTCAAAACGGAAGAAAAATTACATGAGATCTACGTTAAACCCGGTTGGAAAGCGGGTACCAAGATTACCTTCGCCAAGGAAGGTGACAGATATCCGAATCGCATACCAGCTGATATAGTTTTTGTAATTCGGGACAAACCACATTTGTTGTTTGGTCGGTCAGGTGAAGATATCACTTTCCGAGCGAAGATTACCCTCAAACAAGCGTTGTGTGGATTTTCCATGAACATACCCACTTTACAACCGTCTGATGGTAATATCCTCTTGAAGATTGACAAGGAGATAATCACTCCCCGGACGGTAAAGAAATTCAACGGATATGGTTTACCTTTCATAAAAGACCCATTGAGACGTGGTAGTCTTGTGGTGACCTTTGATATTGTCTTTCCTCAACAGTTGACTACTGATCAGGCTGGTGTTCTGCGAGAAATTCTGTAACCTCTAGTGAATACATTAAAAGTTGTGAAAAGTCAACATTTAGGTTTATGAGTCTTTCTTTGAATGCAGAAGCGTGCTGAGTGATTATGTAAGCTCAAGAAGCATTAAGTCTGTGCGGCCTTGACTCATTAGACGAATGAAACGCACGGTGTTAACCGACTGGTTGAAAACGAGGTTGAAACACTGAATCTACTCGAAGACGCGACGTGAGCACCACTCGACGCGCACGTTCTCCACGTTGATGCAGTTCCTGAGTGCATTCAGTGCGCATCTTACTCAACTTAAGTCATATTGCTTAAATTAAGTGTATTGTGGATTATCATACAAAAGGGACAAAATAAAAAGGTAAATTTATAAATTGCTGTTTTGACTTAAGTCTAAATGCATTTAAATGCGCATCTTACTTAACTTAAATCATATTGCTTAAATTAAGTGTTTTGTGAATTACGATACAAAAGGAATTAATTAAAAGAAGGTAACTCTTCTTTTCCTACTTTGACTTAAGTCATTAGACTATTATTCGCAGTTTTTGTCCAGTGAGGTGACTTAAGTTAGTCATTGGTTATTGCGTCGGCTTTAATATGTGTCATGAGGTGAAAACGCGCTAGCAAACAATCAAACAATCCACTTGTACATGTGTTACCTAACGTATTCACGAATTAACACGCGCATCCATCCAAAGTGAGTTAAGTAATGATGAAATTAGAGCATAAGTGATGAAAATAATTACTTACCTGTGAGAAATTTTTACTTTAAATCTAAAATTAACCGAAACATTGAATTTTTAAATGACTTATTGGTAAAACTGACTTAAGTCACATTACATAATTTTAGCAATTCGCAATTTTTCTCCATTCTCTTATAAACTATAGTTTATACATACATACGAATGGAAATTCCGATATAAAATTAAGTCAGATACTTGTCTTAAGTCAGTTGACTTAAGCCAGTTACGACATTTCGTAAGCTTGCCGGTCATGTTGGTCACGTTGCAGCATTTGCAGTCATTCTTCGCCGACCGGTCTCGGGTCTAACCGCCATCATGACTTAAGTCCAGGTATTGCTTTCCATTGCAGCCGATCGACGTTCGGACGTTCATTACGCGTTTTGCGCGTTCATTACGTCGTCGTGTGCCATAGCGTCTACAAGTCTACAACTAAACTTTAAACAGAAAAAAAGAAACAAAGTGTTTTTCAAAACAATGTGCGACAGATAAGCAATGAATTAAAATATCGTATGAAAGTAAACGTGTTCTAGTTGGGCACGCCGTTCCAAGGATAATTGCATATTGTTAATTGCTTGATTTGTGCGCGAGACTAGAAAAAATTCTTCAATGTAATGTGAATGCGGGAGCAAAGTGCAAAAAAATGATCAAGGGCGAATCGGCGTGAAACAGAAAAGAAGGTAAACCAGAACATGACTTAAGTAAGATATTTTACGTATCGAAACATTGAACCAGCGCGAAAAATAAATAATTAGAAACTGTTGTTGGTTAATTAACTTTTACTTTTCATTCTTATAATTTTTACGATAATTTTTCGCTCTACATCGATGCATGTTTCTCTTTTCTAATTTCCATCAACATTATCAACATTTTCTACGCGCGTAGAATATCAGCAATTGCACGTAACTAATTGCGCGTCTAATTGATATTTGCGATGCGACCGAATCCGATTCGAATGCGAGCGTGCGCCTCGAAGGAAAGTTGTTACTTAATGTTTACTTGCATTACATAAATGCATATGTCGTTGCAAATTATACGCGAGTAATGTGCATGTGCACTTTGCAAACGACAAATGATGATAGATGCATGTAATGACTCGTTATGCAGAGAAATTGAGAAAACTTGACATGAAATTTCATGTGAAATTACACTCATCAAATTCACAATTTGAAAAATATACATTTTAAAGGCATGATTATCTCAGTTGGATTTATTATTTATGAAATACTTTCAATTTTGTTGTGTAATCTTAAATTTAATCAAAAAGTTTTTAACTTTACCAAAAATCGTGATTCATCAAAGTTTACGTTATTTCGTAATAAAAAAAATCATTTTTGGCCAATGTTGGAGTTGCGGTTTAAATATCAAATGAAAAAATCATTTTATTTAAAATAAAATACAAAATATTTATTTAATTCAATTGAAATGTTGATTAGTTGTTACTATTTGCTATTTGTTACACCAAGTTGCGACATTTGTTAATAAACAGTTTCAACGCCCTGTTTGGACAGCGTTTTCACTTTAACGCTCCATCAATGAGCGCTTCGAGGCATTCAATGTCTTATTACATCCATTACTTTCAATCTCATTGCACGCATAATAAAATTGGAGTACGAATAAATTTTTGAGGTTAGTTTCAACCACACGACGCTTTTATTTGCTTTTGTTGTTTGCTTGGTTGCCTAAACAGCAGAATTTAAATTACAAATGTTTTTAGTGTCGAAAGAAAGTCGATTAATTATTCATATCGGAATTCCAGCAGCCGTTGTGCGTGAAATTTCATTTTTCATGCCGCGCACAATTTGATTTGCATAAATGTGTTATAACATTCGTAGCTCGTAGAAAATCCATGATGACATATTACAACATTGTATTTTGTGTGTTTATTTATTGTCTCTAGGATATGACACGGGTTTTCAATCGTACGCTGCTGTTCCTCTTGGTGGTGACCACGCTGGTCGCCATTTCGGTGCAATTCTCCGAAGATGTCGCCGCCGGTGATGCAAACAACGACGATGGCGAAATATCAAAGGTGCGATTATGTTTCTGACCTATTCACCTATTATACCAACTAAATATTATCTAATTTAATTCATTCATTCGCTTTTAGTTTAAATTGTTTAAAGTGCTTTAAACATTTTAAAGCTAATATGTATTGCGACATTTTGTCGCTTCCTCAAGACATAACAGAAATATACAATTAAATAATAAAATAACATATATTATGTTAGATTGTATAATAAATTTAACAAAAACCGACATAAACTTACCTAATTAATATAATATACAGATATTATGTTTATTATTTTATGCTATTTCTATTAACAATTTCTCTTGTTCGCTTTTAAGTCAAGAGTTAAACGACACTTAAGTGACTTCTAATTGCTATCATCCGAGGAAAGTTTTCATCGTTATTCAGCATTGTTGCACTTTAATACGACATCAATATAAATTATTATAATGTGTTATATTCTCATCGTTTATAAAAACATCTAAGCGATTAACTTTAGAATTTTCGCATGAAGAGATGCTGGATGCTAACTTTCCATTCTCAATGTCACTTTACGTTGACAATTTATGATACTATCGATAGAAAAAATTTTTCACGTAAAAACCATTGAATTAATTTTGATGACACTGATTGGAATGATTAGTAAAATAATTAGTTGATAATAAGTAACAATTTAATTTAACATTTGTGATTTATTTTTCTTAAAACTTTTTTTCTTAAAAAAATCATTTTAAGGTGAATTTACTCGGTTTTAGTAAACAACTAAACAATTAATTGTTTAAACTTAAGTTAGTTGGACTTTATATCTTTGTAATAAATGTATTGTTAACATTATCGTTTTATAGACTCATTGCTATTCTTAAACATACTTTATAAAGTGATTGCATAAGTATAAACGCTTAGAATGCGTAAAGAAGTGAAAATAATCGCTAATTGTTTAAATTAAAGTGTCATTAATGCTTGCTAATTGAATAATGATCACTTTATGTTGCACAATCTTTTATAATATCTTTAAAATATTCTGCAATTGATTTAATCAAAACTTATTTTATTTGAAATTCAATTATTTATAAATATTTATGTTATATTTTTAGAAATTTATGGTTGCATCAACTCTACATAAAAGGCACAAACGAATGAAACGAGCTTCAAGAAAACCAGGATTTTTTAGAACATTATTTTCAGTTGTTTTTGATGTAAGTAAAAAAGCACAATAAATTTACATTAAAACATTAATAAAATAATTTTCAGCAATATAATGACACTAAATATACAATAAATAAAATTAGTTCATTGGTAAATGATAATTTCCTACCAGAGAATGCACCACCAGTAAGTTTATTCTTAATTATTTAAATTTTAAATTATTAAACGTATATTTTACGCGTTTTATATTTTTAGGTGGTTTCAACAACTCCATCAAGTATAGATCCGAATGTATCAACAACAAAAGCGCCATATAAAATCACACGCAGCGAATTTAACAGAATTGTCCAACGAAATCTACGAGGATTAGCACGTTTATATAACATTGAATTGCGAGATGCTTTAAAAGTGAATATATTTAGTTTTAAAATAACACTAATGAACAAAATAAATTAATTTAATTCATTTTTAGCAATCGGACAAAAATTGGGCAGAGTACAAACGGAATGCGTCCATTGAAGTCTCCAAATTCCTTTGACAAGCGTCAAAATAAGTCATAAATGAAGCTGTGATAGCTAAAATTACTTCCTTGCAACTTTTATATTTATTTTGATAGAATTCCAATCACAATTTCATTCTAATTGATTTTATTTTATTTTTTTGTCAATTTTGTAAATTTGTACAAATGAGTCATCTTATTATTATTATTATTACTCTGGGTATTGTTAATTTATATTCTTGGATTGATTCTTATTAAAATATTTATATAATCCAAACACAGATGGCGCTACTGTATTATATACTCAGTCACTGTCATAATTTTTCAGTTACTGACAAATTACCGTCATTCAACAACACAAAATGCAGATTAATGTAAACATGCAAAGTGTTTTCACACGACCATCCGCTCGGACCCTAACAAAAAAACGCCATGACCTTGAATCCTACAAACAAGACCTTCAAATCGACGACCATCTTATCACCATCCACGAGTTGGAAAAACGCTTCTCAACTAATGTAGAATCTGGTCTAAGCTCAGTCAGTGCGAATGAACTCTTAGCTCTCCACGGTCCCAATATGATCAAACCAAAAAAGGCAACACATAAATGTTTAATATTGACCTACCACATGTTCTACAATTTTGCGGTCCTACTATGGATTGGAATCATCTTATCCCTGACAGGATTCACAGTATCATACCTTCACAATCCAGAAGAAACGAAATATCACCAGGTTTATGTAGCGATTGTTTTGTTCATTGTTATCATGGCGACTGGTATCTACGGGTATTACCAAGAAGCCCAACATTCGCAGATTGAAGAAACCTTTCAGAAACTAATGCCGAAGTTTGCTTATGTTATCAGAGATGGAGAACTTATGTATGTGAATTCAAAAGATCTTGTTATCGGGGACTTGGTACGTCTGCAAGCAGGTGATTGCGTACCAGCTGATATCCGGATAACCCAAGCATCCGGATTGAAAGTGGATAATAGTTCCATCACAGGAGAAAATGAACCACAGTTGAGATCTATTGATATGACTGATTTAAATCCTTTGGAGACAATGAATATAGCTTTTAATGGTACCACGGTTGTTGAAGGCAGTGGTAGAGGTATCATATTCGCCTGTGGTGATGATACCTGCATCGGCCATATTGCTGCACTCACAGCAGGTTTAGAAATAACACAATCACCGATCCAGAAAGACCTCGCTAGGTTTCTCAGTATTATCACTGCAATAGCAATAGTCATAGGTGTTTCGTTTTTCGTAATCTGCATGTGTTTCGGAAACAATTTCTTCGAATCTTTTATATTTGTACTTGTCATCGTTGTCACTGCTATACCAGAAGGATTATTGGTTACTTTAACTGCCTCTTTGACGTTGACAGCCCGAAAACTCTATAAGAAGAATTGTCTTTGTAAGAACCTTAACGCCATTGAGACCCTAGGATGTATTTCAGTGTTGTGTTCGGATAAAACAGGAACTCTGACACAGAATAACATGACAGTATCACATATGTACTATGATGGAGTGAATGTTGATGTGTTGACAGAGAAGTATCTTCCTGCAAATACCCCAGGGTTTGATAATTTGTGTTTGGTGGGGATTTTGTGTAGTCGGGCAAAGTTTGAAGAAGGACAGGAACATCTCCCGGTTAAAAATAGGGCAACCAAAGGAGATGCTAGTGAATCAGCTGTTTTGAAATGTCTGGAGGTTTTCACAGGAAGACAAACGCGAGATATACGGAGAGAACATCGTAAAGTAAGTTGGGTTGCCTATAATTATATCAGGGAATCTAATGTGCTTTTATTCTTATAGATATTTGAAGTTCCTTTCAATTCTACAAGCAAGTATCAACTGTCAATTCATACAATCCCAGATGACCCACGTTTGTATCTGGTCATGAAAGGAGCTCCCGAGCAAGTAATAGAGAGATGTTCATGGATATCAATGAATGAAACAGTTGAGGAACTTACTGCTGTGAGGAAACGACAACTTAAACTTGCACTTCTAGAATTATCATATATGGGCGAAAGGGTTCTTGGTTTTGCTGACCTGTTACTCTCTGAGGAATACAAAGCTAATTACGAGTTTAACTTAGATAGGGATGACTTCCCCACAGAAGGTCTTAGATTCGTAGGGTTTATATCCATGATAGATCCACCTAGAACCGGGATCAAACAAGCAGTGACCAAGTGTAAAGATGCGGGTATTAAGGTCATCATGGTAACAGGTGATCATCCAATTACAGCAATGGCCATCGCTAAAAAAGTAGGGTTAATATCTCCCGAAAGCCTCACAGTGTTCGACATTGCATTGAGAAGAAACATATCAGCTAGTAAGATCACAGAAGCAATGACAGTCCAATGTGACGCAGCAATCATCACCGGAAGTGACCTCTGGGAGATGGATTCCGATGAACTTGATAACATAATCATGACTTATGATGAAATAGTGTTTGCACGGACAAGTCCCCAACAAAAGTTACACATAGTAGAAGCATTCCAAAGAGTAGGTTATGTTGTGGGAGTTACTGGGGACGGAATAAATGATTCCCCTGCTTTGAAGAAAGCTGATATAGGTATTGCTATGGGTGAATCCGGATCAGATGTGGCTAAAGAATCTTCTGATGTGATTATACTAGATGATAACCTATCAACAATTGTGATAAGTATAGAAGAAGGTAGATTAATCTATGACAATATGAAGAAAGCCATTGCCTACCTCCTAACCTCAAAATGTCCTGAACTAATGCCATTTGTGTTGCATGTGACTATAAACATTCCATTAGCTATAAGTATAATCTCAATTCTTGTAATTGACGTGGGGACTGATCTCTGGCCGTCGATTTCGTTGGTTTATGAAGAACCAGAAGCGGATACCATGTACCGTCCACCACGAGATGTCTCCACTGACAGATTAGTAACAATGCGGATGATTTACTACGCGAATTTGATTATTGGTGTTGTGCAAACCTTCGCTGGATTTTCATGTTGGTTTTTTATAATGGCTGAAAATGGGTTTCTTCCTAATAGACTTTATGGTATCCGTGAAGAATGGTATTCATCGCAAAATGATTTAGTAGATTCCTATAAACGTGAATGGTCCAGTGAAGAACGTAGACATTTAACAATGAAAGGTTTTTCTGCTTATTTCTTAGGAATAGTAGTTACACAATTCTCCGTGTGTATTATTGCTAAAACTAGAAGAATATCTATTCTGCAGCAGGGTATGGCGAATACTGTGATGAATTTCGGACTTTTATTCGAATTAGTTTTGGCATGTATGTTAGTCTACTGTCCGTACGTGAATGAATTCTTTTCGTTTTCGCCTGTGCAGATCTACGTCTTAGCACCGGCGATACCATTTGCACTTTGTATAGTTTTAATGGATGAGATGCGGAAGGCGTTGATAAGATGGCGGCCGGGCGGGTGGTTCGAACGAGAAACTTACTTTTAATTAGTTTTTACGTCTTTAAGTACAAAGTTTGATTGTGTTTTAATTGTAATTTTATTGAGTTTAGACTAGACACGTTTTATTATTATTAGTTTCAATTAAGAATATATACCAAATGTTTATAAATTAAAAAAAATTATATTCAAGTGAATAAAGTATAGTATTTTAATGATGTAATACCATAAGTATTAGTTTTGATTTAAAATTTCGTCTGCATGACTTTAAACGTGTTAAATATGATTAAAATTCATAGACGTTTGTCGGCCTGGAAAAAAACAATTGAACATCCGGTGGATTGAAGTCAACACGTCTGTTGACTAAGTATACTTAACTTAAAAACACCTAAACAGTAAAAAAATAACTAGGTAGATATTATTAACCAATCATTAATTTATACTGCGTCATGATTAACACACAGATTTGCGTCAGCAGCAGCGTCATATTTTACACTAAAAAAATCATCACAAACAACAGAAATATTATATTTTGTGGTGTTTTCGGCTCGAGTGGTGATTATTCACGTGATTATACCTACCGAATATTATGATTATTTGCGTTTTCTTTTATCAGCGGTATCATAAACGCATAAACACGCGAACGTGTGTTGTAGTTTTGTTTGCCGGTGCGATACGGCATGCCGGAGAAAGTGGAGAAAGGTGGTGTTCGGGTTTAAACTCACACCAGGAGTTGTTGATGGTAGGTTTGCTTGGCGTTACTTCACAATATCGCGTTGGCTGCGAACGGTCGCACACGTTTTGTTCAGCGTTGCGTTGCAGCTCACATACTCATATATAATTTGCGCATGTACCGCAAGTTAACTGCACTTTTGCACGACCACGCACACAACCGGAAGACAGACAACGAAGACAACCATTCAGTCTGCACGCGGCGGACGAACTGTTCACCAGAGAATAAAAAAATTGTACGAGTACTGCAATATGTCGAAGGTAAGTTTATTTAATTATAAAAATTAATTGTTTAATTTTTAATCTTAACCTCCAAGTGTTAATTTAGTAATTATTATTATTAAACAATTAAAATATTTGTCACTTCAACAATTGACATTGGATGTTATCACACGCAGACAAATTAATTGAAATTTAAACTGCAATTCTTCCATTGTTTACTAAATTAAATTACAATTAATTTAAGGTTGTTATTTACATTCTGGACAAATTCGTGTGGATTTTGATTGTTGCAATCTTCACCTCGCAAGCACTGCAAATCGCAGGCGTCGTCGAAGGACCCAAAGATTTTTCCCTGCGAGAATTGCATTTTTACAGTCAGGTAAGTTATGCTGTTATTGTTATGTTAACAATACACAATAGCATTTTTCATTGCTAATTCGTGACGATTAGTAAAGTCATATTGTTATGATTGTGTTTTTGCACTGCATGCTCGATTATTCATTGTGGTGCGTGTCCATGATTCACTTACTTTCTTTTGTTGTTTGTTGAAAGATGTACCGGACTTAAAGTTGAGAAAATTTTATCGATTTCACTTTTGTTGGATACGGAATTAAATGCGGGTCTGTATTAAGTGAAATTTGACCAGTGAAAGTATTATTAGATATTAAATTTTGTAAGATTTGAAATTTAATTTTAAAAAGTAAAAGTGCACGTAAAATAAGGAATAAAGAATAGTATTTAACTCAATTATTATATCACAGTTATAAATATCATCTTGAAATTAATTTTTTTTTGTTTTTCTGTGAAAAATTGGAAAAAATGAAAAAAAATTTTTAATGTTTTCATTTTTTTTAGGAAAATAATGATTATGCACCAATTCACCAGGAAGAATTGCATGGCGTACGTGGTAAACGTCAGGCAGGCGACCGATCTCCATTGATCGACAATCTCTTCAATGTAAGTGCATTAACTGCATACGCATATAATTAATTTATTAATTTGTTACGCACGAAATGCAAATTATTGCTAATTACCTGCACTACCTAGTTGAATTTCCATATAATTATAAAGCGTAGGTTCGTTTTATTTTTCAATTTTACAACTTTTCAATTAAACACGAGTGAAAACTCTACTTCGCTAATTAATTTATTATTTATTATGTAAAACGTACGCGAAATTAATAATTTACGTATTAATATCAAGGAAGTACTTTTACTTTACCCGAGTTATATAAGTATCTATGATCTAAAACGTAATATGATATAAGTTTGTATCGAATGGAACATGTTGTTTGTTGCGCATGCGCGCGCGTATTAACTTTCTATTCTGCTGATTTATGTGATTTTTGTTGTTGTGATTTTGATTGATTGAAATTATGGTTTTCTAGGAGGATGAGAACGAAAGCGCGTTCAGAACGCGCATCAAAGCAATGCACGATGCGCATCGGTATGTGATCACGGCGAAAATTTGAAGCAGTAAGTTGATCAAAATTACTATGTTGTCATTTTATCTCATTTCTCATTTTTATTCACTGCGTCCAACTTTCGCTTGCTGGATATTTCTCATTTCATGTCATACCGATTAACATATTCATAACTATCTAAGTTTATATCATAGTGTTGAGTCACGATGAAAGTGTAACTTTTGCTCCGCCCATTGCGATTACTGCGCATGCGCAAGTTACTTTACTGTTGAATCATTAATGTTTATTAATTTGTATTATTTTTATATTTTAGGTACCGATTTCGACATTAAACGCAGTCAACGAATTTATCCAAAGCGCGCGTCCGGTGATACAGCGCCTGCGCGAGTCTGCAGCGCGCACGCGTCGCAGTAATGAAGCTAAAAAGAAACTGCAACAACAACAGCAGCAGTACCAGCGTAAAGAAAAATCATTGAAGAAAGTACCCTCGGTGGTTTCTGTGGAAGAAGATGAAGATGTTGAGGAATCAATGTTGCCTTTGCAAGAAGGACCTGAAGTACAATCAGATGGATCCAGCTCAAGAGTTTTATTAAGAGTTTAATTGAATGACATTATTAAAACTTTTTTCAAAATCTTGTATACGTTTGATTTGTGATTGGAAATTGTATATATTGTATAATATGTAACAAAAAATAATGACTGCGCATGCGCAAATTACTTATTTTTTATTTTGTCCCAGTTTAATCCTTTGCGTGTTTTTGCTGTTACTGATGATGATTATCTTGACATTTAATGATTTTTTAACATTTATAATGTACTTAAAGTGCATCACTCGTAATTTTCTATTTTTTGTGAGTACTTATCTTAAGTCACTATACTTTTTTAAATGAAACACAAAAGTTTATCTACTGTACGTATCAATATATTAAATGAACAATTAATATTTATAAAATCATCCCGGAAATTTAAATTTTATTAACAAATTTTATTGTTGCTTTAATGTAAACAAATATAGCAATAAAAAAATTTGTTATTTTAATCTGTGGGCAATTAAATTCGTTGTGCGTATTATTTTCACGCTGATACTGTACAATTAAGTGCCATTAATCGTTGCGATCGTTGTAATGCCACTAGTTGTGCGTGTGTAATTAGTAATTAGGCAATGATGAAATATAACGAGTAAAAAATTGTAGTCAATATCATTTTTGATGAAATCACATTCACTCCACTGACACTAGAGATCAAAATCTCTTTTTAAAGCACCCAGGTGGCAATTAATTAAAGTTGTTTTGCAAAATTCAAATTTTATCCACTTTGAGCTTTATTTCTTGAATTTCTTGGTCTCTGAGTTTATTGTTTGAATAACTTGTTACTTACGTCTGATGGTAATCTCGATGCCATGCGAATCGGATGTCTTTGTGGCGGTCTTTGACGTAAGCGCGACTTCTTCGCGATGCTAATCGGTGTGTTTGTGGTGGCGTGGTGGCACAATGTCAACCTTGAGACTCGAGCATAAACCAGCATAAACTTTGGGTATAATTGCCACATTTGCCACCCGAGCCGTGCACATCGCCATCGCGCATCGTCCGCGCACAGTCGACATCTGAACTTGGACTTTAAAACGTTGTTGATTGGATAATTACGAACAAGAAAAAAGTTTTTAAAGTGTACTTGTTGAAGTTTCTAGTGAATATTTCAAAAAGGAATTATCGTAAGTACTTTAAATCATTATTTACACAAAAATATCTTAAAATAAAACTAAAAACATTATTTAAATAGTTTATTTTGTTGATAACTTTATTGGTAACAAAAATATTAACAAAATGTTTTCACAAGTGAACGCAGAATTTAATTTAGCATTCAATTATTCAAGAATTATTTTTCTAACTTACGGAGTTTTTAAATTATTGCCAAAAAAGTAAAAAATATTGTGAAGCAATTATTTTCTTGGAAACATGAAAAACACAATTTATTTCAAATTTCCAACGAAATCAATTAATACAATCATTAATAGTCTATGGGAAACTTTCCTCCCGACGTATTTTGGATTTTTATAGTTCCAAACAAACTAATTATCAATTCACGAAATTGTTATGACCATGTGCACCTAATTACGAAATACGTAATAAATACTAAAGATATTAATTATGCACTCTAAAAAACGCACTTTAAAGTTGCAACTTAAACTTGTAGATCAAACACATCACACGACCATAAACTGCATTTAGTAATAATTAATTACTCAAATTTCTTAATTAGTTTAGATTGTGCACAAAAACAGTTACAACTTTTTATACACAAAGTCAACTTTGTACCAACGTCATAGAATTATTGTTTATTGCTGAACACATAAACAATTACCTAATGTAATGATCGAGACAATTAAACTACGTTTCTGTACGTGAATAATAGCACCTTTTTATACATTTTAGTCGCTATAATAAGATGTTTAAATTATTTGGAACCTTGATTCCGGCCATTATTGGTGTTTCTTTTGCTGATACCCACCAAAGTAACCTTGCTACATAATTAATTTTATACCGTATATAACCAGATTCTTTGGGATTATTTTCTGCGCGTCTAAAATCGTAAAATTAGTTAAATTATGAAGAAGAAGACTTTTATTTTTAGTTTGCGTCTTTTTTAATCTAAAAATTTATGTGATAGTATTAAATTGTATTTTAATTCTGTTTGATTATAGATGATGGCGAAAATGAATAAATGTATATTAATGGTGTTCTTTTGCGCTTCGATGTCGTTTGCCTTGCCAACGGTGCACTTTGAAAAAACCGTGAGCACAGTAGGAGGCGGAAGCAGTGGTGGATCAGTAAGTTTAAAAAAAATCACAACTTTCGTAAATAACAACTTCATGTTAAAATATTTTTTATTTCTAGGGTGATATAGCTGTGAATTTTGGTGGTTTTGACGCATCTGCAGGTAATTGACTTAAAATACTTTTAAAAATTGTTGTTGTGTTTTTGTTTGTGAAATTTATATTTTTTATGTTTTTTAGGTTCAGCTGGAGCTGGAGCTGGAGCTGGTTCGTCTGCCGCAGCTTTCGCTTCTGCCTCCGCCACAGCAACCGCAGGTAGTCATGCAGGCGCTGGAGCAGGCGCAGGAGCTGCAATAGTAGAGAAAGAAATTACCTATGGCCATAAAACAATCCCTCAAAAAACAGAAGTAAGCAGTCATTCATTTTTCACCACCTTTGCCCTGACAATGGTGCTAGTCTCCTTCTTTTTTCTATTCTGTGTATATTTGTGTGTTATATCCTGCTTGTATTTACCATTTTGTTGCTTCCAATGCGTCCTCTTGCCTCTTAAAACCAAATGTTTATGTTGTAGCTAACAAATACAATTGTAACGTAGATATTTTGTATTTTTAGGCAAATTTTAAGTTTTAAAACTCTTAAAATAATAATATTAATGCTATATTTATTAATTGTATATTTGGTTGCCTAGATTGTTGCCGAAAAAACTTTCACAGAAGCTCCCAAGGTGATCAGCGAGCACACGATACAAGGTCAAGCTCAAGTGCAACGTACGGTCATCGAAAAAACCGTAATTCCGCAATATGTTGAGAAAACCATCCAGGTGCCAAGTTATGTGGAGAAAACTATTCGTGTGCCTACTGTAGTCGAGCATAAGGTTCGTGTTCCTGTTACGCCGAAAGTAGAAGAGAGGACTTACGAAGAAAACGCACATGCTTCTGCTGGAGCTACTGCGCATGCGCACGCAGGGTAAAATCTAAAATTAACTTAAAAATGATAAAAGCTTTTTTTAATAACAATATTTTAGATCTTATGCAAGTGGAAAAGTGCAATTGCAAGAACGTCCCAACACTTACGCCAACAAACAATTGTAAGTTATCAAATCTATAAAAAAAAAAAAAAACACACACGCGCTGAGCAAAACTAATTTTGGCAACCGGTTTAATATGAATATTTAATAATTATATGCTTAATTGGCTTATTTGGAAGGCTTCCACGCACTGAAATTTTGAACGTACCAAATTTTGTTTCTAAATCGATCCGTTTGTTTTGCCTCTATGCACTTCTAGTATACATAAACACGGTCTTTTCGGACTTTTTCATAGCGGAATTCGTACTAACGCAGCCAGTGCATCTTCCGCAAGCGCTTCTTCCGGCGCGTATGCAGGAAGCAGCAACACCAACGCAGGAAATGGCGGCGTACAGGTTCAATATAAATCCGGAGGTGGTGCTGGATTAATTGGAAACATTTTAAATGTGAGTCAATATTTTATAATCAAATAAATGTTGATTTCTGGTTTTGGGTGGAATATTCTATTGACCTAATAATCGCACTATCTGACAGTGCGCTTGCAATATCTAAACAATTTATTCGCAGCACGAGAACGGTATTTTTACTTTTATCAGCACAGAAAAATACAAACACACGGTGTAACTTATTTCTCCACTTTTAAAGCACCTGTTTTTCCACGATTTTGAGACACAAAAAGTGAACGTAGACGGCCAAAATCATGACTAAACTACTTTAGTCACGTGCTTTAGTCACGGGGTGGAGCTTACGCCCGCACATTTGTCTGCGGCGCAGCACAGGACCATATGAAATGTCGTGCGCTGTCAGTCCAACAAGTCAAAATATGCGCTTCTCCACGTGGAAATAGAGTGAAATTTGAAATAATAGCGTAAACATCACGTGACTAAACGTTATTAAACAAATACTACACAAATACTGACTTACTCGTAATACTTAATTGTTATTCTAGGCATCACCATTTCTACTTTATTCTTTTCTTCTTTAAACCAATACAATATTTACTTTTGTGTTTTATAAGCTATTGCTTGATTCTTTTTCTTTCTAGTGTAACATTTTAGTGTTTTAATAGTATTCCAGTTAACCAATTTAATCTTTATTGTTTGATTCACACAGCTTGCATTTCAGATTCCAGTCGCTACTCTAGGAGCCGTTGGTAATCTGTTCAATTCCTTTGGCACTGCTGGCGGATCAGTATCCATCAACAAAAATTACAGATCATACTAAAAATTACTATAAACACAAAATAAGTACATCCAACTACATATTTTATTGTAAACAATTTAAATTCGTGTAAAAATTAATTAATGTATGTGTATTGCCTAATTGGTTATTGTTATCATCTAATTCGACAAGTTATTTATTATTTTTAATAAATCATCAACGTTTCTTAAAGAAAACTCTATATTATTAATTAAGCTACAAATAATGCTGTGAATTTACTTCTTATGCGGTACTGGTAGCGCCATCTTGCGGTGTCGAATGCTCTTTCGGATGTAAAATTTGTTTAAACGGATTTGTCAGCAGTTTTGCAACGGATTGCAACACACCGATCGGAATCTAAAACATAACAACATAAATATTCAGATTTCAGATCAAGCAATCATGTTATATGATCAATTAAGCATTAATCATATGTTGGTGCAATTATCAAAGTTGTTAGTTGATTCATTTGAGTACTTTGCGGTCACTTTATTCCTATGTGCCTGCATCACGTGACTTGAATTGATTTCAACTTTCCATTTCAAATTCGTATTCTGTATTCATATAAGTTTTCATTTAATCCGTTAATACATATTTAATCTTTAGTATTCAACATGAATTGTTTAACCTTGTGTTTGTATAGAGATATTGTGCATTCGTAACGCAATAAAATTAATAATTGCGTGCTTCTAGAGAATCTAGATGCGCAGATTACAAGTGCATAATTAGCTCAGCCTGTATAATAACGATTAAGATTAAATTTGCTTCTAATTATTTATTAACAACAGTGTAGGTCGTTGTTAGAAAGTTTGTTTTGTTCAATTTTTGCGTTTTTTGCGGTTTAATTGGCTGATAATTTAATTACCTGGAAAATATCGTCAATCAAACGCACGAACGCTGTTCCGGCCGGCTTCGGATTGAATTCTTTGTGGGGTTCTGTTGTTGTGTCCTCTGGTTGTTTTACTGGTGCTGATACTTCTTGTAGTTTTGCTTTGTTGCTTGCAATCACATCGTTTACGTATGGATTGTTTAGATTTGCCTATAAATAATATAATATGCAATAAAATACTGACAAATACAAAAATATAATGTTTACTTTTAATAATTCATCTTTTAAACCTTATAAAATTAACAATAATTAAATTTTTGGTTTGAAAACTTAATAACTAAAAACTTAAACTTATTTTCTTTAAAATTCAGCAACAACAAATTATTTACTCTAAATACTATTATAGTTATTAAAGTTTTTAGAAAGCCTGACATTTTTTAAATTTTTGTTAGTTTATGACTGTTAAAACGTGCATAAAACAATAACAATTAAGGTAATTTACATAAAAACTAAGTAAATATAAAATATAACTAATTGTTAGTCATTCCCCAAAAACAAAATTATTTTATTACTAATAGAATTTAAATTATAAACATTTAAAAATAAAAGTGATTTATACCTTGTCTAATTGATCATTATTAGCAGGAGCAGCCACCACAAACGCACAAAACGTCGCAATAAACAAAATAATCACTTTATTCATTTTAATTTTCAATAAAATACTGATTAAAATCACTATAAAATATTTCTGATTGCACTTTTGTAATGTATTTGCTTCTTAGCAACTCTATTAAGTATCTTGCTTATTCGTGCGTTCGTATTCCCAAACAGACCAACACGAAATGCGAAAAGCGAACGCAGAGTCAACAAGCGTTACGACTCACAAACAACTCGCGATATTTTGCTAGTTTTCCCTCACTCTCATTACAAGTGCACTTCACCGAAGCATTACATGCGAAATGATGCAAGTCTCAGGTCGAACAAAGCGAAAATGTCCAAGCAACCAACCGCAAGAAGGATTCTTCTAGATTGTGTCATGCAATCATACGCTACTTTAGTCTAAAGTGGAAATAGAGTCATAAAGACCGGTTAATGTTGAATAATAAACTTTAATTATTTGCATTTGTTGCATTATTAGTGTTATTGTTATCGATGATAATAAATGAAGTTTATTTCAATCTGTAATGATGCTTGATGTTGAAGATATTATGCATTTAGTTGTCAATTTGCGTGTTTATGTGATTGCGTAAAAGGAAAGTGGAAAATGTTGCGAAATTCGAGTCAACTTAGAAAGAGTGTTAAAGTAGTGTTGTATTATCGTATATTCTGCATAAACATAAATAAATTGAAAATCAGCATTGGTATTGCCATCTGTTGGCAAGAATTGAACTATCTTACTGCGAATGTAGCAAGGCGAGGTATTGCGAAATTCGAGTCAACTTGGAAAGAGTGTCATAGTAGTGTTGTATTATCTTACGTTCCGCATAAACAAGAAATCAGAATAGGTATCGCCATCTATTGGCGAAAACTGAACTATCTTAATGCAAATGCTTACCAGGCAAGTACGCAAAGGATAAGTTGCGAATGGCAAGTTGGCTGCATACAATAAATCGTTTGTTAAATGAAATTAATATGGATTAACGTGTTTGTTATTAGGCTTCCACTTTGTATTTTATCGTACTCTATTTTAGCACTGATTTTGGCCTTATTGACAATTTTAGCTAAAAACTCTTATTTAATGTATTTAAAGAGAATAGTCATCTTAATGAGCACTTTAGGGTAATTTATTTGGGAATAAAGGGTTGAATATAATCCCTATGGGTCCTTTCAGGTATAATATAAAGTCGAGAAACTTTAAATTAGCCCAGTAGTACAAGAGATATAGTGTGTTTTCTCTTAAAAATCATGAATTTCTTTAAAAAATGCCATTTTGAAGAGCATTTTAAGGCACTTCCGGCGTGTTTAGAGGGTTGAATAAATACCCACGTTCTAAAAGATATCCTAAGCTACAATATTACATTATAAAACTTCAAATTATCTAATTAGTATCGGAAATATACAGTGTAATAAGTGTGTAGTAAGTACATAAGTGTGTGTAATATAACAAAATAACTTTTATTAAACATAAATTAAATAAAATCACATAACTCAGATAAAATTTGATGTGGCCATGCTACGTACAACCGACAATTATAAACAAATAAACTAAACACGCGTTGATGAACCGATAACTTCACTAATCAGCGAAAATAAACCAAGTAAACATGTGCTACGTGTATGATCTTCGTTCCAGTCGCAAATTTCACACATAAATCTTTTACGTCTCAAACAAAGTCAACACTTTTAGTACTCTCAATGGAATTTTTAACACTTTTAAAAATAATAAATTTATTTAGCTAGTCATTTCCTGCAACTGCAAACGTATACATATCTCACGTTTCCCAGACATACAACTGCACTCAGTTGACCTTTATTCTATTAGGTTGAGTAAAATTTCCAAAACTTGCAAGTTTCGTATGGAAATCACACAAATGTGCATGATCAATGGTTATGCACGTAACCCGGTTACTGGTTATGATTTATGATTAATGAGTGATGATCAGCTGCGTTGCTTAATTTTTTTACTTAATCGACAATTATTAATCGCCGATTTGCTACACTTTCAATATTAGAGTAATATTACATCATAAAGTTATATTTATAGTCGAAAAACAACAAAAATCTTGCATGGAAACCGAAAATTCAGTTTCATTTTACTGCAACAGGTTTCAACGTGAAAATTTTAGAATTTAATTAATAAAATGATTGATTTTATATGTGGAGATAAGTTAACAATGCAAACTTGAGTACAATGATTAGAGTTCAATAGCAAACTTATCAAGTATTGCACAATTCTATTATTATCACTAATCTTCACTCAATTATCTTCATGAAAGTAAATATGATCATTCATTATCAATTAATACTAATAATTTAATAAATGTCCCTTTTAAAGTGTAAATTAATTTAAAATATTAGTTTTAAACATTTTTTTACGTAGTGAATAAAGTATAGTATTAATTTAAGTTATATTATGCGTAAAATTGTATTTATTAATTAAATAAAAATATTTAAATGCTTTATTTAAGTTTTTCTAACTCAAAAATGACGTTTTCTTATATTTTTAAAAATTAGTGAATAATGTATGGTATTTGACTTCATTATACCTCATAAAAAATATATTTTATGTGTCCGCTGAAAAAAGCTTGCTTGAAACGCACTAATGAAATTTGTACCATTAGTAATCGCGCACATTGCAACTGAGTCGAATTGTGCGCGCTGAATGGACTTTAAACGGACCCGCAGCACCCGCCCGAGACGCCCATCCATATACCGTTCCTCCGTGTTCATGCACCACACTCGATGGCGGTGCTCCTCCTCGTAATATAAACAACAACGCGCGCCGCCCGGCCGCAGTCCGTCGATTATCATCCGCGCGCGCGAACGCGTCCACAGCATGCAATAAACAATTAAAGCGCAAGTGATCAATACCCAGTTGGATTAAGTTGACTTAAGTGCGCAAGATGGAGGTGGTGATTCAAGAAGCCGTCACGGCTGTGTACGGCAGCGGTGAGATTAAAGAAGTGCAGATGCGCGAGCAATCGCCAGCGCCCGAGGGCGAAGAGCCAAAGAAGAGGAACTCGGATGCGGTGTCGATGATCTCGCAGGTTGAACGCGATGAACCCACCAAGTTCAGCATGCTCCCTAAGGACGATCCGGTTGATATACAATTCGAAAACGTGCGGTTTACTGCTACCAAAGGGATATTTAAAAAAGGTATTAATTAAAAATAATTATAAGTTGTGTTATTATTTTATTTTTATTATTTTGCAATTATAAACTAAAAATAGTGAATTTTTGAAATATTTAGTTATCTTATTTGTTGTTTTGTTAACTTGAATATTTCTCAAGTTGTGCTTTATGCGCATTCGGTTCAATCGGTCAGAAACATGTAAACATCAGCTGATAGCGCAGTATGAATATGATAATTAATTCAACTTAGTCATTTCCTATAAGATTTCCTATAATAAATCTCATTATTTCTTCTCTGTGTTATTAAAATTTCAAACAAAAACAATAAGTCAATTAAAAATTAACATGGCATTCAAATTTTATTACTTTCTTTAAAAGTTTATTTTTTGACCTTGAAAATTTTATTGTACGGGTTTCTTGTATTTTTTATGGTTTTCTTAATTATTGGAGCACAATTATCAGCTGCATTAAATGTGATAAGTATCTCGAGATGACAATAGTCGCTGAACAAAGGATTTCGATAAGATGCGATAAAAATTGACCTTTATTATTTGATGATTGTGGCGTTTGTGACGCGCACATTGTAACACGAGCTTATGCAATTCAAGTAATTCACGCAATCAAACTTTAAACCTAATTTTATCATTAATCATTTGTTTTTGACTTGCTTTTATCTGATTTGTGCTAAATTGCGTAACAAAAATTTCCTATTGTATTGTATTGTGAATTAATTTTAATTATTTCTTAATTTTGCCACGAGCCAATAATTAAAAACTTAAAACTTGAAATTTGGGCATTTTTTTCCGCATGTTTTCTGACAATTTTGGATAAATTTGGATAAAAACTTTGACTAAAAACTCGAAAAAAACATTTTTTACAATTTTTATAAAATAATTAATCCTACATCTTAATTATTCAACTTAAGTAGCCATAACTGCTTAATATAAGTCTTAAAAAGTACTTTTGCTACTAATCACACTTAAGTAATACACTCGTGCGCCAAGTAGCCATCTATCCAGCTACTAACGCAAAGTAAACTTAAAGCAAACACTACAGCGCATTGATTGCGCCATTGTTAAGTAACCCATGAGATAAAAGTTTAAATTAAAGCGAATGTGCGAAACATAACGCTGTATATTACCTACCTACACTACGCAAGCTACCGAATTGACTTAAAGTTGCAGATTTCTAAAAAATAACGCACAAGTTGTTGAAAAAACGTAGTGCCTCAGCGCAATTAATTAACTTGCGTAACTTTTATGCACTCACAACTTTTATAACCGTAAATGAAGTTGGAATTGCGTTTGAATCGAGCACGCGGCACACGAAAACCTGATTGGCTAAATATAGAGTTTTCTTTCAACTTTTTAGACCATTTTAAACATTGTAAGAGTCGTAGAGTGACGAAAAACCGGTTGGAAACTATGAAAATAAGAATTTAAGTTGTTTAGAACGTATTTATGTTTAAGCGTGTTACAAAAACTAGATCAGTTCATAAACAGTTTGATGAAAATACGCAACATAAACAATTTAGAAACAAATAACATATAAAATAAATATAACAAAATTGATTACGCGTAGATTATCTATTGGACATTCAATTAAATTTTATTTCAAACTCGTGCCGCATTCTTTGTTTTTTTTAATGTATTTATGAATATATGATTGCTATATTGTTGCTATCGATATGATTTAACTAGAATTGTAAATTTAGGTCATGACTACTTATTACAGCAGCAAATTAATACTGATTTCATTTATAATTACGTTGATTTTGCACATAAATTAGTATTGACGTTGTATTCCAACCTGCGACAAATGAACTTTGCACATTCTAACAACAGTTCAAATGATATGAGATTAGAACGCTGTGACTCAACATAAATATTGTTCATAATGCACTTTAACCCATTGAATTTTAATTTAATTCAAATCATGTGAATTTTAATAATTCATAATTTGCTGTATGTTTGGTTGCAGAAAGTAAAGAAATTCTCCACTCGATTAATGGCCGGCTTCCACCGGGTCAACTCGTCGCCATTATGGGTCCATCCGGTGCCGGTAAAAGCACACTACTAAACGCATTGAGTGGATATTCAATCACTGGAACAAGAGGAAAGTTCTTGATCAATGGTTCCCCGCGTGATTTAAACGCATTCCGGAAGCTCTCCTGCTACATCACACAGGACGATCGACTACAGGCGCTGCTCACGGTCATGGAGAACATGTTGGTAGCAGCGGATCTTAAACTCGGTGCCGATGTACCACTTACGGAGAAGGAAGACATTGTAAGTTATTATAACTATGTGTTATCTGCAAGATTGTTTATAATGTTACTGGTTTGCCTTGAATTTTATATGGAAACTGCGAAAGATGTTAATTTGAAGGCATCCGATGGGAAACCGGGTGTAAAGCCTTGCGATTTATTATTTATTTATAAATAATTACGAATATTTACATTTTTACAAGGAATTATCAACAAAAACAACCTTATAAAGTCACAAATTATAAAATTTTGTGTTTTTACCGGACTAGATTGGTAAATCGAGTTAAGCCAGTAAAAGAAAATAGTATTTTTATTAAAAAAACCTGTTTTTGTGTATTGCAAGTTTTATACGCAGTTTCCAATAGCAAAAGTTAGGTTATGTCATTGCAGATTATGGAAATATATTTAAATATTTGACATACAAAACTAAACACGGTTTTAACGTTTGATTAAAGCATTTGCATTAACATACAATCCGCGGAAGTTTGTCCGCAATGTTTAACTTAAACGTTGTTGATTCACAATGCAACCAACGTCAAAAAACATAAATTTATTCAAAAAGTGCAAGAATATTCAATGCAAAACCAGTTTAATTAAAGTTTTATTTAAAATTACATATTTATATACACATTAATCTTTGCGTTTAAATATTGTGTCAACATTAATATTCCCAACACGTTGTTATCAATGTCACGAGCAACTTGCACCAAGAAACAATGCAAACGCAGTAGAACAACACACGCTCGATATTTTTTCAATAAAAATATCACTATGTAATCTTTATGACTTGAATATATATACGCGTAATGTTATAAACAATTAATTATTGTGATATGCATCAAGTCAGTGAACTTTTACACTTTTACATCGCGTTTTAAGTTGTTTTTTTTTAACCGTAGTTATTTATTTATGAAGATATCTGTCGTATCTCTGTATATTTATGACTTTTTTATGGTAATGTACTCGTACAAGGTGTGATTCACGATTATTTGCTCAAAACGGACTCGTGGATTATTTATGTAAATATTAATTTATGGTTTTTGTTTGTTAAAGATTCAGGAAATTCTTTGTACGCTTGGTTTGTACAAAGCGCGGCATACACGTGCTGAACGGCTTTCTGGAGGACAAAAAAAGAGGTTATCTATTGCCTTGGAGTTGGTTAATAATCCCTTGGTTATGTTTTTGGATGAACCAACAACGTAAGTTGCTTTTTTTGTTTTAAAACAAGAAAAAATAATATTGGTTGATTTTTTTAGTGGTTTGGACAGTTCTTCATGCAGACAGTGTGTAAAACTTTTAAAAGTCTTAGCTCGTCAAGGCAGAACAATTGTCTGCACCATTCATCAACCTTCCGCGTCACTTTTCGATAATTTCGACCAGGTATACGTCCTCGCCGCAGGTAAATGTGTCTACCAAGGTAGTACCAAAATGATGGTACCCTTTTTTGATGATGTGGGTTTCCCATGCCCAATGTACCACAACCCAGCTGATTATGGTAATTAATTTTTTTTCTAAAACAAATACAAACAAAATTAATGGTAATAAACACTTTTTAGTTATTGAATTGGCTTGTGGTGAACATGGCACGGATAAAATCGACCGCATGGTCAAAGGGACAGAAAACGGTAAAACTCTACAATGGATGAAACACCACGCTAGTTTACCATCAGCAAGAACACTTCGAGGTAAAATCTCAACAAAAAAGAAACATAATCCAATTTAAAAGTCAATGTCTTGTATATTACAGAAAAATTCGGCCCGATTAAAAAATCCGAAGGAAGTGAATCACTGCACGCGACCTCAGCGTCCCATCAGCTCAAGATTCTGCTCGGGCGAGGTTTCCTTAAGGCCAAACGTGATTCAGTAAGATTAAATTACGTTACATTTACGTCACGCGCTAATTAACACGATTCTTTGCTTTGTTTTAGACGTTGACTTACACCAGAATCATGGTAAACATTTTGACTGGTATCATGTTGGGTACCCTCTATTGGCAGGCTGGTATTGATGGATCAAAAGTCTTGGACAATTACAATCTACTCTTTTCTATACTCATGCATCATATGATGTCGACAATGATGTTGATGATTTTGTCTTGTGAGTTTTGCACACTTATTAATCTGTTTTTTATTGTCTATTGTCTTGTTATAGTTCCCAATGAGATGTCGGTGCTAACCAAAGAACATTTTAATAGATGGTATTCGTTGAAGATGTACTATACTTCGGTTACGATAGTAGACGCTCCATTGTCTGTAAGGCAACCTAACATAACCTAAAATTACAGCTGTTATAATGTATGATGATTGTAGGTGTTTTGCTGTGTGGTTTTCTCCGTGATTATCTACACAATGACAGCGCAACCACCAAGTTTAGAAAGATTCGGGATGTTTACTGCTATAAGTGTTTTGGTGGTGTTTGTAGCGCAGAGTTTTGGACTTATGATTGGCGCTGTGTTTGATGTCACTGTAAGTTATATATACATAACCTTTAAATGCTTTAAATCTAAAAAATTAACCTCATTTTTGTATATTTTAGAATGGAACATTTTTGGGTCCGACCCTTTCAGTGCCAATGATGATGTTTGCTGGTTTTGGTGTGGCATTAAAAGACCTTCCATCTTATCTCTTCTGGGGTAGTTATATCTCATACCTACGATATGGTTTAGAAGGTTTTGTTGGTGCAATTTATGGCTTGAATCGGAACACGTTAGAATGTCCAGAAGACAAATACTGCCATTATAAATATCCAACTAAATTCTTAGAAGATATTGACATGAAAGGAGATCAATTTTGGAATGATATTATCTGCTTAGCGATCATTTTGTTCTTCCTGAGAATAATGGCGTTTGTTTTGCTCCGGTGGAAGCTCACAGCACAGCGTTAAATGAAAATATTTAAAGTTATCCATTAATAGTTTAATTTACCATGTGATATATGAAACAAATTAAGTTTAAGACGTAAATTATACAAAAATATTTAATTTAAGTGACATCAGGGTTTAATATATTTGTTTAGAAAGAATGTAAGCCATTTTTATTGTTAGAAAAACTATTTCAAAGGCTGTGCATGATCAATGCATTTATAAATATAAATAAAATATAAATACGATATTTAAATGATTAATAATTTGATTGTTAGTGTTTATTAGCATGATATTTTGTTATTATACGATGTTATTATACATTAAAGTTGAATTTATTTAAAAAAAGTGATTTTCATAATTTTATTTAAAAATATAAAAATTGCGATGTATTATTTCATTGTGTTGCATTTAAAAAATAAAACCATTTCCCATATCACTCAGAATTGATGCATAATTACACGCTGTATGCGAAATTTATGAAAGCAACATGAGAATATGCATTAAAATGCATACAAAAAACCAATTCATCAAATGCAACATCCAACAAAAAAAGCAATAAAATTAACTGCCATTGTATTTTTGCTACAATTCATGACAAGTAAATATAATTAATGAAAGTATTTTTCGCAATAAATCATTTATTTTGTCAAAATTATTAACAACCAAAAAGAAATACTTAATTGTTGTTTGTTCTGTCATTTGAAACAAGTTAACTTATTTGAAATAATGGTTAAAAACAAAAAAAAACCGATTGGAAATGCGCTCGTAAAGATACGTCAGATAGATTATAACAATAGACGCCGAAGAAGATGGTTGTTGAACTGTTTTAATTACTTCGAATAATGAGATTACTATTACTTTTCACTTCGTACATTACTTTTTCTGTGTGTGCTGAGACCGGAGAGTACCATCTCGGGCGATTCTAGGTAACGCAAGTTTAGTCAACCGTAGAAGAAAGAATCTTCTCTTATCTGTTTTATGTAACAATGCGTGTCGCGTGTTTTGCAACATTTGCGCTAATATAATGCAACTAAACATTTTGCAACGTATATCTTTAATAGTAATCGTATGCAAGTGAACGTTAAAACACATTAAATTTAAATTAAATTAACTTTAGTTTAAATTAACTCAAATGTAATACATTTTTGCTTTTTTGAGCAGGAAGAGTTTTAATGGCATAAATACAGAACAAATTGATGCACCAAGTGAAGAACTGCAGGTTAAAGTAAAAGTACTTTTACTGAAATTAAAAATAAGCGCTCATAACGTCCGCGAGAACAATTTAAAGATGCGTAAACCACTTTTTACAATCACATAAACTTAAAATTAATATTAATCAGGTTGTAGGTGTAAAAGATTTTAGAAATCTTTACATTTACATAAATCAATCAAAAGTGTGCGATAAATTTTTTGACGAATTGGAGATTTTTACGAGTGGTGAAGAAAGAAGTGAAATTTACAACTGCGTGATCAATGAATCAGCTGCATGAAGATATTTTCGAAAGGCTGATAACTCATCGCATTACTACATGAATATTTATCACTGTTAAGAAAATTGTTTCCTCATTGTAAACACAATTTTCGTTTGTGTGTTTATTTTTGCTAAATATCGAATTAAACGGTTTTGAATAGCAAACGAAATGAATTCCAATTTGAAGAGAAAAGAATATTTCGTGCTTCAACGGTAGGAAACATCCAATTAAACAATTTCACATTCGTCTCGCTACGTCCAATTAATGACTCCATTAAAAAAGGCATCAATCGCTTAATTTTACACCAATTTACATCCGAATTGACAGCTAACGCTTAAAATGTTTACTAACTACTTTATAAGAATAAAATCGGAATTCAAAGACGCTGCATCTTGATTTCTCTCTATTTGTGGAGATTTAATAATACCTGTAAAGTTGATAAGTTGAAAGATCAAGATCTCAGACTCAAGACATTTAACTAAAGCTTATTCTGTAAGGCGAGGCAATGCAAAGTGAACTACTGTTTGACTTCCTTTAGAGATGCATGGGTTATAAGTGGAAGTGAGATGGTTGTTTGTTGCTTTCTTTCTGTAGGTGAAGCTGGTGCCCGTCGGCGGAGAACCGCCGAAGAGAGAAGAACTTTTGCCCAAGAGTTTTGTGATGGTATAAAACTGTCTCCCCGTTCGTCTGTGGGCTCAGTGCTCATTGTGCCGCGCAGCCAAATTCGTGAAGATGGTGTTGGTTTACTATAGGATGCGACTCACATTATTGGTAAGTCAAATAATTTATTTATTAAGAAAAAAAGTGAAAAAACATTAAGTGCAGAATAACGGTCTATGGCAAATAAAATTAGTTTTTGTGAATAATTTAATATTTATTTACATGTTTGGGTAATAATTAGATGTTTTGGAGATAATTTTATAGAAATTAGTGTTTTTTACAAAAAAACTTATTTTATATTATTGAATAATTAGAAAATAGTTGTTTGTCTGGTTTTGTAACAAATTCTAATGTGATCATGTGTCACCGCACACATAATTCTGTTTATTAGATAACTTGAATGTAACGCATGTTACAATTTCATCGAGCACGAGTTCCGGTCGTTGATTTTTTGCGACATTTGCGCGCGGAGAAGAGATTACTGCGCTACCGCCATTGCATAAGTTACTTTTTCCGTCGAGATTCACGCTTTTGTATTCCTATATACACACCGCTCGTTACTAGACTCACTTACTCATTACCTTAGATTATACAATATACATGTAAGATAATATCTCGCGTGTACGTTGCGTACACAGAAAACTAATCGATGTGCAGACGCGATTAATAAGTGATTCGCGTGATATCGTCATTGGCAATGTGCGATGAAAAAGCACGACAAAGCAAACACAACAACAACATGCGATTGGTAAATCATGCGCGAAGGAGAAAGTGCACATCGCACACGTATGTAGAGTATTAAATAAAAGCAATCGACGTGACGCACTCGCCAGATTCCGGAAGGACGGAATAGCATTTCACGCGAACTGGAAGATCAACAAGACGTTGAATAGAGAAGAGGTACAAGTGTATAGGAAGTTTATTGACTTTTAAGCAATATTTTACGCGAAAACGTTAAAAATATTATTTTCGATTTTTATTTCAAGTGAAAATTTTAAAAGTGAAAAGTTATGCGAAGATGAGCCAGATGTTAATCAGGTTCCGCAAAAATCGCATCTGGCGAATGCGTGCACGTCGGAATTTTCATCGCGTACATATTTTTATTGCGTCTTGTGGTTTTTCTCAGGTTTACTTTCGTCTTTTAGATGCTTACGCATTAACTTAAATGATTAATTACCATATTCACTAAAAAATAAAAACAAGAAATATTTTTAATTCATTTTGTTGTGTGAATTTTTTAAATGTTTAGTTTAACACGTTCCTCGCGTAATTTAATAGCTTAATATAAATTTATAACATTTTTAAAACTGTTATAATATTGCCCAAGAACTCACGAAGATGTGAAATGTGTGTAGGATGAATTACATCATTAAAAGAGGATTGCTAATGTTTATACCCACTTAAATCAAGCATTTATGCAACACATAACATAATTAACAGTACGAGTAAACCTAGAGAGCTAATATTCTTAAATCAGAGATTAACATTTAATTACCCATGAAAATCCGCCCAAACAAGAGTTTAACCACATAATATTATTTATTTGGTAAACTAGAGACGTAGATACCTACCTATATATTATATAAAGTGAAAGGAGAGTTGTGGGTATCAAAATCGTAGATATTAATTATTATCATTAGCCGCCGAATGTGGTCATCAGTTGGAGATGCGTAAGAAAGAAAGTAAAACACGGCGAGCATTAAACAGGCAGACGGCGAGCAAAACCAAATTAAAATCATTTAGAATTGAGCGATAATTCGAGGCGAATAAGTCTGCGTTTTGTATTCGCGCTCGGTATGCGTCGGGTGAAAGTACGACAGATGGCGTGCCAGACCGATATCCGGTTCAGAGACAAGCGTAAACAATCTGAACTGATGGAATTACGATTTTTTGGGTGTTCCACACTCAATAGCCATAATATACAATAAATTTAATTTGATGTGATATTGCTTGATGATATAATTGGTTATGTTTTGTTAGGTTATGTTATAACACATGGAAGTAGATGATTTCAGCAACAAATTGAATAACAAAAACATCCAAATCTAATTTGGGAATTAATTGGAAGTTTAATCTAATTATGTAACATATATTTGCATTGTTCTCGTACTTTTCTGGTGAAAGCCAATTTTGCATATTGCTAAATCTCCGCTCGTAAAACTGCAGTAAATTTAAATTGGTAGATTCTAATTTTGTTAATTACTATACCAACTAACGTAAATGATTTTAATTAGTAACCGATTTCTAACTGTTGACGTTGCTTCTGTTGTAGCTTGTAGTATTGTGTGCAGTCCACGGAAACACCAAAAGATCATCCAAAAAGCTTGAAGAGAAAGAAATTATAACAACGTCAAAAGATGTCTCATCAGATGGTAGTACTACAGGTAGTCCAAGGGCCGGATTGCCAAAAAATGCCATTATAGCCATTGAAGTGGTAGATCCCAGCGAGAATACCACCAAGGAAGGCAAAGGTCGTAAAAGAACTATAGAATCAGCGTTAGGATATGGATACAACGGCGGATATCAAAACTTTTTTGATGTTAAACCAAAACCTCCAAAATATGAGGTGTACAAGTATTCCCAACAAGATATACCAGCTTATAAAGGATCAGTGAAGCATGTACCAGTAGAAACTTACCCTGATACTTACCAGAATTATAATAGTCATGCACATGGATCAAGTGAACATGCTGGACCAACAGGGGCGACTAGTTACAGTCAACATGAATCACATGGTGGGGGTAGTCCAGATGCACCAAACTATGAAATTCAAAAATCTGTTCAATATGACCTTGGAAGTACAGCTCCTGCTTACGAACAACGAGCTCCTAAAAAGGGAGCAAATCTTCAACAGTATTATCAAAATGGAGCAACCTTGTTTTCTTCTTTGGACCACAATGGTCAATTAAGCTCATTGTCCTCTCAAGTTCCCAGTAATCACGGGCCTATGGTTCCTGTGATTATTTTAAGGGTGTATACGAATCAGTTAGGACAAAATGCTTTACATGCCAATATTCCTCAAGGCCATCCGTACGCAAATTTAAACAGTGTGGATTTACAGAGTTTACTTGCGGGTTATGTGCAGAATAATCCACATCAACAAGGTGCGCAGCAGTATTATGATCCTGGTCCACAAACTTCACATTCTCCTCAAGTAGAACAAGAGTATTACCAACCCGCTCCACAAGGCCCAACTCACGCTCATTATAGTAATCAACCCCAAACTCAAAGCCATTCTCACCATCAACATCAACATCAGCATCATGATACGGGTTTGCTCACAAACGAAAACTACCCGGATGATGCACATACAAAGGTGATCTTTAAGAAACCTGCTACTGGTGGAAAAACAAAGAGTAAACATTCAAGACCCCCACAGAAGTTTAAGATTACCATCCCAGAGAATACTTATAGTAAAGTGGAGGTACAGGAGCATACCTATGGAGGTCCACATGATGGTGGTCAATATGTACAACAACATGTTCAGTATGCGCAACCACAAGTTGCTCAGCAATATGAACAACAATACTATTACCAGCAACAGCCTGAACAATATGATCAGTACCAACAACAACCTCAACATCCCTCGGCACACAGCCAACAGGAGTATCAATCAAGTATTCAATCTTTGGTACAATATCAACAGGTACCACAAGAAGTCCAGAAACATGTTCAAGGTGGGGGTGGTAAACATGCACGTCCTGTACAACCTGTGCCATCAGAGTATGTTCAATACGGACCACCTCAACAACAACAACAGCAACAACCACAACAAGAACAACAACCTCAACAACATTACGATGCTAAACAATATGTCCAGATTGCTACGTATCCTAGCAATGTTGACCCTGAACAACATCAAGCCCAACAACAACAACAACAACAGCAACATCAAGGTACACCTATTCCAGAAGAGTATTACCAGCAGTATCTTCAATATGCTCAACAGCAAGCTCAACAACAAGCTCAGACTCCAACGCATGCTCAAGTAGATCCTTCGGGGCAACATGGCTACCAGAATCCTGCAGGTACAGAAGCACAATACGTGCAACGTCCTGAACCAGGTGCAGAAAACCAAGAATTCGCCATTGTGAAGCACTCAAACGATGCGGGGCGTGATTTACACCCCAAACTTTTTAATTATCACGCGCATGGGGCACCTGAACAACAAAGAGGAACCCCAAAGAAGAAACGCGAAAGGAAGCAGCGGAAGAATCGAGTGCCTTTAGTTCTAGCTCCTGATGTAATGGAAACGTTAGAGAAGAAGCAATAGTTATGTAATACAGAGTAAATGATGGAATATTTCGGATAAATTAATGAAGCAATGACTGATTAATGACTTATGGATGATCTGCGAGCATTTTTCTTTCTGTGCGTTGTATAAATAAGTAATCATGTTACTTTTAAGTGATTTATATGTGAAATGAAACGTGTGCAATATGTTGAAGTATTATTTCTTTTTTTATTAGTTGATGATTGATGATTGTGTAAATTGATTACGAGTTTTATATTATAAATTATCTATATGTTACAATAAACGTTATAATAATTTCTGTGTGTTTAGTTCATAGAAAGTAACTAGTATTATATAAAGTGTATGTTTGGTTGCCTACGTTTAATCTTTTCATGAGTGATTTTAAATCACACAGAAAAAAGTTTATAAATTCTTGGTCTAATTTTATAACAAATATGATTATTTTCAGCTTAAAATGCAATTTGAGACATAAAAATGTTTATTTTTTATAATATTCCTTTAAAAAAGCAACAGAAATAACATTTTAACAGTGATTTTGGACATGAAACATTTCTCTTTCCAATTGAAAACCAATCATAAATGTCATGAATGTTATAAAGTCGTGCAGAATTATTATTTGAGTATAATAAGTATTTAATTTTTACAAAACTCAGATATTGATGAAAAGTGACATTCAAGTGCAAGTTCAACAAGTTCAAGTTGAAAACCTTCACAACTTTTAAGTTGGCGCAAGTTGGAAGGCAAAAACCTCTTTGAAATTTGTCTTTTTGCAGGCGCAGCCAACCGTTGCAGAAGAGAAAAACCAGCGAGTAAAGAAGAAACGCACGAAAGAAAATACATTCACTTCGTTTGACTTTACTCTTTTACTCTTTACTTGCGTCCAGTTCGTTTACTTAGTTCTTACGGTACTTATTTATTTACGCTTTTCTATGGTAATAGTAATAGTAATAGTGATCGCGTCTGGCGGATTGTCGAAAAATAAAACGTGTGGTATGCGTGAAAATACCACAAATTGATTTTTAAAAAAATCCACGAAATTAATAACAAATTAATTTCACTTTTATGCGGTTTTACTTTAAATACTCGCGCAAAAAGAAAGTGAAAACATTGTACAAATGAAAATTGCGGAAATCAAGCCGTTTTTGGCTTGCAAATAAATTCGCACAGATTACTCAGACAATACGAACGCTTTTAAATGACTGCAAGTAATACTAGTAGGACTATAAGTAGCAGTAGTCTAATTACTTGCTTTGCGTTTCGTTTCGTTTCAATTACGACTTCTCGGATCTCTGTGGGAGCGTGTTTTGCGTATTCGAAGTCTTCGTGCTTCTCGCCTTTGCATTGTGTCACTTGAGGTGTCACTCACACCGGCAATCAACGCTAATGGCACCGGACACGATGCCATCATGGCGTGCAGTGCACGGCAGCCATTTTGTTAACATGCACGCTGCGAACTCATCTCGTATTCACAATTGTTCAAGTTTGTTTTAACTCGAGTGCAATCGTTTCACTTTCTTCTTTGAAACGTTAAACTTTACATAAAAAGATCTACAAAATTTTAAATATTATTTTGACTTTTTTATTTATTGAGTTATTAGTTTATAATCGAATATGAATCATTCATATTCAATGGTAATTCATAAATGTAAGTTTCTACTTGGTTTTAATTTTCTCTCTACGTGTTGAAAGTGATTTGAAAAGCTCTTTGAAAAGCAAGATATTGAACTTCTGTGCGTTTTATTTGTATTTCATTCATTCAACGTGTGTAATTTTGGCTGTAATTACAGTTAAAAATAATTAAAGTCATGCCTTTGTGCATCCAACAACCAATTTTGATTAATGTATGTCTTGAGTGAAGCACAAGAGAAGAAACACATTTACCAGAAGTACAGTGATTAAGATTAATTTAATTTCGAGCAAAGGTAAACAAATTATACCCGCTACCACATAACCAACTTCAGTATAATCAGAAAAGTCATTGACTTTGTTAATTTAAAAAAGCAACGACTTTTCATAATGCAATTTTGATGTTTCACGTTTCAAGTTGTAAACTATCGAGTGTATATGCGAAAAACTGAAAGTTGAAGCAATACGTCATTTCATTTTATTCTTATTGGTCCACATGTCTATCCATGTAAAGAAATTTTATTATCATGTGCATTTCTGCACGGTGTACACTTGTAATATCAGTGTTGGCTTCTTGCAGAGTAATAATTTAATTTTCTGCCGCATAATTCAGGTGGGTACCTGTAGAAATTTGCTAGAAATTGCAAGTTAACACTCGTCGCTGCAATTTCCAGTTGACTGTGCAGCCATGATCGTGATTTTGATGGCATCGACATCGACATTCTTATGCGTGCAAAACGAGATGAAAGTAAAAGCGTCGTGAGTTAATCACGCGCTCCTCGAAATTAATCATTGCGAAGTCGATTTGTTAATTTTTGCATATCCCGTCGTTCGATTCAACATTCGAACTGGGTGTTTTCCATTTTACAAAAGCTAATTACTTCTAATTGCAGTTTCTATTCATTTGAATATCAAAACGTTTAAAATTTTTGCGTGGTTTTTGAAGAAAGTTAAAAATATTTTCAGTCAAACAACTTTGTTGCTAATGCCAGCGTTATTAAGTAATTATTATTAATTAAGTTTTAGTTTGTCTTCAAAGTTGACAAGAAAATCACCGAAGACAATGTGAAAAATGACTCTGACACGAAAATGACTAAATTTCTTCCTCAACCTGCGCACGTGAGATGTTTACGAGTATCAAGTATTGAAAAGTAATAAATTCTCGCCGCACAGAGATTAAAATATGTTATAAATGATAAGCATGCTGGTCGCTTGCCATCCGGTATAATGCAAAGCATTTACATAAATAGTTATGCATCAAATTGTCAATTTGCGGCGAATAATTCGCGCGTTTTTCAGTTTCGCTCGGTTTTATTGACACGCCGCGCTCGATTTTATCGCTTTGTGCAACGCTGATAATATTAATCACGCCGATGATTTCTAATTTTCCGACCAGATGGGCAAGAGTTGTCTCTGCTTTTCCACCAGCTGCGATTTGGTTGATTTCAATGCTGAAAAATGCAGACTAGATAAATATGCAATTGTATAATCGTCACGTGTTGCTAACAGGCGAGTAACACAATAACCTAGTTGAGGAAAACAAAAAAGAATAAAAATTATACGATTCTGTGACGGTGTGTGCACAGACGCAATTAATTAGACGTTAGGTAGTCGTAAAATACTTCAAATACATGTTTAGTAACTTAAAACAAAGTTTAAGTGTGAAATAAATGAATTTTTAAGTAATTATATAAATTTTAGATTCAAGTAACAAAATTAAGTGCAAAATAAACATAAAATCTCTTTTTAAATTTTTATTTTCAAATTTTTTTGCCCTTTTTTTCTGCTTTTCTAATCTAATCTTTAAATTTTATTTCATAGAAGATATTAATAATTATTTTTCTCCAAAAATAATTTTTCTGCCCCAATTGTACAATACACTCACTAAAATTGTATAAATTATATTATAGGTAAAGTTAATGAAATCATGGATGAACGCATAAGTAAATTTATAGGCGTATATCGTCACAATCGACTTGCGTTGTAGATTTTGAGACTAAATTATGCGCGTTTCGAAAAAATTCAATTAGTTTCCTAAACTTGCTCGCCAAATATAGTTAAATACGTTTTGTTTCGTGCGTTTTTGTTTTCAGCAAGCCCGGCGACTTTCAAAACATGAAATATTTGATGTTTTGCGTCGTTTGCCGGCGTTCTAAGTAGCTGCGCGTTAAGTTGAATATATCGTGTCGATTTTGAGCCGAGAAAACGAGATTTCACCGCGACCAGCGCTGCAAATGATGCAAAAACACTCTATCTGTAGCAAACTTTCGGAGGTTTAGTACATCTGAAAGTAATGAGCATAAAATTTGTTTAAATGCTGAAAAGAAAATCGAAAATCGTAATGTGTAATGCATATTTAATATGTGTGTGCGCAGTGCTCCAATTCATTTGACTTGATTGCCGCTTGATTCGAAACAATCAAAATTGACTTGCATGAAATCGAAACAACGTAACGTACCAATTATATTAGAAATCAAAATAAACGTACATGCACGTTAATGGAATAATTGAAGACTGTGTGATACAAAAGAATTGACTACTTAAAAACGGATTTATTTATTTTTTTAGTTCAAACCTCAAAATCAAAACAAAAGTTTTGATCTAGAAAAAGGAAACTTGTTTCGTTTTCGTTACACATTCAAATTTTATTTAAATAAATTGCTTTCTGTGTTTAACCAGCACGCAATTGCTATTGTCATGTCACAAAAATTTAAATCCACCAAAATCGGAGTTTAAAACTTTTACTTTTGTTTCTTTTATTAATTTTCTTTTAGTTTATATGAATTGATTTGAAAAATGCGTTTCGTAAATTATTGCGTTTGTCACGCGATTAATAAAACGAATAAACGAATAGAAACTTGCAATCAGATAAAAACAAAGCGCACGCATAAACGTTAAACACTAAACGCAAATGAATTGTAACTGAATCGTAGCTGAAGATATTTACTGAGTTTTCTATATTTGCGTGAAAATGTGTTTAATTAGTAGTGTAACACTTTTATTAAATACAATTAATTTACTAAAAAATGCATTTTCACTTTTTATTGCATTCGCAACACGTTTTAATTCAAATTAGATATAGGCAACCAGTCACGCTTAACCTATCTTCGAATATATGTGCTATTCTGTGTTCTATTTGAAGTTAAAGGTTATATTCAGTTTATGAAATTACCTTTACACTTTACGACTGCTTGTAAATTGCATATATTCTTGAAGAAAAACCATATGCGCTGGAATGCGCACGTACATGGTGTAGTCTTAAGGTTAATTGCAACCAGCATAAAACGTCTAAAAACTTAACTAATTATAGTGTTTTCGTTTTGGGTTTGAGTTGAGATGGTTTACCAGTTTAAAGAGGAAATATATTTACTTTTGAATTTTCTTTTGCTTTCCAATACAATTTTATGCATCAATATGATATCTTTATATTTAAATAAATATTATTTTAAGAATCAAAAGTTTTTTGAAGACGCGGAGAGTTTGAGCGTTGGCAAAGTCAAAGTCAAAGTCGCGGCATAGCGCCGTCGCGCCTCACGAAGTAGAAGAAGCGGAGGAAAGGAGGGGAATGTTTATGAACTTAAAAGACGGTTTTATCAGTCGGCGACTATCATTCCATCGTTTTGCGCCTCACGGTCACATATCCTAATATAATTCGCTTATATACAAAACAAAGTGCGATGTGGCTAGTGATTGTGTTGCATTTGATTTATTAAAAAGAAAATATTAGATTAATGTTAATAGAATTAATTTTTATTTGCGAACAATTGCATGATTTCGTCGACATCTGTGATACTATTTTAACTCGTTAATTAATTTTGTGGATTATGAAGCAGATTGTAAGTATAAACATTTTATACATAAAAATACATGAAAGAAATATTTATAACATTGACATTGACGTCGTCAACAGAAGATATTTAGACAAAAAGATTAAACGAATAAATTCACTGAAACAAAACTGGCACTAAACGATGAAAGTTGTTGTAAACTTTACTTCTTTGCACCATTCATCTGAGTTTCTTTCATTTTTCTTTTTAAATTGCGCGTCACACACGTCATAAAGTAGTAAAGTTGTAAAATGCTTCTTCTGTGGCCTTAATGACACTATAAATAATAAAATTACAATAAAAACGCATAAAATAACCGAAAACAAAGTAAATTTCATTTTTAAGAAGAAAACAATTTGTTAAAAGTCATATAATTTAATTTTAACAAAAAAATTAAGAATAATAAATTATGAAAATGATGTCAACGTTAAATATTTAACAACCTAAATTTGCGCATAATTAATAATTCAAATACACAAAAATACAATTGCAGACGTTTGCTAATTGAATTAAACACGCAAATGCAATAAATCAAGTTAATCACGATCATAATTGCATGAATTTATGAATATAAAAAATCAATTTGATTCGTACGTTCGCGTGTGCGGTATAAAAATGCATATATGAGCGCGTGCGGCGGCGCGCAATTAATTAGCAAATCTTCATTAACAATTAAAATCGCTTTCGTGTTAGGCGCGCGTGTCCGGCGGTGCTCTACTTGCTCCGGCGGCGTTAATCTGGCTAATGCTGAACAAACAGTGAGCAGCGCAACCTAGATGCCCAGATGCTTAAAATGTTAAACTACCACGAATATTCACGATGTGCATGATGTGCAAATTACTAATTAACCAAAAATTAAAATTCGTGTTACTAAACACACAAATAACGCACTTTACAATAAAATACTTTAGATATTTCTTCAAGTGTAAAAAATCACAGATAGATTTCCGCAACAAGAAAAGTTAATGCATTAAATAAATAAAAATTAGATCAAAGAAAACAATGCAAATGTTGCTAGCAAAACGACATGAAAGTCATTGTAATTTATGAGTAAGTACCTTTATAGGAGCGCGACTAATCTGCATGTCTTCGGCGCACTCAGACGAACAATGATTGTGAATATTATCCGTATGCTCGAGTTTCTAAGATCTTCAATCATTTTTACTGTTATCTCCGCACTAACATTCACTACATTTATTACACTCGCAAATTAAGATAGCGTAATGTTCTAATAACTTACTTTGTACCAGTTGTATGTTTATTACAAGCGCAAACAAAAGAAAAAAATGTTAATAAATGCATATGATTCATTTTTATTGTGTTTTAGGTATTAACCGCACTTTTCATCGTGGGCTTCGTCACTTCTGACAAGCCAGAAGTAACGTCAGCTTCGTCACACCTCACACCATCGACAATAAAAGCAAACGAAAAGATTTCCACTTCATTGAAAACCAAACAACCTGCAAACCGTCGTGATGGCGTCAGTTACTCATCAAGCGTCATCCATCGTGACCCAAACCATCCGGAACAAGATGCTGCGAGTTCAATAGACTTCCGTCTCAATACGGATGTCAAAGGATCATCTATACATAATGACAAACCATCCGCGAGCTATTACACAACTCCCAAGTATGATTTCCATCCGCAATCCAGCGAATATTCTGGTTCTAGTCAAGTTCAACCTGAGGACCAACCTCATTCTTCACATGAATCAAACGACGATGTAATTTATGGGAAAAACGCAGCTCAAGCAACTTCAACATTCCATTTTGAGCAGGGTCATCAAGGATTGCAATCGGTTGGTCATCGAGGTGTATTGAGTCATACCCATGATCAATCTCCTCATTCATCTCAACATACCCATCCCAATCATCAACCTTTTTATAAACAGGTCTATGCACAACCTGTGTTTACTGAAACCAATCATAAAATTGAAGTTCAACATCCCACAACACAATTTAAAAGGGTTTTGAGTACGCCGAGACCCAAGACTACTTCTCAGGTGTATAGACCTGCTCCAACTAGGTCTAGCCATGCATCTCATGGAAGTCACTCGCATCAAACGCATCATAAACTGCCGGTACCTCAAGCGTATACTCAAGCAATCTATCACCAACCGGAACCGGTGAAATCTGGTAAAGCAATGGGATTTACCCATCAGAATCAAAATCAAAATCATAATGAGGGTTCAGGGCAGACACAGTCTTTTAATGTTGGATACAGTGTGAAGTTTGGTAATGATCAAGGTCAAAGGAAGAAACCTTATAAACCTACAAGACCTGATTCTGATATTATTACTGGGTCACATAAAGAGGAGGTTAGCAAACCATCGCATTTGTCACAGGTGACCCATCACCGTTTCCCTGCTTCAAATCAACAAGATGATCAAAAGTTTTTCTCTGCGTCTTCAAATAACCCACAACAAATTTTATCTCAAGCTAATTTGACTCCTAAGACACAGAAACAACTGGCTTTCTTAGAAAATATTCAGAGTCATAAGTTTGTACAGAAAGAACCACTTCAAAGTAATTTCCCATGGAAAAATCTTAGTCCCTCTGTTGAAATCTACAGAAGCAAAGAGATTTCTTTACCAAGTGGTTCAACGTTTACAAAAAATTATGGTTTTGATCACGAGAAAGCCATTGGGAAAAGCGAAGGGTTCGACTACACCAACGCAGTTGATTATAATGGGAATATTGTAAAAGTTCTGCCAACACAAGGAACACAGCACAAGGGTTATCTTCCTATTCCAGGTCTTAATACTGTTTCTGGAGAGCAGGGTCATGAAACCCAACAGATCCAAGTTCAGGCACAGTTAGAATTACAACCCCAAGGTGATTCACAATCACCATACCTTCAAATGTCTCACTCTGGTGTACCAAGTGGTCCCATTGATAAAATCCCTGCGTTACCAAAGTTACCAATTGATACCAGTTTGATCAGAGAGCCATTTTTGACTGTACATAAAGACCGGATGCAGCCTCATGGTACCCAACTCCCTATTCATTTTGATACATCTTTGATCAAAGATATTAGCAATGCGTATGGCCAAATCTTTACCAATGATGCACCTTCTGCTGGTCCGGGGTCTACTTACCAAGAGAATCTGGCACAGATCAATAACCTGCTTGCGGAACAGTCCCAACAACATCACAATTACCAACAGTTGATTCCAAGTTCAATGGCACCTCATTTGGAACAAAGTGCTCCAGAACAACAGCAACAACATTCAAAACCACTTTTGTATCTGCAACCTGCCCCAACAAGCCAAAGCCAAAGCCAACTTACAGATGCAAGTCAAATTAGGCAGGTGAATCATGACGATATGACATTTAGTTATCCACAAAATGGTCTGTTTAACCCCATCATGGCGATGGTGCCAAAACCAAGCGATCCCACACAAATGCCGGTATTGTTCACCCCTCAAGGAAATATCAAAGCAATTGATCCACAATTACTCAAACATCTTAAGATGTACAAAGTAAAGGAACATGTGCCTGATCATGCGCAACCTCAGATGGTTAAGTTTAAAGTGTTTGGAAAGCCTGGAAATGCGTTTATGCGACATCAGTATGAAAAGATGAGACATGGTATTCCTATTAGAATGCCAGGTGGACAGGGTATTCCTTTGCAATCGGGAAATAAGCGCCTTGTGAGAGAATACACAAACATCGAAATGGATCTAAGACCGCCCCCAATGGCAATTCCATTCAAAACAGCCAACTTTATAAGAATCAAACAGTAATGATCTTGTTTTAGCTTTGTTGTTAGACCATCAATTCAAAGAATATGTAAATATTTATCCTACTTAACATACAGCTTCGGTTGTATTTAATAGAACTGAATGAGTAACTGCCATAATAACTATTTCCTTGATTGAAATAATTATTATAGCACAAATTCGAGCGTAGTATCAATTATTAGAATGTTGTAAAATAATGTTAAACGTTTTCTTAGTAGATATTATTACTTATTGCGTTTTGTAATACGTGTATAATCGATTGTGAAACTTAAATTCTATAAGGATACTTGATAGCTTTTGCAAACGACAAGGTTGTTACATTTTGATGTAAATTGCTACTTAAAATTATTATTTACTTCTTTATTATTTATTAATATGTATTGTATTTAACAAAATAAGAATTAATTGTAATTCTTCTCAAAACATGATAATTTTGTGTATTAAACACTCTGTATCTCCTGTACCAATAAAGAATTTAAATTTTTTTTATCTTTGTTTGATAGGCAGAGGTTTCCTTTACAGAATGCATGCATTTTTAACCCTTTAAACTTTCAGGAAGTACCTTAAAATGTGCTATTTCATTCTTAAAATAAAAGCAAAATTGGTTTGAAAGGCGGAGATAAATTCTTTGGTTAAAATAATTTTTGCGTAAGCAACAGAACCAAATCCAATTTTTAAATTATTTTCGATTCAAATTAAACTAGCAAGTTTTAATGCTAATAATATCTAAACTAAAAACGGACTTCATAACCTTAATTCTCTATATGACACGTAAACTCCAACTTTTGAACCGCAGCTTAAGTGATAAATGTATACTGAAATACTTTATCAATAAAACTGTTTCCTATTATAATCCGCAATTAAAACTTCTAATATTTTTAAGTTTCTGAAAAGAGAACATAGATAATAAAAATTTGGCGGAGGCGCCTGTTATTTTAATTTTAATTAACGTTTGTAAATCTTGTCAATTTATTGATTCACTGAGTAGCTTTTAATAACCCCATATACACAACTTTTCACTTAATAGTACTAAGAGTTTTCCTTGTATATGGCTTTAAATAAAATGTGTATTCCAGTAAAAACAATAAACGATTTCGGATTCAGCAATCATTTCTCTATAAGGATTTTAAAAATGTGTATTTCAATAGAAGCGAAAACTATAAATGTTTCAACCATACTTATTGCATTTTCTTCATGCCTTAACAAAGATCTATAAAATGTTAGATTTAGTACTTTAATTCTGCAAATTTGGCTAAAAGCCATTCTAAAACAGTCTTCCTTACAAATTCCTCAAGAAAACGTTATTTTGAATTCTTAGTAATTTTAATTTTTTTAGTAATTGTGATTAGGGCTTAAACGACCTATAGTAGAAAAAAGTACCAGTAAAATAAAATATTTCAAATTACTTTTTTTCAATTTTCTTCAATGAAAAGTTTACATTACAAATTTTTATTTTTCACCGATGAAATGATGAAGATAAGTAAAATAAACACTTACTGTACGCTACTACTCTCGTAAAACAATTGTTTTTTTTTTCAATATTTTTTTCAATATGATGGAAAAAATAATAATGCCGTTTGTTGCTTTTCTTGGAAAGAAATAGGTTTAAAAGAAAATGGTTTTCAGATTCATATGCCAAAAAATTTTCAATTATCTACAGTAATGCAATAAATTTTATTAATCTTTAACACGAAAACTACTTGTATCATTGAAACCAGACCAGTATTAATGTATTCCTTGCACCATTCTATGCCATACTGGAAAGTGTTATGACAATCGTAGAAGTTGTTTTATTTAATTAGTTTTGACTTTACCCTGCATTTTCCAAAACATTGATGCTATCGGAAAACTGATTGAATATCTTACATCCTCCTGCAATTCTTTATCGAATAGCATTTCCCATTTTTCTCTAGCTTAAAAAATAGTTGTTGAGCCAATAAATAATCAAGCGTAAGCCCTGGACTAACTAGGACTGTTGCGAGTAAAATGTAATCTTTACAACCCAATAGGACCTAACCAAGTCATGATAAAAAAATGTAAAATGTAGATTAATTGCTCAAATTTAATCGTTTGCTTAGAATCCGCAATCATAAATTTAAAAACCCAACTTTTAATTTTGTATTTAAAAAAGGTGAAAAGATTTGCCTCTCCTCGTAACAAAATCTTTTTTGCATTTTTTTATTCAATTTTGTTCATTTTATAACATATATGCCATCTTGTTGAAAATTAATCAAGGATTAAGAATATGTAATCCTTTTAGTTTTCGAGATAATTTTTTTGGTGGAGGCGCTTTCGACAGTTTCAACCTGATTTTTTCTTTAAATGTTTCATCCTTTTATTCAAAATAATTTGAAAAAACGAAAATTTGACTCTGTTCTTCGACCAAAAATAATTTTTACGAAAAGGATTCGACTCAGAATTTAGGCTATGTGTTTCAGCCGAACAAATAAAAAATAACCAAATGAACAGCAACTTTAGTGCTCATTTTCGAGGACTTACAAAAAGCACTTTATAAAAGCACTCATAAACTATAAAATGGCAATGAGAAACTGAAAATGACTTAATTAGGGCGTGATGTATAAGTTGTTTTCCATAGTATCTTTTCAAAATAAACAAAAAATTGTAACTTCCCAAGGGTTTAAAGAGTTGGGGAGATACGCACGTTATAAAATGACTCGTTAACTACTAAATGACGATGAGACAGCCTACATCGCTCTATCAATACAAAAGATACAGTATGTTTTCCCCAGAGTTTTCTGTGAAATAAGGGTCACATTATAATTTGTATGAACAAAACTTTACCAGACATTAAATTAAATTAAAAAATATATAATTCTTAGTTAATCACTATTTGGTGTAGACCCCACATCCATATAAGTTTTTGTTTGTTTGGGAAATCTGAAAAGTCACAATTTTTCAGTTAAAAACTCAAAAAAAAAAACATAACAAAAATTGAATTGTTGAAGCACGTCATGAAACCGAAATCTTCAAATTCAAGAATAATTCTTTACGGTTTCAGAAACAAAAATTAATTAATTAACAATTAACAGATGATTTTTAAAGTAAAATCCACTCTTATTCATGTCTATTAGTGGTAGTGTATAACATTCACTCTTAGCTTCTTTTCACCTTGCAATATTTTCTTGTTATGATCGATTCTGTATCAACTCCCATCGACTTTTACTCTCGCACTCTCGATGCGGACTTAATGCCTCGCATTACATCGCAGAGCAATTTTAAATTTCAGCATTCAATAAATAACATTGAATAACATCCGATGTATTGTCGACGTTTGCTTTCACTGCAAACTTCAACTTGGTCCGGCGTTTTATTAATAAAATTGCTATTACAATTACTACGCTTGATCGTCACATTGGGTTGGACAAGCTCGTTATTCTGTGGTTTTATACTCACTTAATGCCGAAGAGATCACGACCAGCACTAATGCAAACCGACATGAACATGAACTTACTTAACCTTTGTAATACCTTTGCAAAACCGGAAATCGACTTATAAATTGTTTCATCCAATGGCAGCTAATGCACGAAAGCGATTTCAATAATGAAATAACCGAGTTAAAGATACCAGTTGCAAATATGTACTTACAAGCAACTAAAATGGGAAGTAAAGTGAAGCAAAGTAAGTGAAGTTCCATCAACCAGACGTAAAAACGGAACCGTGCGCACAGAAATCGTTTTCTCGTTCGCGGCCATTTGTTATAAGTTATATCAATATCCTTACATTGCACATTCACTCGCTGTGCGCAGATTGAATGTGTATTAAAAGCGCAACGCTCGATTGCGGACCACAATCACATCATACTAACATTTTTTCCGCGCGCTTTGTCGTACGTGCGACCCGCAAAATCCGCTGCAAGACGTGTGAAGCCATAGAAAATTTTTATTAATTGCGTGTGCAGCAAGAGAACGCAACTCACTTCCGAAATCTGATAAAAGTTGTTTAACCTGATAGAAATTAATAGAAAAACTGTGCATGCTAATTTTTCACACCTTTTACTTCACCAGAAGTACAAGATAAATATATAACTGTTCATCTTTGATGAAATTTAAGTAAAAATTAAATATTTGAAAGTTTTTACTTCCAAATAAATACACATGTATTCATAACACATAATTATTATTACGCTTACAGTGCTTATAATGTTATAATGCAAATTATGGTCAATTTTTTGCTGCAAACTATTAGAAAGCAATATCAATATATCACAATTTTGACAGCTCACTTAATAATAATTCTTATTGTCATCAAAAATTTTTGAAAGAACTAAAAGAAAGTAATTTAGAATTATAGACCTTCTGGAAGACTTTGAAAGTCATCGAGTTTGTATTATTACTTTCATTTATTGTTATTTATTGATTTTTCTTCAGGTGCATGCTTTCTGTTTACAGCAGACAAACAAGAGCATCTCATAAATTATACAGCAAGTATAACTGTAACAAATTTATAAACCACAATTATTTAATTAACAACAATAGTATTCATGACAATAGAAGAAGAAAAGAAGAAAAAACAAACAAAACAATTTAATTAAAAGCGTAAAAGTTTAAATGCGAAATATCTCTATTATAAAACTTCCTCGGTCGTGTCGTGAACTGTAAAGGATTATTTTGTTTAATTGTTGTCACACAAGCATGCAGAATTTAACAATGCGTGACAAGTAACTAAGAACTCAGAACTTTAAGAATTTAAACAAATAAATCATTTAATTTTCTTTATAATTTATTTCCGACAGTAAAAAATGTAATGTTTTAAAAAGACATAAACGATTTTGTTTTAGTAATAAAACTGGACAACTCAATCATCCATACACGACCTACCGCAGTAATTTATGCGATAATTAATCTTAATTTAATGATATTAGAAACATGACACACCTCATTTCATTCGCGGTGCTTTGAAAGCACAGAAATTAAGTTATTAAAACGCATTCGCTCATTAGAACGCATGATGAAACACATTGTAACAACAGATGTGATTAAATGCAAATTACCCAAAGTTGAAATTAAGCTTGGAAGTGAATCGGAATTAAATTGAACTTGTTTCGATCGATTGCAGGCTTTGCAATCTTTAAAATCTCATTGTAGACAGTAGAAAAAGAAGCGCAAAAGTAGTGAATTGCCAACATGAACGTGAACAACAAACGCCGGCCGCGGTATTAGTGTATTAGTGAAAGCACATTATTATTCCGGGTATAAAAGAACGTCGCGCGCGCTCAGGTGGCATCAGTTCGATCTAACTCTTTCGCCGCTATCACCAGATTGAACAATTTGTTCAATTTCGTCGATAGGACCTTGACTTTTGGTTTTTTTGGTGGTTTTTCTCTCCCTTTTTGTGTGACGTACACGCCCCGAGTCAGTGTACAATGAATTCATACGTAAGTACAAAAACAAACAAATATAAATCAAAACAAATCAATTACAAAATTAAATAACAAATTAATTATTAAGATTTATACATATAAATCAAAGAAAACGCTTTTAAACGATTTTTAATCAATAAGATAAGTAGATTTTCCAATATCACGTAAATCATGTAAATTTATTTATTAAAATCAAAGAAAACATGAATTTGTATCAATTCACACTTTCTTTGTGTTAATTATAATAAACTTGTTCAGTTCTAATAGTTTCTAACCGTTTGAACCAATTATTAAACGAATAGGAATTAATTAATTAGTCCATTGACCAAAAAAATAAATGTTTTGTTTACCAAATATTTAAAGAAAGTCTCTAATACCACTTATAAAATCAACAGAGCGTGAAAATTAGTTTCTAGTGTGTAAAAACCCAAACCTTAAAATAAAAACATTTTAATATGGTTTTGAAAACACTGGAAACGTTTAAAAATCCGTTAAAACTTTCGAATCCAACACATAATGTCATGATTACAAATATTTTCAAAGGAGTAGCAAGAGATCAACTGCAATTTAATTTAATGAACAGTTGTTTTTATCAAGCTGGGAATGAACAAATTAGAGTTTAATGCAGCATCGGATGCCATTGAACGTGAACGTGTACCAAGTCTCGGGAAAAAAAATTGTTGAAAGTAAAATGACTACAGATGCAGTTTAGAATTTACCATAGAAAAGAGCGGATAGAAAATAACTTGAGAATTGCATACAATTTCCGGTTGCAATGACTGCAAATCGGTAGTAATAGTGATGAATCCACTTTTACCATACATACAGAAAGTGTTGAGTCAATTTATCAATTCATTCTTTTTATGTTTGTTTGTAGATTTGTGTATTTGCATTCTGCATAATCGCAACCGTAAATGCCGGCTACGCCAATAGCAATTACGGACATGGCGGCGACGATTCCGGCGGCCATTTCAGCAGTTCCGGCGGCGGTGGTGGTGGAGGTGGACACTTCAGTAGTTCCGGTGGAGGCGGCGATAGTCACAGCTACAGCCACGACTACGGATATGGTAGCTCCGGTCAGGGACAGGGTCATGATGGTGGACACGGTGGCCATTCGGTTCAACAAACTGTAGAAATACACAAACCGTTCGTCATTCCCGTCCATCAACATGTCGGCGTGCCCATTCCGCATTCTGTGCCAGTACCCATCCCGAAACCAATTGCCATTCCAGTGCCTCAACCCTACCCGGTGCACATCCATGTGCCGCAACCCGTTGCCGTACCCGTGATTAAAACAATTACCATTCCCGTGGAGAAACCTGTACCATACATTGTCGAGAAACCCGTCCCTTATCCAGTTGAAAAACCCGTACCAGTTCATGTGGAGAAACATATCAGTATCCCCGTCCCTAAACCTGTACCGGTGCAAGTGCCCGTCTATAAAATCATCTACCATCACAGCAAGCATTAAACTTGCCCAAAAAGTCCAAAGTATAACTTTAGGAATCGTCCGAGCTTGTTCGTGGAAGATGCGAGAATGCAAAGAACACAGCTAATTTGCAAACAATACCAAATTTTAATTTAATTTAAACGTTGTAAATTAATGCGATTTTATAATCATTTGTTAACTAATTGATACTTGTTGAACTGTTGAATGTTGTTTTATGTTTTTTAACTTTTTATCTTATATATTTTAATTGTTAATAAAGACTTTTTAATTAATTCAAAACTTTCTTATGTTAATTTATCGTCAACCACAAAAATATTTAGTTTTAATTAAATGTTTAACAATATCGTTTAAATAAATTTAGACTTTTATAATAGACATCCCACATACATTATATGAAAGTATGTATATTGGGTTGCCTACAGTCAACTATACATTTTGAATACCGACATATTTCTAGTCAGTTTAGAAAAATACTTCCTTGAATACGTAAACAAGAGCACGCAATGCTAATTGTTTGCAAATATCTTCAATATTCTCATCAATATCAGATATTTTCACTTGATAATGAGGAAAAACTTTGTTTGCATCATCATTTTCTTCACATTTCATTTCCTTTCATTGTGACCCATTATTATTCAATACGTTTGTAAACATGTAAATGAAAATTTAATTCTCATGCCAATTTCATGCCTTCACTCCATATGCGTCCATAAGTTTTGTATCATGTGTTTAAAATTGCAAAATTGCAATTATGCACAAAACCAAAACAGCGACCACACAACGAGACCGTAAAAACGAGATGCGGTAACGTACAGCGTCAGGAAACAAATTTATTACCATATCACAAACATTATGCAATAATGCTATTTGAGCACGATTTGAATAAAGCAGATCAGCAAATATTTAATAACGCGGTGTGTTATTAAACGGAAGTAGAAACGTGCGATTTGGAAACCGGCGCAAAGAAGCGCGAATCCGATCAAAATAGGAGCGATATTTATCTGCGTGCGCGATCAATTTCGTTTTTATGATTAGCGAGTGCTTTAATAATGTACGCTGTGGTGTTGGCGAGATAAGTGCGTCGTAATTAATCGAGTTTGAGAGAAAGCAGCGCGCAAAAGTGCGAAATGCGAAGTGACTTCGGTGGTTTCATCCAATTATATTTTAGGCGTCAATAATTAACTAATAAAAAATAATCCTAAACTAATTTTAAGATTTCCAAAATTAACAATAAATAAAAACAAATTTTGAAAATAAATAAACATAGTTGCAATTAATATCATTTGTTTGTAGAAATAACTTGATAATTGAAAACTAAATTACATTTTTAAACTTTAAAATGTTAGGTTTATGTAACACAAGAGGAAATAATGCACTCTCAACATTTATCAGTTAGTAATTACATTAATTTTCTACCTGCAGACTAACTTTAAGTTATGTGGAAGCATTATATACTCACAGACTGCTTGTGGTTTTGCTTTTCGTGGGTTTGCGCTACATTTTCGCGTCGAACGCATCGCGTAACCGAAATTGATTAATAATGCGCTCAGTAAAAGCATTAAAGGTAATCGCCGGCGCAGTGAACGCGCGCAATGCATCTCTTGTTGCACGCGAGTGCGTTACTCCAGTTCCCTATATTTAATTTAATTCAGCGCATTTTTTATATTTATTTCCTACGTGCGTGCATCGAGGTTTATTGCAACTGTTACAAGATGTTTGAAATATGTAAAAGATGTAATATAATGTGTTACGCCTTGAATTATCTTAGCTTATATTATTTCTATAAAAAATACTTGTTATTTTTTGTTCTTGACCTGATAAATGACATTATTAGATCAAATTAATTCTACATCTCACAATTTTGCCAAGTAGGAATGAAAATTAAGGCGAAAGCGTGTTTAACGTGGTTAAGATTCAAGTTGCGACATTCAAATGTGTTTTTATCATGGCTGAGATAATGCCTCATCAATTTCCGTTCGACTCTCGCCAAACTTGGCATTTTCCCGCAGCCAAGATGCACCGTATCGAACGCATCAATAGCCATAATGGGCCCGGCGTTGTTTTATGGCCTAACGGAAGTCGTTCTCTGCGCGCTCTGCGCCTCCATCTTTCTTCATTGCACATTTCTTCGGCTTGCAACGGTTCGCGAAATAATTATGCGGATTGGCGCATTGCGTAATAGAAAGTGTTATGGATCGAGCACAAGACGATGCATATCTTTACAATTAATACTTTAATAGGTTCTTGGATGCATAATCAATGAGTAGAATATTATACGGCCGCAAATACTCAATAACAGTAAGGAGGTAATTGATAATTACCGATGGCGGTAATTTAAATCTTTACGATTGCAGATAATGTGTAATAAAAGTGATTGATGGGATATTAAATTGCAATCATTGTACAAAACTGTTGTTTGAACGAGATAATAGATCAAATTTATTGAAGAAAAATTCAAGAATCCAATAAAGGTGTAATTATTTTGATAGAAATGAGTGTAGGCTAATTTATATTCCTGAAATGTCGCGTCAAAGACCAAATGTCTTTTTGTTCTCTCCGTATTTCACTAGACTTTTGGATTTTACTTTCGTTTCTTCAAGAAATCAAAATAAAAGATATGCAGAAGCAACAGGTTAGCAGGTCAGGTAAATTGCTATAAAAAGTGCAGGAATCTTTTATTTTTTGTATTCTATACTATTTCCTTCACAAGTTTATTAACTGAAAATTGCAAAATCAATTTTCAAGCGCTTTTGTTTTTATTGTTTTCGAATATTGCAAAACACTGTCAATAGTAGAACGTAACAAGCATTTCAAGGAGATTTATGGTTAATAAGTCCAGAGATCACCATCACCCCATGAACGCGCACGTTCTACCATCTTCCACGCGCCACGTGAAGACCGAATACCGGCAATATAAAAGCGCAGCGCGCGAGGATGAAAAAATCAGTTGCAACTTTCCTTTCGCCAAACGCCAGCACAACCCAAGGCAAAATCTAAGCTAATATCACACACGCCGTTAGTGCAAACAATAATAATCACGTTCATTCAAGTTTCAAGTGTTCAAAACTCCTCAAACAACAATGAAAGTTATTGTAAGTAATCATAAACATCTAAAAAATTATTTTCTTAAATCTAAAATGCCAAATAAAGGTGTTACTAGTAAGTTTCGCATCACTTGCCGCCTGTGGAGTTATCCACGATGGCCATCATCACCAAGCCACATCATATCAAAGCATCCACATGGAACACTTCCATCCGATACCGACATACGCAAAAAAAGAAGACATGCATTACCTTGAGCATCCAGTCAGTGAGGGGAAGACCGAATCCAAAGTGGAAGTTCATCATGGCAGCAAACACGAACCAGGATACGCCGTAGCCGCCATCCACTCCGAAATCTATGGTCATCATGGCGGACATAAATTCGTCGCTGCTGGAGGACATTCTTACGAACATGACGATCATCAGGAGCATCAAGCTGAACAACATGCTGATGTTAAACAATACGAACCTGCGCAATACCACGGTGGATACTCTGAAGAAGTCGGTCAGGATGAAGCACACAGCCAGGAGGAACCCAGCGGCCATTACCAATACAGTCAGGAAGCGGCGCATGAAGGCGACGAAAACGCTTCATATTATCACGAAGGACAACAGGGTGATGAAGGTGCGCATGGTAGCTACGAACAGGGTCACGAAGAAAGCGGTGAACACTATTAATACTATCCTGAAAAATTTGTTTAGATTTAAGCATTGTTAAGTAGGTTTATAGGTGTCACTTACTTAAGTCTCGATTGTCACGAATGTGCGGTGTGAAAACGTGTCTCTGAATGAATTTTGTGTGAAAGTTTTTTGCCAATATCGTGGCGTATGTCGACCGTGGCAAGAAAAACAAGCATTGTTTGTTATTGATATCAGCCGGAAGTAGACTATATAGAAAAAGAAATTCGCATTTATCGAAAAATGTCCGGTTGACATTCAATAAACAGCGGTCGGGATTGTCGCCACTTATGTACCATGAAAACTGGCTTTCTTCTCGACGACGACGACGACTTTATTGCTCGCTACGTTTGCAAGCTGTTGTCTTCCAGCGTGCACGAAAACCAACTCGTTTCTCATGTTGAACTTACATAAGTGCAAACAGTTGTTTTGTTTACTGCTTCCGATGCACGCTGCACTTTCTTCATAATTTCCTTTCTCGGTTTTAATTAGTCGATGTTCAATATACTAATTAATGCACGCCAAGAACAATTTATGTTAACTTACGCAAAACTTAAATAATGTTTTTATAAATTATTTGTTAACCAATAAAGACAAGATTTTCAAACGAAAAAGGCGCTCGGAATTCGTTTAAATTTTAATTCATTTAGATTTTATTTAGAAATCAGTCTTTTTGCATCAGTTTTAGCCGCATGGCAACTTGTATCACACATAGACAAATCACAAAAACATCCACAAGTCACAAGTTTACAAAGTTTTCCTTCCACCACCGCGATTCAAACAAAAATAGAACAATTAATTACTTCACATATCGTTCCAGATTGGTTTTCGTTCGTTTCGATTTACTAGCAAACATTAAAAGTTTTTGTTTCGATTAAGACTAGAGAAAACTTTGCATTACAGAAATTACGAAATATTCACGAACGCAAGCGACGACCACGCAATTTCAACGAAACAAATAATGTGTAATACAAATCATCATTGTCATCTTCGCCCTCCACATCAACATATAATATTGCATGCAGTCTCATACTTAAAGCAATCGTTTACACATTTAAGACGCGTAATAGTACAAATAATAATATATAAAATAATTTCATCTTCGAGACACTTAATTTACTAATATTAAACAAACGATTTTTCAAATCATAATAGCTGTCACGCTACTAGTAATAAAAGTTGTTAATTAGGCACGTTTGACACATACGCCGGTGCCCATTTGTCTCAAAAGGTAATCAAATCTGCCAGCAGTAGATAAATATATAAAATATTACATTATTTACGTCACCTTACGTTTCTATCTCACTTCGCCTGCCTCCGCGCATCGTATCGTTGCTCCACGCGTCGTCGATTCGAACAAACTAAATCACAATGGACGGATCAACAGAAAATTTAAAAATTGAACACAAAACAAACCTAGCACGCGATTCAAATCAAATCTCTGACTACTTAGGCCGTCGAAACACGCTAAACAAACATCGGACATTTTACATCGTACAAAAATAACAAGCTTTCTTAACAAAAATAAATCTCGCGCTTCGTTCGTATCATTGACGCCACAGCTTATAAAATATAATTGTCATAAAAATAGATTCGCGTGATTGCTCTTAAGGGCCGAGCGCATGCTCCATCATCTGCAAGCAGAGCGACTCGAGATTACTCTCAATATCGACGTTCTTCAACGGTTTCTTGCTCCGCAGAGGCGCATCACTGCGCATCTCCGCACGCAAATTGTCATTTTCGGTCTCGGTTTCTTGAAACCGAACATGATGATGCGGAAGCGGCAGCGATGGCGGGGGCATACTCGTGTTAACGCTGATATTAACGTTCAGATTCGCGTTCGACGCTTGGGACTGAATCGTGGCGGGTTTGTGCGCGTGGGGTTTATGAATGTAGGTCAGGTCGTTCTTGTAAATGTTCGGCAGCATGCTATTCAGCTGAATACTGCCGATTGAATGGCGATGGCCGCCGATAATGCTTTGGTTCTGCACATTCGGATACGAGGAGCTTTTGTGATTGAAAATTTGAAGATTTTTTGCGTTCGTTGACGACGTCGAGTTGTACGATTGATTCTGATGCCTATAAAATCATCATTTCATATGTTAGTAAACAAAATATTTCCTTAAATCCCCTAAATCACCTACCTGTAATTATTATTGGGATTCTGTGCGGTGGTGCCATTTTGTGGTGAATTCTTGACTTGTCCGCGCCACAAAGTTAATCGTCGCTTCTGTTCGGCCGTGAAGGCGTCGTTGGTCTCAGCGCGGTCACAAAGTGTCACGAAATTATTCAGAGATTCTTCTGACGGTTGACGCAACATCAATAATTGCGTACAAACTAATAAAAAACAACAAAAATAAGCATATTTTCATTTGTGAGCATAAAAATGTCATATCTTTACCTTTCCCCATAACCTTGACAAACTGCGCTGGCAAATCCTCATCCGGTGCAACCAAAAGGAGCGGACTCATCATCACACCCTTCAACTTCCTCAACGCCGCAGGCAGTTCACAACCATTCATAACTTCAGTCTCCAGCATCGTAAGCACCAGACTCCTCTCACGCAGTTTAGAAATACTCAAGAGCAGCTTATGCCGCGCACCTTTCGTAATCCCAATATTATCGAGACTATCATCAGTCAAATTCAACATTTTCTCATACGTTAAATTATTAAATACCCAACTATATTTATGCAATCGTAGCGATTTCAACCAACCGACGATACTGCGCATAATCGGCTGATTATTCATCATCTGCAGGTCCTGTAGACGCGTCTCCGAACTGCTAGACTGTAGTGTATTATGCAAATTGATCGTCTTATCACTGGAGAGCGAGTAACTCCTTGGTTTCATGCTCTGCTGATGCAAATTTTCCTGCGACGACCACACATCAGGCGCTGGTGAGAGATTCTCATGGCTGCTCGTCTGCGCGGGTGTGAGACTATTCGAGCGCCGATTCAAGCGGTTCTGAATGTTTTGCATGTCGCTGACAAAACGATTGTTCACCTCTGGTTTCGGACTCGCCGACTCATCGCTGCTCTCGTTCATCGGAGAGTGCACGAAATTCTCCGGTGTAACACGATGTACGACTTGTTTGAGAAGATGTTTGAATGACTTTTTATCTTCTTTGCCAAACGCAGGATGAACAAAAACGTACGACATGATCTCAACGCACTCGTTATAAATTTTCGTCGGCGGTGTGATAAAGTCCGAGAGAACTTTCCGGATTGTTTTCAGGTAACAATCGCTGGTTTCTTTGTTGCCTGGTCTTAACAGCGGCAAGTGGGATTGTAGTATTGAGAGGGCGACCTGTGGGCGTTCAGACAGCAAGCTGCAAATGAATGCAGGATCATTAGCGTTGCGCTCCAGCTGCAGTGCCTCGGGGGTAGTCAGGGCTTTTACACACTTGTCGAGCGCATGGTGCAGGAATTTGGCGTTCCCGTATGGAAGACCCACCATCAGGTAATAGATAGCTACCGTTTGCTCGCAACCGTCCCACTTTTGGAAGCGCAATCGCATGTCATTCAGCTGTTCGCAGAATTCTGAGTAGTCGCGCATTTGAGCTGGATCCATGGTGCTGAAAGTTAATTCAGCACTTTTAGATCCTTTTATATCTAAATTATATTTTTTACGAAGAAGAAATTATATTTCAAGCATGATTAAAAACTAAACTAACTTCAATGCATTTAATTTAAAAGCCCATTGTTTCTTGAACAAACATTAAAATGAATTAAATATCCCGTTAATTTTAATTCTAATTGGAAAGAAGCAGCGTGTGTGAAAACGCGCTGTAGCCATTCTTGTTTCGCAAAATCTTCGCCGATAAGATAAGACATCGCAACCTCAACGCGCGCGTTTGACCAGCCTATCAGTATTCCAGTCTTTCTGTTTTTTTTTGTTTATTGCAGCGTTGGATAGCAACGTCCGCGCGATTAATAGATGGAAATTTTATTGAAAATCAGCGCTTACCTGATGAGAGCGGTATCTGCGGCGATGTTGGTTAGCAATTCGGCGCGATCGCGGCTTTCATTGCTTAAGGGAGCCGCGATATTCACCACTGGCGGTCCTTGTTCGCCTGTCGCGACACACACCCAACTGCAGCGCACGAAGTTAACCACACTTCTGCCGCTGGAACTGCTTTCTTCTCTCACGACCTGTCAGGAGTGCGCAGAACAAACGCCGAAAACACGGAGAAAGTACGCCGGCTGACCGCCGTCTAGTGATAAAACTAAAAGTCACTAGACACCACTACTCTACTAGACAATTTCAACAAAAAAAATCACATTTTTATAATTTTTTCATGAATAACACACCGATAAATGCGAATGAATCTATTTTAATGTTATTAATAGTCATATTTACATCACTGAAAGCGAGTGTTTTAATTCACTATGCATTATGTACCACCAAAATGAAACTATTCAAATTACTTAAAAAACAAATATTCAAAGTGCAATCAACTCAACCATGGCCAGATTCATCTTCACATGCGCCACACTGAAACGAAATTATTTCCTTAACTTAAAAACTGCTGCACGGCCATATCATCGGAACTTAAGCCCAACATGGCTAAATCTTCATTAGGATCATCCGGGGGCAATGGTGGCGGTTCCAGCGGTAGCGAATGCGACTTGGGCGGTTCCGGCTCCGAAGATACCTCCATTTCCACTCCGGGAGGATTAACAACAGGCACCGGCATGAAATTATACGCTGCCGACGAGTACATCATGTTATTATAATCCATTGAACCATACTGATACATCGTGTTGGTTGGATCTTCATATAACATATAATCCTCCGACGCGGTGTGATCTTGCTGAGCATATTTCGCCGCATCATCAGCATCTTCAGTTTCGGCTTCCTCTTCAACCGCCTCCTCTCTAGCAGCTTCCAGAAGCGCTCTTTCTGCTTTCGGCGCAAGTTTAACCTCCTCAGCGACAACTTTCAACTTCGGTGGTGGTGGAGGTTTAGGAGTACTGATCTTGGGTGGTTCTGGTGCGCTCACAACCTTAACAGGGGCGGTAATAGGCGGTGGAGGTGGTGGAATCGGTGGTAGAGAACTCAACTGTGGGAAACAAACAACCTCAGGTTCAGGAATAAAAGCTCGAGCGAGATTCCCCGGCTGGAAACGAGTTTTCCTCGGCGCGTCATAATCTTCCTTTTGTATCTCTCGCTTATTTTCGCTATCCCTCGACTTGGGTTTGACGTTTTTGAAGAGGGGCATACGGCCGATGAAAGGCAACTTCTTACTGGAATGTTGCCCCTTGGACTTGTCCTTGCGATCATCGTCATGGTCTCTATCCCGGCGTGATTCATGTGATTGGGAGCGTGAACGCCGTCGACGATCGTGATCACGACTTCGACTTCTGCTTCTTCGATTACGATCATAACGAGGACTGCGATCCTCATAATCACGACCATTTCGATGCCCTCTGCGTGAAGGTGAAGGCGATCGTGAGCGACGACGACGTTTTTCAGGACTTCTTGAACCACTGCGACGCCTGAAAAAATAATATTAAGTATTATCAGCTTTTTATTTAATTTTTTAATGTTTATAATGACAAACCTATATTCCCGTATAGATGGCTGTTGCCTAAGCTTCAAACTCATCTTCTCCCTGTGCTTCTTCTCCTCTTCCTTAACCATCGCCTCCTTTTCAAAACGCTCCCTCTCCTTGCGTTCCGCTTCCTCACGTTCCTTCTGCCGGCGAATAACTTCCGCCTCATAAGCAATCTTGGCCTTCTCGGCGTCTTGTTTCTGCTTCAATTTCTCTTTAAGATTGTCCAACAATTGTTTATCTTTACCAGGCGTATCATTCGCGGTAGTCATCCATTGACTGAGCAATTTATCCTCAGGAATATCATCTTTCTTACCCTGCCGGATCTTCTCCAATAAATCAATCTTTCCGTCACTCTCGAGTAGTTTATTCCGCATAGCGACACGGATTGATTTAGTTTTATCCTCTTCGGAACTAGAAGAAGATGAAGAACTGCTTGAGGACTCATCGCTGGAGTGCTTCTTACGCTTCTTCGACCGTTTCTTCTTTTTGCCATCTTGTACCGCGTTAGGAGATGAATACTTATCACGACGTTTGCTTGCCTCATCCGAATCAGAATCGTCCTTGTTGCGTTTGATACGATCGAGTGCCTTCTCGCGATCTTTCATCCACTCCGTTTCCCAATGTGGGTTTTGTTCAACAAAATTCTACATAAATCAAAATAAAATTAATGAAATGTAAGAAAAAGTGATTATCACTCACTGTGTAATTCTGCGAATGCGTTATCGACATGAGATGCTGCGATGCGCAATGCAGGTCGCCGATCCAGACGTCACACAGCCGGCAGTACCACGCCGTGGAGGCGACGAAAAACTGCAGACCTACAAACACGCCGCATTTATCAACATTGCTCGCGCCTCAAGCGTAAATCAATCTGCCTACGTTTATGCAACCAGAGTCGTCATATATAATTGCGTTTTGTCACAATGTGGCAGGAATTCCAAGTAAACAATAAAACATTTTAAAGGAGGAGAAGGCGCTTCAAGTTTGTCCTAAAAATGCAACCACCGCTTAGTCACTACTCTCGCTCTCGCCTAACAGCCAATTCCTAACATCGTACAATGCTAACTAAACCAGACGCACACGTACACACGTTTACAATTTCCACGTGAGTACACCATCATCATTTCGCGTTACAATAATCACTTAAACCTAGGTGTTACCTTTGATCGGCACCCGCTTGACGGGGGCGCCATCGTGTGTGGGAAACTTGGGCTCCGGCGGCAGCTTGTGCCAAGGTACTTCCTCCTGTGCGGCTGCCTGCGCCTGATGCGTCTTGCTGTGCAGATGCAGCAGCAGCTCCTTTGCAGACTGCGGAAATACATCACAGAGGCGGCACCAGTGAATCTCCGGGTCGAAGTGCTTGAAATTGATCTTCTCGCTGCCGCGCAGTGTGGGCACATCGTCCTTGGACGACTTTGACTCGAGTTTTGACGATTTCTTTTTATCGCCGATCAGATTCGACAAGATATCGATTACATTATTTGCGTCTTTGATTTTACTTTGAATTTCAACCTAACAAACGATTAATAATCAATATCTGTTGGTAATATATTTAAATTATTTTAGAAACCAACCTGTAATATTGTATTTTCTTTAATAATACGAAGATTTTCCTTGTCAGGTGAGCGTTTCGAGGTGAGATCTTCTTTCTGCGCAACAAGCAACCACAATTTCTTCTTCAACGACGAAACGCGATCCTCATAAGTCTCGCGTTCCTTTATCAAACCCGCTAGTTGCTTGATTTTCTCTTCTGCAACAGCTACGTTAAAACAGTCCAATTTAAATAAAACAATGCAAACAAAAACCCCGAAAATAAAACTACATTTTCCTAAATAAAAATTTGCAACTTTGGTTACCATCAGTTTTCTTCTTATCATTATTCACAGTGGAATTACTAAAATCCGGTGCGACCTGTGGTGCGACCGCCGGTTCAGCCGGTGGCACTCCAGCGGAGTAATTATTCGACGCTGTCCACGACCCATGCGGATACTGCGACTCCTCGCCCGGCGGGCGTGGTTCATCCGCCTGCAAAACACGCAACTTAACAACAAAGATCGTCGACTAGGGAAGCATACCATGTCTTTTTACCAACTTACGAGAGCACGTCATTTTACCTCAAATAACCATACTTCTCCTTTTTCTTACAAGCGCGTTTGCCGCGATTAATTTGATTAATTTTAATACTAACATGTCTATAATATTGACGCATTCTGTATAATTTGATGACTTCTGTAAAATTTTGAGCGTGAAAATGCAACTGGTCACTGGTATAAGCGTTAAGGTAAACGAAGCAAGGTGCGTCGATAGAAATACGCCACTTACTGGATTGATGTAGGCCGCTTGCTGGCTGGCCTGGTAGTTCTCGTAGGGGTTGTAGCTGTAGTTCTGATAACCCGTGTAATACGTTTGCGTGGGATACTGATGTCCTCCGGTCTATAAATAATAAAATATTAACAGAATATTGAATATAACATCATAAACCGCTTAGGGTAACAAAATGGCGTCGATATTTTTGAAAAAAATCCGCCATTTTCAATTATTATCGCAGATTTCTTCGTTTTTTGTAAAAATTTAATAAAATCTAGCTTACATTGTGATAGGGCAATGACTGATATGCAGTCTGCAGGGCAGCTGAATGATTGTAGTTTGCAGTCTGGGCATTCCATCCCTCATTGCCTGCTTGTCCATTGTTAGAAGTTGAATGGCTGGGATCACTAGGATTTTTAGCAGCCTTCGGAGACGTGTTCGACGCCTGCCGGTTGAGACGCGGGTCTTCACGGCTGAAGCTACGACGATAACTGCTCATCTTCGACTCGCTGCAATTACCAAGCAAACCTGCACAGACTTCCGCGAATTAAACGGGTTTTTCTAAGTAAGAAATCGACGTATAATGGTGTATTATCAATGTAGACAAGTGAATCGTAAGTGATTAGGTTGTTTACATACCTTATATTGATAAAACATCCAGAAATGCGGTGAAACTAAACACAAAATGGATACAAACACCGGACTAACAGCTCTAAAAACACCAACGCCATAAACACGACTAATACCTCGCGCAGGGAGCGTGGGGACAGGGGGAGTACTGTCAAAACTGGCGCTGCTGTACTAACGGATGACAAGCACAATAAAGTATTTAAAATAATACCTTTAATTTATTATTTATCAAAATATTATCTTACATTATCAATTAATTAAGCTTTTAACTTATAGTCATTATCAATTATAATTATTAAAACATCCATAAACTTAATTAAATTGCTTCAATTGATTGCACTGTCAAAAGTGGTAAATAATCTTGTCAAATATGCGTCGTGTACAGTCAAACAATGTCAAAAATAAAACAACACATCAAAACCCATTTTTCCGCCTGGAAATTATTAAATGTTTGCAGTGAATAGATAAGAATAGTGTTTATTTAAACACACAATCTAGTATTCAACAAATAAAACACACAAGTCTAGTTTATTCAAGTATTTTCTCTATAATTAAAGCCTGTCACAATGAATGAAGCAAGACTCGAGGTAAACCACTTAAACATAGTCACATAAATAGTAATTTATTTAAATTATTACGGTTGTAGATGCTGGATGATGTTGGCACATATGTGGATGGTGAAATGAACATTCCCACAGGGGTTCCAATAAGCCAGGAGAACCAGATTTTAATACTTTGGATGAACCAATTAGAGAAACAATTGTATGTTACAAAACTAACAAAAAGGCAGAATAATTTTAATAATACATACAAAATCGTGCTTTTAGTTGAGAGACCTTAAGGCAGTTGGAGTAAAATTTGCACATGTGCTGTTTCCAAAAGAAAAGAAAGCACTTTTAAAAGAATGTAACTAGTTTTGTTAATATTTTATTGAGAATCAAATTAATTTAAAATCTAATTTATTCTAGGGGATTTATGGGGTCCTTTACTGTTATGCACATTTATGGCCATGTAAGTATAGTATTTGTATAGAAATTTCAGTAAAATAATGAATAATTATTTATTTTTCAGGATTTTGCAAAGTGAAGGCTCAGCAGATAATTCAAATGATGGTGGACCAGAGTTTGCACAAGTATTTGTCATAGTTTGGGTTGGTTCCATGGTAGTCACACTGAATTCCAAGTTATTAGGTGGTAACATGTAAGTTTTACATATTTATATAACTGTTTCACACCAAAATTGCCTATTTTTGTTTCCAGCTCATTTTTCCAGAGTGTTTGTGTGTTGGGATATTGTTTACTGCCTATAGCAGTGGCTCTACTGATATGTAGAGTAATCCTACTCACAGAACAAACGTACTTTTTATTTTTCTTACGATTTTTTGTTTCTATGAGTGGTTCTTGCTGGGCAACATATGGTAAGACAACAAAAAACAATTTTAAAACAATAAAAACTCTTAATATTCTATTTTTAATTACAGCATCGATGATTTTCTTAGGAGACAGTCAAAAACCAAACAGGAAAGTTCTTGCAGTGTATCCAATCTGTTTATTTTACTTCTTCATTTCATGGTTGGTTATTTCGAAAACGAATACATAAGTCCACAGCGCCGGCTGTCTCCTTGCTTTGTAATTGTAATTCATAGCCAATTATTATATCATAATTATTAATAGACAAGTAAATGCATTTTGTGCTAAAGCATTTACACATTTATACCTCCTGTGTGCCGGAGGAATGTAAATATATCAAATAAGTTAGATTATATGTTCCACATAAATGTATGAATGGTGAAAACGTTTTTGGAAATGTGTATTGTGCGTTGTATTCAATTGTGATAAGTACAGGGATTGTAAACCTTTAAATTTGATTATTTTGCTTACAAATCATCTAAAAAACATTTTGTTTATTTTATTAATCTTATTGTGCTTCTGAATGCTTATGTGGTGTTAACTATACAGGAACTGACCTTTGTTTCCTATCAGTGACTCACATTTGTGCATGACACAAATGATTATGTGTTGGGTGCATTGTTTGCTTATTTTCTCAACTCAGCAGATTGACCACTTATAAACTACTGTACTTCACAGTACGGTTTTGTATTTCACTTTTGGTATACACAAAAATCACAATGAAGTATTTTTTACTTTATTTCTGTGCGTTTTTCTTTGGAATTGTTAAAAAGTTGAAAGTTTGCAATGTATGGATGAAAATAACAATCCTGTCGACTGGTAAGTCAAAATTTACTTGAAAACTTAGTTTTAGTTGTGTTTAATTGAAGTTTAATGTGTTTAGGTATATTTTGTACAAAATTCCGCATATAAAGAAAGGTGCACCGAGCGAACTTATCAAGAATGGCTTCGCATACATGTATTTAACATCAGATAACGATGAGAATTGGACTTTATCAAATATAAACATCATGGATAATGAAAAATCGTTTTTGGCAACCACTTTGGCACCAGTGTATCAATCGGAGGTAAATTTAAGGTTTCAAAATGGCGGCGTCAACAAATACATTCCAATTATTCCAGAATGATAATAATATTGCACACATTTTCTACAACGATGAAAAACCAAGCGGTGGTAACAAAGGCACCAAAGGACACACAAAAGGAGCACTGGCCACTGATCAAAAAGGCGGTTTTTGGTTAATACATTCAACCCCCGCGTTTCCTCCAAGTGTAAACGATAATTATTCATATCCTTTATCAGGCACTGTCTATGGCCAAAGCATCCTGTGTATTTCCCTAGATACTTTGAATCTAAACAATGCCGCCTTACAGTTATTCTATGACCAACCCCAAGTTTATTCTAGCAATTTTCCTTCAGATTTAATGCTTTATTACCCTAATATGAAGAGGATAATTGATCATGAATCAATTGATTCGCCGCCTTGGTTCATGATTCAAAGTTTAAAGACCTTAAAAGAACAGGAATTTGTTTCATTTGCCAAGACAAAGGATTTCTCAAAGGAATTATATGAAGATTTAGTTGCACCTGGGTTAAATAGTAGTCTGGAAGTGGAATCATGGTTAAATGGTCCAGGGAAACTGGCATCAAACTGCAGTAAACATTTTAGGCAAGTAAAACGTTAAAAATCAATTCCATCAATTAAATTTAAATTTTTTTGACTTTAGTGTGAAAAATATCGAAGAAATCACCTTAAAGGAAGCAGATGTTTCATTTTCATCATCTCTGGACCATTCAAAGTGGGCAGTATCATCAGAAACAAATCAGAATTGGATATGTATTGGAGATATTAACAGAGCTGTAAGTTATTTATCAATGTTGTTAATAATTCCCATAAAATGATGTTGTTTGTGATCCAGGAACACCAAAAGAAAAGAGGAGGAGGTACCACATGCATCAACAACCCACAAATTGCACATCTGTACAAACAAGCAGCAGTAACAATTGAAAACTGTAACAAAATGTCATAATTCGCCCAAAAGTTCAAGTACTACACATAATTTTATTTTTATTTACAACATTAGTACACATATGTCTCCTGCACAGAGTACTTTTGCTACTTTGAATTAAGTTAAAGTCTGAACCTGAATTTTAACTTTGTCCCTGCTTGAATGGTTTCTTATTTGATGGCTGTGGGCATCTGTATTTTAACATCTCAATCTCAGCCTCATGGTAACTCATAGTATTGTATAGGAAGTATTCTGGGTTCTTGTACTTTGGGCTGTCCTTTGATGCACCGGGACCCACTGGTCCTGAAGAGGGTGCAATGCAATTGCTGCTCAATCCTGTTACATTCGGGTTTGAGCTTGATGAAGATGTTCCAGCAGATGATGGCTTGTTGTAGATCACACGATCAACGTTGAAGTTACGTTGCGAGGATGAAAAAGCGCGAATTTTTGTCAATCGCGAGAAGGAGAAGAGCGATTTTGTTGCCATGGTTAAATAATTTTAGTTTTTCACTGATTTGTGAAAATTTTTGGTTAATTTTGTAATCAGTACTCTGACGTCTGTCAAATTTAAAATCTCACTGACATTTGGCAATAAGTTTTGTTTAAAAAATCGATTATATATATTTCAGTGGAGATAATTATTTGCATGAAATTATTATTTCGGAAGAAATGTATATATTTTCGGTTAAATTTGTTAAATAATTTAATTTCCGCATAGAAAATTTCGTTTTTGTTCGCTGCAGGATGAAAACGTCAAATTTATCTGTCAAACAAACATCTGTGACAATTGAGACGTGTTCGCATTCCGTCATCCGATCCTCAAACTTATTTTCGCTATAAAAACAGTTAAAAAGTGTAAACATATTGTTCTCCGTATCTTTTGTTAACGTCCACTGTATTCCAATCCCACATATTTATTATAATCTCGTTTTATTTATTTTTCCACGCCTGACAAATGTTTTAAAAAGGTAACAGCTGATTTGCATCACTAAATACGATTTTTTTAGCTAATTTGTTGTAATTTGCTGATAGGTGAAAGCTAAAAGTTGTGAAATTCAGCGTATAGAATGCGATGCCAGCAAGAAGACGCTACATCGGCTCCGAAAACGAGCCTTTCATTGTAATCCCTGACGAAAACACTAAATGGCAGAGTGTCAATGCAGTGAACGCAAGCTATCCAAATAACGTCGGTAATGATTATTACTTAGATGAGGAATTCGTCCTAGAGCCGGAACCGGAACCAGTTATGACGGGGCGCGACCGAACGGCAGAGTTTGCCAACACCATTCAGTCACTGCAGGGCCGAAATATCGCCCGGGCAGTGGCTGCCAGGGATCCCAAGAAGTCCAAAGTTATTCAAAGTCATACAGAGTTCATGCTCATTGCTAAAAATGTGGGCAAGAATCTATCTAGCACTTATTCTAAACTGGAAAAGTTAACTTTATGTAAGAAATGTTTAATTTTGCACATAAAATCATTAAAATAAGAAAAATTTCAGTGGCAAAAAGAAAATCTCTGTTTGATGATCGAACAGCAGAGATTCAGGAGTTAACTTATATCATAAAAGGAGATCTGAGTTCCTTAAATCAACAGATAGCTAAACTACAAGAAGTGTCCAAGCGGCAACAGCATAGTGTAAATGGCAAGCACTTATTATCACATTCGAGCAGCGTTGTACTGACGCTGCAATCTAAGTTGGCAACGATGTCAACCGATTTCAAACAAATTCTGCAAGTGCGGACGGAGAATTTGAAAGAACAGAAGAGTAGAAGGGATCAATTTTCACATGGCAGTGTTAATAGCAGCTTACCACCTTCTGTAACTGCACAAAATCAAAGTAAATTTTAAAATCTTAATTTTCACAAAGTTTTTACTCTTTCAGATGGTTAATTTTTAATTAAATGTTTCAGATAGTGTATTACTGCAAGAACAAGACCAAGTGTCGATAAATTTCGACAATACGCAAGCATTAATGCCCCAACAACGCAACCAAATGCAGATGGCGCTGATGCACGACCAAACCGATAATTATCTACACAGTCGCGCTGAAACAATGCAAAATATCGAGTCGACAATCGTCGAACTCGGCGGAATATTCCAACAACTCGCGCATATGGTAAAAGAGCAAGAAGAAATGGTCGATCGCATCGATTCCAACGTGCAAGACGCCGAATTAAACATAGAAGCGGCGCACACGCAAATCCTCAAATATTTCCAATCGGTTACATCCAACCGGTGGCTAATGATAAAGATATTCGCGGTGCTGATATTCTTCTTTATATTCTTCGTCGTTTTTATGGCTTAAGAAGTGAATTCAACCAGAATCCTGTTGACAATGCAATGACAAACAACAACAACACGTGTTATTACGATTAAGAATATAAATAACGTCATGGGTGATAGATTTTTATAAATATCTCTTGTTATCGTTTAGGGGCAAAACAAGAACATAATGTATTAAAACAATAGATGAAACCGAGCATTTGAAATTCCGCGGATTTGAAAATCACTTCATTTTCAACGAATATATTTTTATTAGAAAATAAACATTAGGTAATTACAAGGAATAAAAACAAATTCGGCCAATCCGATTTGTTCGACTTATCATAATCTATCATTGGTTGCATTTCAACCGGAGGATAAATGCACGCGCCCAGGGTATCATCCACCGCCAAAAAATCAAAATACTATCATGCGGCTTTTCTTTTCTTGCTTTTAATAGCTGCTTGTTTACTTACCACTCGCGTTTTTCTTCAAATCATCATCACTACTACTACTGCTACTACTTTCTTGCGCACCATGTGCAGATCCACCGGGTGTTTTGTGTTTTGGCGGTATTGTATGATTAAACTCTTTACCTAGCTTCTCAAATGATTCCTTAACGCGTAAAACCGCAGTTCTATTGATGAAATCAACCGAAACAGACTTCAACGCTGTTTCGAATATCTTCACCACCTCTTCGTGCTTTTCCTTATTGACAAGCACATCTAGATAACAACTGTACGCATTCCCCAAGGCACCTTCAGTCACCTTGGAAGTCTTTAAGTGTTGAATGAGTTTCTCTGTAAGTTTTTCATCATTAACTTCTCGTGCGTGTTGTACAACTCGTTGGAACATAATCCTCGGCGCGCCTTCAAGATACTCCTTCCAGACCTTGTCTGCTTTATCAGGTTGATCATTAATGAAATAATGTGACCATAAGACATTCACGGGTGCGATGATTCCGCGTTTGGCGTATTTAAATGAGAGTTCTTCGTATTTTTCGAGTAGTTCTGGATGTCGCTCTAGAATGCCCACAGCGCCACCTCGCGGGAACTTTTCGCCAATCAATTCTAAGTCTTGTTCCTTTGCGTTGTCCAATTCCACCTCCAACATTTTGAGATAATCCTCAGCTTTACCAGCGATTAAATTCGCGTGACAAATACGATTATCAAACGAAACTATCTTTTTCAATTCAGAGTCGAGTTTACTACCGATTGTTTCAATCGAAGTAACATCACCTGAATTCGCGAGTTTGTTTAGTAAAAATCTGAATACTCTGGTGATAGGTACGAGGCCTTTTTCAAGCGCGTCGATAGTCAGCGCTGTAGCTTCATTAGAACGATTGTTTTGTACCAATTTTTCGATGAGTAGCGAAATATCTGTTGCTGTGAGAGGTTCGTCGGTGGTTTTTCGAATTTCGAGAGCTTTGTCAACATCTCCGGCTTTCACACAATTTCTGAAGATTGTTACGATTTTTTTCGGCTGTGCAACGGGTTGACTAGGTTGCGTATTTTGTGCTGCACTTTTTTGTTGTGCGTTAGAAGATTTAGGGGTCGTTGCAATTTGTGGTACAACAAACGGCGGAGTTATGTTGTTCTTGATTAAAAAGTTACCGAGTTTGTTTAAGAATTGATCCGTGGGTGTGATGTCTTCTTCCTGCATTTGTGTCCAGAGTTGTTCGGCTTTCACCACGTCGTTTTGCTTTGTGTAGCTCAAAAGAAGCTGATAATAAATATCCGAGCGGTCGATGTGGTTTAAATCTTTGGTTGCTTCACAGAGACCTTCAAGAGGTTGTATCATTCCTGCAAATTCACAAAATAATATAAATATCATATTTTTAGAAGTAAAAGCATTACTACTAACCTTCTTCGCGATATCGCTGACAAGCAACATTAATCCTCTGTGGACGACTCTGTAATCCAGGCGTTTCCAAAATTTTCCTCGCCTGTCTCACCCTTCCACACTCAACGAAAGCAAACACCAAATCATACAAACTGTTAATCTCCCCGTGAACAGCCGTACTCAAATCCGTCAACTTCTGTAAACGTTCCGCATCCTCCGCTTGGATCAACTGACAAGCCAATTCATTTTTCCATGGTGTAGCTCTGAATTGATTACAGCACCATTCGAATTTCTCCAGGGCTTTGTTAATATCCTTATTAACAATGTGAACCTTTACCAGCGGACCCAGAATGATATTATTCATCTCCAAATAACCATTTTGTAGCATCGTATCAAACACCAGCTGCAAATCGTCGACATTTCCTTGATCAGCGAGGTAATTCAACAAACGCCAGCACAAAGAATTGAACATAAAGTTCCTTTCTTCCCTAATTTCCCTCGGGCGTTTCAAGAACTCAACAGCATCGTTCAATTTGTCATTTTTTACCATCACAGTAGCAACACGCACTACTTTAGCATCATCCAGACGAAATTCCGGATTAGATTCTTCAATACGCTTCAGGTACTTCATAGTCTCGTCGTATTTCTCGTGAAAGGCACAAGTGTCCAGTAATTGTGCATATACACCAGTAGAATGTTGAAAATCGGGAGAAGATTCTAATTCAGCGTATAGCGCCTCCATCTTTTCGAGTTCTTTATTACGATAGTAAAGATTGAGGAGTTGACGTTTCATGCCTTTTGTGTCTTGACCCTTCGCGGTGAGGTTCTTAATCAACATTTCAAGTTGTGGAATATTCATCTGGCTAGAAGGAACGTACGCTGGTGGTTTACGTTCAATCGGTGACGGAATTAATTCTCCGGATGATAGACGAGCCAACATGGCGGATATTTCCGGTGTCATTTTCTCTCCGATTCTTTCTTGTACTTTCTCAGCGACTGATGTACTAATACTCAATCCTTGGGCGATTAAAGCTTCCAAAACAGGAATGACAACCTAAATAAAGCACAAAAATGTAATTTTCTTCATATTTTATATAAAAATGTAAAAAAATATACATACATCGTTAAATTGTCGTCCATGCGAAGCCAAGTCCATGATAAATCGTCCAACGACCGGAGATTTATCAACGGCTTTGTCGTCATTATCGAAATCAGCTTTCTTGTCCATATTCTCATAAACCTGCCGCACGATAGTGATATAATTCTCCACATCTTTTGTTTTATAAAAAGCCGCAGTCAAAGGTTTCCTCAACAAATCAGGTTGATAATAAGCCTGGACTGTTTGCATAATAACAGCCGCCTCAGCCAAATCAAAGCGCTGAATCAATGAAATCGCCAAACTACACGCAGCGGAACCAATCGAAATATTCGCCGTTCGCAACTTCGAGATAATATCACTACTCTTGCCTTTTAGATTCGGCAAAACGTACTCACGAATTGTTTCCGCATTCGGATGCACGTCAAATTTACCCATTTCGATTAAAACATCAATAATGCCGTCACCAGTGGGATCATTTGCTTTCGAGATGATTAAAGGCCAAAAGTAATGATTTCTAATTGGTAATCCTTGTTCTTTCATCTTGTGTAACAACTCATAGGCAACTGTTTCATTGCCTAATTCTAAAGCGCGTTCGGTGATGTAACTAATTGGATTTACAAAAAGTTCTTCCTCTTCAAGACGTTTGCAAACATCCAGGATTTTTTCAATTGGCCGGTTTGCTTTTACCATTTGTTTGAGGAAGAATGCACCCATAGATTGTTGAGTTCCATCTGTACGCTCATTTCTTACCATTGTCCTCATAATAGTAAACGCTGTATCGTCAAATCCTTTGTTAATCAACCGGAAAATAACATTGATCGCGTCTTGGTTATACCCGAATTGTTTCTTGACTTTTGTTAATATCTCAGGTACAAGCGCTTCATGACCATTGATTGTTAAAGAATAAGCAATCTCAAGATAATCTTTATCTAATAAAAAGATCTCCTTTTGTCGCATTCTTCAAGGAGCATTTTAATGGTCTCCATGTCTCCTTGTTTGGCATATCCAGACATTAAAATGGTATATGTGTCAGCAGATGGGTCCAGCCCAGCTTGTAGCATGACAGCTAAGATACCATGAGCTGATTCCATGTCACCAGTCTTTGAATGACCATCAATCAATGCATTGAATACATTTTCATTGACTGGCAGTTGTTTTTCTCGCATAAATTCGAGGATTCTGGTTGCGCCTTCAATGTCACCACTCTGACAATATTTAGCAATCAATCTTTGGTATGTTACTCTATTGGGTTCGATTCCTTTGGCTTCAAGTTCAGCCAGGATGTCTGTCGGTGTGAATTCGTGTTCGTTTTCTAGATAAACGCGCAGTAGTGCGTTGTAGTGTGAAATGTCCATGGGTACATTGAGTTTGTTGAGGGTGTTCCATATTTCTTGAACGAGTTTCGTGCGTGTCTCTGGGAGTTCTTCAGGAACAAGATTCCCGCAGCAGCGGATGACTAGCAGGCTCTGTGAGCTGGTCGGTGAGCGCGTGTGGCGGATTTCTTCGAGGACATCTTCGATGTCACGACGGGATATTCGACCGGTGCGGCGTACATCTTGATCAAGACGTCGTAGACAAGAGTCGAGTGTTTGGTCGTGCTGGACTTGCGTTGCAAGTGATCTAAATGAACAAGATGTTATGTCATTGCATAATATGTGTATGGAAAAGAAGCGCTTGAGTTGTATGTTGCTCAATGCCAAATGCTTGCCGGGCGAGTACAGCGAGGTTAAACTATTTTCGGCGTAAAATGAGTGGAAATTACCTGGGTATGGCACCGCAAAGACATGTCGAGCTGTTGACGATGCTGCCGTCGAACTCGCGTGGTGTGTTTACAACGATGTTACGCGCGAAGCCGGCAATGTACCGCACGAATTTCGAAGAGCGCAGTATCGAAGCCATGCTCGCACGTTTTTCACTAACTAATGCACTGCGGGTGTGAGGCGCACGAGAGAAATGATCGATCGATTAAAAACGCGTGCTAGTCGGACGTGTAGGACTGGTTGTCTACGTTAAAGTTTCCAGAACAATCTATTATCTAAGCTTTCACAACTTTTAAATAAACTTTCAACATTAATAATTTCAAAATATATTTATTTATTCAAATTATACGTGATTTTTTGGATGTACAGTTTTTTTTTGGAGTTTAACATGTTTCGCCCTGAAGGCATCTTCAGAAACTGTGAAACTGTAATTTTAATAAATAAATATATTTTTAAAACATATACAACATGGATTACGTATTCAACATAGAAAGTAATAAAATTGATAACTTCTCTTGACTTTTCATGACATTGTGGACTTAGGGAACTATAATAATGGGGAATTATTGAAACCCCATGGCATGTTGGCATATTTTCAATAAGGACTGGACTGCTGAACGATACAGATACGACTGAGCACAGAGGTCGCTGCGCATCGGCCTTTTATACCTGCGGACAACCCGCAAAAAATGGTGGGGCTATGCGTGCGATACGAAGTCAGCCGCGTGTTATACTGGAGGGGGAGCGTTGAGACACTTCATGCTCGCACATCTCACCAGTCCACCAGTAAAAATAGTGGGGAAAAAACTTGCAAGAGACGCATTTCTCTCTATTTCGGTTTGTGGACAAACGTCGTTCCAAAACATTAGTGTCCTCCAAAAACACATTAATATAACATCCAAATATATATTTTACTCATCCAAAATTTGTTTACGCAATAAACAAAATGTGGAAGTCATTAAATTATCATTTGCATTATTGCCGAGTAATCAAACCGTCCAAAACCATACCAATATTGACTTTTAGCACATACACTTAAAAAATCATCATTAATAGCAAGTGGTCATCAAATCATCCAACAGCAATACATTACTATCTCAATTTGTCAGTTTACAATAATTAGTTCGTAGTTGTTAACCAGTTTCATTGTATTTACACTGTTCTGTTTACATATATCCTGCGTATTCAATTTCGTTGACACATGTTCAATTTTACGACCTTGCTACTTAGTTTAAAACAATGACTCGTATTATTATTGTATATCCACATCGATAATTTTCGTACGTGCAAATAATCTCATATCTTACGTGCAAGTCATCTATTCATCTTTATTGAAAAACAAGAAAAACAAAAATTAAATCGTTTTGAGTTTAAAATAACTTAAACTTGAACTTTTCCACTTTAAGTGCATTAAGATTAATTTTATAGGTAATAAAACACTGAATTAACAACAACAAATGTTTCATTGATAAAGTTATCGACGAATCGATTAATTGGTCGGTTCACATCACAGTGAAAATCATGACTTTGCACGAACTTTCAACTTGAGTTTGTTTTCTATTTTAACTTGCAATTCGGTCAAGTTAATTCAATTTGTTTTGTTTAGTTTCTTCATTTGAGTGTCCACTTCAAATTCTTGACATTCAACAGATTATTTTCAAAGAAATGTGTCAAAAACTATGATTAAACGGTCTCGTCGAAAGTTTTAAATGTTCTCATGTAAGTTTAGATAGTGTTATCGCTTTGAATGAACATAAACATTGCAATTTATAATCATTAGACGATTAAAAGAAAACTAAGATTAAGTAAAATGTTATCATAACCACTAGTTATGCATATAAAATTAGTCTATTTCAAGCAAGGTTAACGCTTAACATCCTTTCAAAACTGAAAAGATGTCAAAGATTGCATTATAGCAATGAAACACTTATGAAGATTCATTCTTATATTCTCCAAGTGTAGCAATCATTCGAATGTCATGCACTGCAGTGCTTCAATGAATAAATTATGCAACGCGTTCGCATTCAATAGTAAATTATTGCATCTCGGCATCGTGTCGTCACGACGCGCGTTTTTGCGCACCAATTGTTCCCGCCGTTAATTGGCGCGATAACCATCGGTGGCTGCCAATTAACTCATACGAATTTAACGCGAATTTCACTTCGCTGTACTTTCCTAGGTCCTGCAACGCGTCCGGGAAAACAAAAACGCTCGAAATTTCAACTTTAACCTATTCAGTAGCGTGCGATTACCACAAAATGGCTGCCGTCACACTCGAGCAATGACGACGGACATTTTCGCATGTAATGATGCTCGTATCTAATGATGCATCACAAAAAACATCACCACTACGCGGCCGGCGATCATTTAAGCGAAATTATATTTAAGCGAACGCGCAAAAGTGGGATTGATATAAGTACTAAGTACGATTCGTGCGGGGACCATCCGCATTCGAAAACGCAACGTAATCGCACGCGCGTGTCAACCACTTGTTAATCGATCAAAATCCAAACTAAATTTAACTCGCTAATACCTTATATCTAAGTGCAAAATGGACGCCATCCCAGAATTGGATTCTTTGATCAAACCCATGTTGAATGGAGCTAAAGTCACTTCCTGCAAGACCAAAAGCCTGATTGCAAATGGCGAAAACTACGGAAGTATCATGCTAGCAGTGGATTTAGTCCTGGACACCAAAGAGGAACTCCACCTGGTGGCGAAAATGTGCCCCACGTCTGAATTCATCAAACAAATGTTCAACATCGGTGTCACTTTCAAGAAGGAAGTTGTGTTGTACAAAACAATCGTGCCAACATTACAAGACTTCCAGCGTAGGAACAATTGCACCCCATTCAATTCCTACGCGAAATGTTACGGATCTCGTTATAGTTTAGATCCCAACAAGACGGAAGTGGATGATGGATGTTGCCTGATCCTTGAAAACATCAAAGTCAAAGGTTTTGATATTGAGGATCGTATGGTAGGGTTCAATTTGGATTGTTCCCGGTTTTTGGTACAGGACCTGGCTAAATTCCATGCGGTACCAGTGGCGTTCAAGATGCGAGAACCGGAAAACTTCAAAAAACTGATTTATGAGAATATCCGTCAACCTAACTACACCAGGGTATCACTACCGGAAGAAGAAGCTACGAAATTTGTTAAGGAGGTTATTGCGCGTGCTGAACATATTGAACGATACCGGAAACATCTTGGTACAATTGAGGAAATGATGATTGGAGCTTCCAAACAGTTTTACGAACCTGAAAATGATGTTGTTGAGCCCTATGCATCAATTGTCCACTCGGATTACTGGACTAACAATACCATGATCAAGAAAGACGCTTCCGGAAAATGTATTGCTAATTGCTTCGTAGACTTCCAGATGTTGATCTACGCTAACCCATTTTCCGATTTGATGTTTTTCTTGTATTCAAGCGTGCAACTTCCGGTTTTGAAGGAACATTACCAAGAGTTTATCGATTTGTATTATGATACTTTTATTCAAGTATTAAAGGATCACAAAGTGGAGGACCTGGGACAGTTTACAAAAGAGTTGTATTTGAAGGAGATTGACAGATGCATGATAAGGTTAGAGATGTATCATACTCTCTTCATGTTGACTCCGATTTACGCTAAGAAGGAAAAGGCGACGGAACTGAGTGAACTGGACATGGCCGCCATTAATGACAGATCCAAAATGGACCATGAAAAGTATTACGCACGCTTGGAGTTCTGTCTGGATGATTTCGTCAAGCGTGGATGGTTGAAGTTGGATTAATTTGTTTATTATTTATTTATATTTGTCATTTATAATAAATAAACATGATTATGTATAATGTAGGTGGCATATATTATTATTTACATAATGATTGGGTAATCATAACCTATTCTAACCTAAAACGCACCGGTACCGGTATATTTCTCTAATTTATTTATAACCAGCTTTTTCTTTCTGAAATTAGCTCGGATCTGTTCACTACTAACACCTTTTGTTTCAGGCATGAAGTATCCAAGACCACAACCACCAAAGAATGTACAAACAGCAAATACTACATAAGTTGCGTCTCCAAGATTCTCAAACATGATTGGTACAACTTGACCTAAACCAAATTGTATTCCAAAGAAACAACTTGCAACTAACGCCGTTCCACTTGTTTTTGTTATCCCCGTGAATAATTCCCCAAGACAAATGGACCACATGTTAACATAACCTAGATTATAGAATACGGTATAGATAAATATCATGGTTAAAGTAATAATCGGCATTCCACTCCATACTTCTTCCCAATAGAGACTTGCAGCTCGTATTAAAAGTGATATTGAACACACAAATGTCCCTGCGTTTATCATCCATCTGATTGGAGACACTTCCAATAAGAAAATAGTGCTTATTGATGCGGCAACCCGTACTACATCAATGATTATCGTGATTGTGTACCCGTCCAATGCGATAACATTCGACATAACATCAACTGAATAAAGAGCTATGGCATAACCACCTGAGGTCATCATTGTTGCCGTGAACCAAATCATTATTAGCAATGGAAATAAAAATTCCCTCTTTAACCATTCCTTGGATAATTCATTCAGTGATATATTTGCTTCTTGTGTATAAATTTCAATCTCCTGGTTTAATATCTGTGTGTTTTCGTTCGTCTGTGGCCTGTACCAAAAGTACGCCATCTTGGCATCATCAATCCTACCTCTTTGCAAGTACCACACATGAGTATTTTTCATAAACAGTAGGATAATAGCATCTATAAGTGATAAACATGCTAAAATCAAAGCTGAAGTCCGCCAGGAGTTGAAACTGCCTACAATATCAACGAATAACATTCCGAGGGCGACGCCTACGTTGATTGTGTTGAGTAATTTTGCACGGTATTGTAAAGGTGCCACTTCTACGATGAAACACGTACTGAGAGAGTAGCTCATTCCTTCGTTTAGACCCTGCATTGTTCTGGCTAGTAAAATATGCCAGGTTGCACTACTAAAAGAGAGTATTGTCCAGTTTATTAAGTTCCACATGGCGATTATTACGTAGGACCATTTTCGACCGAGGAATTCCAAGAAAAATGGACCTAGAATTGCTCCTGGCATACAGGCTAGGCTTGGTAATGTAGCAATCCATACTTGATCAGATTCTGAGACGTTAAAGTGATCTAATTTTGGTAGTAATGTTGCTGAGTATGTGTAACCTGCTCCACCAAGGAAAAGGTCAATTACGATTGCAGTTCCAAGCAAACACTAAAAATTAAACAGAAAAACAGTTAATTTTTAGGTTAGGTTTAACTGATATTGTGTTATAACCGAGTCTAACCTATCTTTTCAGTGCTTATGGAGTAAATAATAAAGAATTAATCATTAAAATTTTCATTTTAGTATGTTTATTGTTTGCAGGTACAAAAGAAAATAAGAAATTAACAAATTTTAGTTAATTTTAGGCCATTGCTTGCTAGAACAAGAACTGGAACTGATTTTGCGTCCATTTCTCATTTGTGATTCATTTGTGGCCTGCAAACATAAAGAATTTAGTGTTACAATGTATTTTAAGGTTAAATGGTCAAAATAATAAACCTAACCTAATCTAAGCTAACATATTTGTTAGTGTTTCGGTATATACGATTTAATAATTAATATCTACCTGTCTAATGGTGTACTTGTTGATATCCGCTGAAGGAATCATAACTTTCGGTGAGAATGTACTCCTAACAAACAAATGGAACATACTGAATCAAAGTCTGTGTTTGATGTAATGTTAAAGTACATTGCGCTTTTTTGCGTTTAAATACAGGTCTATGTAATTACATGTCATTTAAAATGTCTCTGGCATGCGGAATGTAATGATATATCATGATTTGTAAATCACTGCTGAATTTTTTTATGTTACTAAGCTAAGTTACTTACTCAGTTTGAGTTATTTCGATGTCTGGTAAGTCACCAAAAAGAATTTGAGAGTATTGCGTCGTTACGGGTTGGTAAAATATTTTAAAAGTAATTATGCACCAAAAATTGTACTACAAAAATTTACTAGACATTTTTATGTTTAAAATCATAGTTTTAAAATATCAAGCATATTTTGGGTAAGTTTCCGTTACATTTTTTTATGAATCAAGTTGTGTTTTGTGCAGATTTTTATAGAATAATTATGATTAAGAACATTAAATAGGTTATATAGGTTATAGTTTAGGTTATGTCACATTTAAACTATTTTCTAGGCATTAGAACTTTACTAGTTCTTCATAATAATGAAATTTATTAAAATTAAGGAATTAAATTGATATAACAATGCTTTAATTTTTAACATAAAAACACGTAGATACAACTGAATATACAATTAAATTACATAAAACATAAAACATCTACGTATGTTAAATTTAAACTGGAACATATATAATTTTAAACAAGTAAGTAAAAAATTAAACATAACCAAATTATAATTAAATCTTTAATATTTATTGTAGTGTTTAGTACGAGTTATTGTAACAATAGATGTTATCCTCGTCGGGGTAGGATATACATTTGCAGCAACTTTACTCCCACAATTAGAAAGTAAAGATTCAACGATTCAGGCAACCGGAAACGAAGAAACATGCAGATGTAATGATAGGCAACCCAAAATACACATCTACATATCCCCAAATACATTAAATAAACATTTTAATTATTTTTAACGTCAATATCAAATCTAACTTGTATTCATGGCACACTTCTCGGTGGAATCTTCCATTAATTCTTCTGTTGATAAGAACATTAAATTGGTTATATATGTTGTAGAGTTAGGTTATGTCTTATTTAGACAACTTCATAGAGATTAGAACTATATTAGTTCTTTATACTGATGAAATTTATGATAAAAACTATGTAATTATCTAAATAAATCATTAAATCAAGCATTATTAACATATATTCTTTTACAACGGTGTTTTAATGATTTTGTGCAAAATTACAATAGCAAGGACATAAAACAATAAATACTTATTCTGCGATAACGCAAATATTCCACTAAATTTTATCATTCAAACCGTTTTCAACATTTCCACATCATTACTAAGTAAACGGTAAAGTAAACGTTGTTTTCATCAAATGAAAGTGAAATGTTTCCTTTAAATCTAGCATTAAACTGGAATAAACACAATATTAGACAAGTAAGAACCTATAAATTATCTACAACTATATTATTAACTTTGATGTATTTATAAGAGTTTAGTTGGCGTTGTGGTAACCATAGACGTCATACTCCTCGGTGCAGGATACACCTTCTCAGCAACTTTGCTCCCACAGCTAGAAATTGAAAATTCTGAGATTCCTCTCACCAGACAAGATGGAACATGGATTGGTATTAATTATATGATTAAAACAACCTATAAACTTGTTTAAACTGTTGTTATTTTAGCATCAATGTCAAGTTTAGCTTGCATTCCTGGCACAATTCTCGGAGTCTTCTTGCTTCAAGTATTCGGCCGTAAATGGTCGTATTCCCTAATCGCATTATCAAACTTTTTTGCCTGGGGTACAATTGCAATGAGTACACAAGTCTGGCATCTTCTATTCGGCCGTGCGCTTCAAGGATTAACAGCTGGATTAGGTTTCACTGTGTGCTTCTGTTTTGCATGTGAAGTAGTAGGTTTAAAATATCGCAGTGTGCTCCTAAACATGGTCAACATGGGAAGTTCTTTCGGGATGTTATTTGTGGATGTAATGGGAAGTTTCTACTCTTGGAGAATATCTGCATACGTTTTGACTGGTTTAGCACTATTCTACTTTTTATATTTATGTATTTAAAAAACACTCATGTGTGGTACCTTCAACGTGGTGAAGTTGAACGCGCAAGAGAATTATACTTCTGGTATAAAAATGATTCACCGAAAAGTGAGGAGAAGTTTAGTATTGAACGCAAACTTGCTGAAGTTAAAGTGAGTTTCAAAGAGTTACGCAAGGAATGGAAACGAAGAGAGTTTTTAATTCCTATGGGTGTGATGGCTTGGTTTACCACGACAACAATGTGTACAGGGGGTTTCGGAATAATGTTATATTCAGTTGAAATTATGCGTGGTGTGGTTGCAATTGACGAGTACACGACAACAATTGTCATTGACATTTTAAGATTTATCTCTACGTTTGGTATTAATATTCTTCTAAAATACACTTCAGTAAGGTTTTCTATTAATTTAAGCTCAATAACTTGTGCTTCATCATTACTTTTAGTGTCTTTGTCACTTTTTTTGAAAGATAGATGGAGTGGGTGTAACACAATCGCTTTAATAGCAATTCTAACCTTTAACTTTTTCTTTAACTTAGGTTATGTAAACCTCGGTAATATTTGCATCGGTGAAGTTTTGACTGGGGTTGGAAAATCAAGTGGTACTGCTGTTTCGGGAATGTATTTCTTTATGTTGTATTTTGCATTTGGTCAATTAGTGCCTGTAATATTTGATCATTTAGGACATGTTGTAGCGTTTCTTATTTTTGGATGTTTCACTGTTGTGGGTGGCACAGGGTTGTTTTTCATGATGCCGGAAACAAAAGGCGTGAGCAATGAGCAAATCCGATTAAACTTCCAAAGTAAAAAGCAAAAATGTAAAACCATTCAAACTATTTCTGCGGAAATTCCTGCCACATAAGATTTATTATCTTTTTTATTATATTTAATATTTATTAATTTGTTTGATGTCTAGTCGATGCAATTAAATTGATTGATTGGTATTGATTATGAAATATGTTGTCTAATCATTTATAAGAACGAATTCTAAAAATCCTTAGGCATTTATTTTCGTAATCCATTAAGCCGTTGAGTACGGTCGGTAATTGTTCGTAAAATTATCGCAGCTACATTAAATTCAAACAATACTTTTGTGTGATAACACAAAAAACACGTAAAATCCACTGAATTCACAATCAAATTACACAAAAATAAATAATCCACGTATGTTACATTTAAACTGGAATAAATACAATTTTAGACAAGTAAGTAAATGAATATTAATCATAACCAAAATATAATTATGTCTTTAATAATTATTATAGTGTTTAGTGGGAGTAATTGTAACAATAGATGTTATCCTCGTCGGTGCAGGCTACACATTCTCGGCAACTTTACTCCCACAATTAGAAAATGAAGATTCAACAATTCATGTAACAAGAAACGAAGAAACATGGATAGGTAAGTATAGGCAACCCAAAATACACGTCTACATAACCATTAATACATTAAATTAACAATTTTATTATTTTTAGCTTCAATATCAAGTCTAACTTGTATTCCTGGCACGCTTCTCGGTGGAATGTTGCATCAATTCTTCGGTTGCAAATGGGCATTCTCCATAATATCCTTTTCAAACGCCTTGGCATGGGGTTTACTCTCGCTGAGCACCCAAGTCAGCCATCTATTACTCGGACGCGCGTTTCAAGGATTAGTATCAGGGTTAGGCTTCGTTGTGGGATTCTGCTTCATGTCTGAAGTAGTAGATTTAAAATATCGCAGTATCCTGTTGAATATGATGAACATAGGATGTGCTCTCGGAATGCTATTCGTTGATCTCATGGGAAGCTATTACGCATGGCAGATTTCTGCATATGTGCTTTCAGCGCTAGCTGTCACATATTTCCTGATTTTGCTTTATTTAAAAAACACTCATGTGTGGTACCTTCATCGCGGGAACGTTGAACGTGCGAAAGAATTATACTTCTGGTATAAAGATGATTCGCCAAAAAGTGAAGAAGATTTCCGTGTGGAACAAAAAATAGCACAGATTACCATAACCTATGAAGAGTTATTAAAAGAATGGAAACGCAGGGAATTCCTAGTTCCATTCGGAGTTGTTTTATGGTTTAATACAACTGTTATGTGTACAGGTGGAGTTGGGATTTCCCTGTACTCAGTTGAGATCATGAGAAGTGTGGTATCTATTGATGAGTATATGACAACTGTAATCACTGACATTTTGAGGCTTATCTCTACGTTTGGTATCAATATCCTACTAAAATACACTTCAGTGAGGTTTACCATCAATCTCACTTCAATATTATGTTCTACTACATTACTTTTGATATCTTTATCTCTATATTTAAAAGATTCTTGGAGTGGATGTAGTACCATAGCGTTGATATCAATTTGGACGTTTAATTTCTTCTTCAATTTAGGTTATATTAACTTGGCTATTATTAGCATGGGTGAATTATTTACTGGTATAGGTAAATCCAGTGGTACTACATTATCAGGAATGTTATACTTTGGTTTATTTTTTGCTTGTGGTCAATTGGTGCCCATGATATTTGATAATTTAGGGCATGTTGTAGCGTTTCTTATGTTTGGATGTTTTACCATTGTTGGTGGCACAGGGTTGTTTTTTATTATGCCGGAGACAAAAGGAGTGAGCAATGAACAAATACGATTAAATTTTCAAAGTAAAACGAAAAAATGTAATAAAACTTTTGATAATATTTAAATAAACATGTTTTGTTGATTTATAACCAATTTATAACCATTTATGTTTGATCCAATTGTTAATTATTGCTTTTAAATGTTTATTGTAACCAGAATTGACACTGGAAGCCAAATCATCTTTAAGAATGTTTTCATTTGTTGCTTCTTTCTTCACCTCTAGAAAAACATTAACAATCATAAATAGAATATGATACAACTTCATATTTTTAGCTGCAAAGTCAATTTCTTCCATGAATGCTTCTTTTGTGAACTGTTTTGTATCAATTTGATATTTTTTCAAATTCTCGATGAATTCTTCAAAATAAATATCAATCAATTGATCAAAATGTTCGGTAATAATTTCAGGCTTGATACTTGAATGTAAAAAGAATAAAATATCATTAGCTGGGTTTCCATACGCCGCCATTTGATAATCTACTAATCTGTTACCAATTGGTTTTCCGGTTTCGTCAAATTTAAGCATTATGTTTGTAATCCAAACATCGTTATGTGAAATTGTATTGAAAGGCTCTTTACCCAGTACTTTCATCTGCACAAATTCATTTACGCCATGTTGCAGTAATTTTATGACTTTTTCTGCATGTGGCGCCATTTCCGGATCTTGAAGAAGTAATTTTTCCACCATAGCGATGACACGTGAAGAATGCATCGCTGTAATATCTGGATCAGTAAGATTCAATGGTAGATGTACCTTTATTTCTTCAAAAACTTTAGGTTTCTTCAATTTAATGGCCACCGGAAGTGCATGAAACTGTGCTAACATACGTACTATATACTCAGAAGTAGATAAATCAAATAATTGTTGACGATTTGAACTGACATATCCTTGAAACTTTAAATTTTCCATTAAAAGACACGCATCCTCATCAAATGCATTTTTATCATTGCTTAAAGAATATCTATATCCGTATGATTTCGGAAATGAATCCAAAATGGCGACGTTGTTTTCTTTCTGGAAGTTGTGCATGATTGGAACTATAACACTGTAAAACTCAGCTTCTTTTTTGAAGGCAATTGAAATATTGAAAATTCTTTTGAATATTTCTGAAGGTGGGTTGAGTTTTGCGACAAGTTGCTTCTTTTCTCCATTTGTAAGCACTACTTCCACTGCTAGAATAACACTTCCGTAGTTTTCACCAACAGGAACAAGATTTTTTGTTGAATATGATGCAATTTTCAGTGATTTATCCAATAACTTTAGGTTTGGCTCAACTAGTTCAGCAAATTTGTTAATTTCAATCATTTTCACAACAAATTAGCACTATTTTCAGGAGCTTGCGTAGTTAACTGCGTAGAAATTGTTTATTAAACGTAAATTATCCAAGTACGTACAACACACGCTAAAATTTACAGAAATTGTGTTTACACTTTGTAAAATAACTGATAAAACAAGCAAATTTCAGCTAAGATTAAACCGCTACGTGATATCATTTATTGTTCAAACACTTGCGATTACACCGTCCGACTGACTGACTGACTACTTGGTTGTACATAGTAAAAGCAAAACTTTCACAATGTACGAGTAATAAAGAAGAACGTGCAAAAAATGCTCATAAAGCAAAAGCAGAAATAACGCAATTTGACATTGACCAGATTATGTGTGATGTTAAAGATTGCATAATTTCTTATTACATTGGATAAAAATATAATTTTTATTTAATTACAGCCAATTATGTTTAACCCAATTCATCACAATTGCTTTTAAATGATTAAAGTAATCACAATCAACACTCGATGCTAAATCAACTTTAAGAAGATTTTCGCTTGTTGCTTCTTTTGTACTTCAAAATGCACGCTTACACTCAAGAATATTACATGATACAGCTGCATATTCATTGCAGCAAAGTTCATTTCTTCCATAAATGCTTCTTTTGTAAATTGTTTCGTATCAACTTTATATTTCTTCAAATTGTTGATGAATTCATCAAAATAAATATCAATCAATTGATCAAAATGTTTTGTAATAATTTCTGGCTTGGTACTTGAATGTAAAAAGAGTAAAACATCATTAGCTGGGTTTCCATACGCTGCAGTTTGATAATCCACTAATCTGTTACCAATTGGTTTTCCAGTTTCGTCGAATTTAAGCAGAATGTTTGAAATCCAAACATCGTTATGTGCAATTGTGTTGAATGGCTCTCTACCAAGTACTTTCATCTGAACGAAATCATCTACGCCATGTTTCATTACTTTTATCACTTTTTCTGTGTAGGGCGCCGTTTCCGGGTCTTCAAGAAGGAATTTTTCAACCATGGACATGACTCTTGCAGAGTGCTGCGCTGTTATTTCTGGATCTGTTGGATTTAAAGGTAGATGTGACTTGATTTTCTCGAAAACATCTGGTTTGTTCATTTTAATGGCCACCGGAAGTGCATGGAACTCTGCTAACATGCGTATAATATATTCTGAAGTCTGTAAATTGAATAATTCTCGTCGGTTTGGCCTTGAATAACCTTGAAAGCGTAGATTCTCCATAATAAAACATGCGTCATCATCAAACACATCTTCTTCTTTGCTTAGAGAATATCTGTATCCGTATAATTTAGGAAACGAGTCCAAAATGTCAACGTTGTTTTCTTTTTGGAAGTTGTGCATGATTGGAACTATAACACTGTAAAATTCAGCTTCTTTTTTGAATGCAATTGAAATATTGAAGACTCTTTTGAATATTTCTGATGTTGGGTTGAGTTTTGCTACAAGTTGCTTCTTTTCTTCATTTGTAAGCACTACTTCCACTGCTAGAATAACACTTCCGTAGTTTTCACCAACAGGAACAAGATTTTTCGTTGAATAAAATGCGACTTTCACTGATTTATCTATTAAATCAAGATGTGGCTCAATTAACTCGGCAAAGTTTTTAATTTCAAACATTTTGTTTATAGTTTTTTGTAAATAAATATTTTTTAGCTAAATATTGTTAATTAAAAGCGTAAACTGTGAAAATTATTATTAAACGCCACGCTTCGAGTGGCGTGTTCAAGTTCACTCACTACTGTACCTTTTAAGATAAAACGCATGCGATAACTCGGTTGAACAATTTGTGATGTAATTTCTTTTTACAGAATATAAAGATTAAAACTAAAAAAGTGAGAAACGCGAAAAAATAAAGTGCACAACGTGCAAAAGTGAAAAAAACACTATTTTGTTGCGAAAATATTACTTAATGAGTGTTATAATATACGCAGGTGTTACGTAAGCCAATATTTGTGTGTGTGTGTCTGGTGAATGTTATAATTAGTAAAATAATATTTATTTAAACATTTCGACACTTCCACGCGATTTTTACGCCTACCACTACTTGTTTAGGTGGGGATTAAGTAAAAAATCTTGAACATGCGCATTTAAATTAAAGTTTAAACTATTATATCATTCATAAAATTTAAAAATATGTAATATTAATATAATTGTTGATTAATTATTGATTTTAAACACGTTTTTAAACATTTTTCTTCCTTTAAACTTTTAAACAATTTGCAAATGTGGACAACCAAGCATACATCCAGCTGGATTTCGCACATCTTCGTACAATGTCGTCATCTCTCATAAATCAAAACACAAAATGGCTGATGCGAGCGAAAAGCGCTCTGAAAACTAGAGCGTGAAGTGCGTGTGTGATTTTTCCCATGGCAAGTTCTCGCGTGTTCCTAGTGACTGTCGAACGGCGGCAGCGATAAAGATGCTGATCGACACAAAATGATCTGATAGCGGACGAGGCGCACGACGTGACATGTCAGCCAGCTGTGATCGAAACAAACGGAGCTACACATCTGAGGTTACCCTAACATTTCCTGGAACACACGAATTAAAATTTTAATGTAACGCCCCCGAACTGCCGCATAAACTATGAGCAGATTCGCTGATTACTTTGTAATATGCGGATTGGATCTGAATTCGGGGCTGGAGCCAGACAGATTGTCAGGTAAATAGAAAACATAAAGTTAGAAAACAAAAGAATGACAAGTATTATGAAACACAAGTTGTTTTCATTTGTTTATATGTTAAAATGTGTATTTTAAAACCGTTTTTTTATTATTTCTAGGTGATAATCTACACTGCTCACCATTGGAAAGACCATATAAAAATAAAGTTCTTGCACATTATCCAGAAAATTTACCATCAAATCCTTTTGATGCATCAGCTGTGTCTATGGTGAGTTAAAACCATAAATATCACACATTCCTCTTAAAAAGAAATAACATAATTTCTCTTCTTTTTAGTTATGTTTGCCAAGTGGCCTAAAATTCCGCACACAAAAACATTCTGTAACTCAAGCGCCAAATTTCCACCCGTTTGTTATCACCCGCGAAGATGGCAAACGCTGCTACGGCTTCAGCCTGGTTTTCTACGAAGAAGTACGCAACCGCGACATTTGCACCGCAATGCAAACGCTGCAAGCAATGTATGTCACTGAATTATCCTCCGGCGATCGCGTCCGCCAGGTACAACAACAGCATGGCCCACAAAGTCGCTCATTACCACGACACTTTAAAATCAGCACACCGTCTGGCCCATCAGCTGCAGCGTTAACATACTATGATATCTCAAAGGATAAATTATTTGTATCAAAGAGTATTGCGATATTAGCACAGGTACCGCACGTGCACGCAGCGAAAACATTCTTGGAGAATCTCTATCGATGCGTGCCAAGGCGTCAGACGAATATTGATGGGCTAAGTCTAGAGAGCTATGTGTTTAATTTATTATATGAGGTGCAGTTGCCGGGACCCGGTAAGAGTCTGTTAATGAATCTTCCGCCTGGGGATCCAGCGTTACCGTTGGCTAGTGTGGTTATTCAAACACCTGCACCGCCGTTGGAGTTACCGCATTTGGATTTTTCGATGAGAATGATGTTTACTTGGTTGGGGGTTGATATTGTTTTGCAATTATTTACCTGCTTGTTGTTGGAGAATCAAGTTTTACTTTATAGTACTGGTAAGTGCAGAGAAAAAAATAACTGAAACTTAAAAGAAATAACTTTATTGTTTATTTTCTAGATTGCCAAAGATTAATGATTGTGGCTGAGGGTATATCCAGTCTGTTGTTTCCCTTCACATGGCCGCACGTCTATGTGCCAATACTCCCAGCGAGTCTGCATCATTTCCTAGATGCTCCGGTTCCTTTTCTAATGGGTAATCATAATTATTTATTTAAAGTTGATTTTAATTCGATAAATAATAGGTTTACATGGATCACCTGATTATACGAAGTTACCCAGTGAAGCTACGCTCTGCTTTGTCGATATTGACAAGTGTAAAGTGATACTACCGGAAGAAACAGCTACTTTTCCGCATCTGGAAGCATTCACCGCTGAAATTTACTCGGCGTTGGATAAATTTAGTGTTCACGTACCGAATGCTGAATGTAATCGAGCTAGTCATGTAAATATTAACTATTTTACTATTTTTACGTTTTTAAAACTGGCGAAGTTCAAAGATCATCTACATGCAATATGGCCGATCGTCCAGTTGGCGAGCGAATAGGCAACCATCATATCTAAAATCATAATCACAAAAGATTCGCAATGCCTTGATTATTTCTGCATCTTTCTAAAGGTTGGGAATGCGTGTGAATACGTGATTTTTCTATATTGCAGACGTTTTACTGGGAGTATTTTGCGATAGTGACTATATTCGTTGAAATTGAGTGTTGATGGTTGCCTAATGGGCAATTTTTCGTGTCTGCATTTAGATAATCTTTGAACTTTTCTATTTTTAAACTAAATATTAATAATATTTAGGAAATAATGTCACGTTCTTGTACATTACCCCACCGCCCACAAAATCGGCGAAAGTTATCTATCCATGACACTCTGGACTCTGATAGACCACCATCACCACCTGGCTCAGCCCGTTCTGAAGCCCTCCAACGTATTGCAGACCTAGTGCGACGTACTGGTGTCGCACTAGATCAAAACGGAACCACTCAACCCACTGATAGCTACGCGGAAGATTTACGCTTCAATAATTCAATGCGTGAGATATTCCTCAATCGTTTCGTGCATATTTTTCAAACGTATGAGAATTTTGTCATTCAACCGAATCAAGGCAAAGAAGATTGGCTTAGTAATCGTGACTCTATGCAAAACTTTGACAAGGCTTCGTTTCTATCTGACCAACCCGAGCAGCATCGACTATTTTTATGGCGTTTTCTTGAATCTCAAATGTTTGCGACTCTAATTGACAACAAAATACTCTCGACATGGGGTGATCAGGATTATAATCTCCAAATCTTTGATTATCGAATTAAAATGTTGAAAGAACGCTACGGAGGCGAGAATCTCATGCGTTCATTATGTTATGAACCTTGTACAATCTCACATGACACTCAGAAACTTCTAGATAGAAGATTAAACAATCCTGACTTTGATTCACCCCCCATCAAAGAAATAATGATATCAAAATCGACGTTTTCGAGGCATTTTCCACTACTAGATAAAGAAGTTCTCAATAAAACGCCCGTGGTTAATAAAGGTAGCATCCCGCGTGCGAGCGCGATGAAAAAGTGTTTTTCGAAAAGCATGATGCCTGATGATAAAACATTGAATAAAGAAAATAACGACCATAATAAAGATATGTCGCCGGCGTTAATAGCGCAAGCGAATTGGTTGTTTGTCGAGAAGTTGTTGAAGGATTGTAAAACCAAAACGAAAAGAATGTTGCTTGCGAAGCTGGGTGCTGAGGGAGTTACATTATCAAGTAATAACACATCGGATCATTCAGGAGCTGTGGAGGAATGCACGCTTGTCACATCACTCTGTGACTTTTTGGAGAGGGTTTGGTCGCATGGTTTGCATAAAAAACGAGGAAAATCCGCACTGTGGTCGCATATGTGCGCTTATCAAGATATTAACAAAGGCAATAGTAAATTGGATTCGAAATATCTCGCACAAGGTAAAAATAAATGAAAAATAGCGTTTAATTTGCTGATTTTAATAAAAAAAAAATATATTTTAGTTGAATTTACACGATTAGCACTAAGATTTGAAAACTGGTCGACGCAGAACGTGGATAATAAACGTGCGGATTTACCACCGCTTCCAGAAGGCTTACTTTTTGATATGGCGTAAGTTAATCAACAAAAAACTGCATTTTTTGTCGATAAAATTTAATTTTACGTTTTTTAAGTAATGTACAAGCAATGGCCGATGTAAAAACAGGTATTGGTATGGCCCGTGCATGGGTACGCCTTGCACTCGAGAAAAAGCAGCTATCTAAACATTTTCGGGTACTACTCTCGGATCAAAATCTACTCAGGGGACAATATAAACGCAGCGCCTTTTTGCGCTGCGAGGAAGAACGCGAACAATTTCTATACCACTTGCTTTCGTTGAACGCTGTCGACTATTTTTGCTTCACCAGCACTTATCCTACAACTGGTAAGTAATAATTGCGAAAAATTAACTGTTTTTTAAAGCATATTCTCACATTTTTTGCAGTGATAACATACCGAATCATAGTAGTACCTACAAAGAGGGGAACCACAACTTCGGCGAATGTATGGATTGTGCTTTCTGGTACACTCAGTGAAACAAAACGTATTGCGGTTGAAAAGGGTAGTCTTAGTATGCAAATTAAGGTAAAATCTAATCAAATAATCTTGTTTTGTATAAACATTCATCTAAATTGTTATTTTTAAAGAATCAAAATTTGGGTGTTTTGACAACGTTGAGAATTGGTCATGATAACACCGGGATGTCTGCAAAGTGGCAAGTTGACCACGTTTTGGTTCGAAATGACGTAACAGGTCACACTTATGAATTTCCTTGCGGTCGTTGGTTGGGCCGTGGAGTTGACGACGGTTCTACTGAGCGTTTACTCGTTGGTACATTAATTCCTAGTGTGAAGGCCGAAGAACACACTGTTACAGGCGGCGGGATGCAAACTGGCAGCATCGGACGGCGTACACCTAGGTGTCAATCGCCTGGACCGCCGCGTACAGAAATGAAACCGTCGCAGATACAAAATATGCTCAGCGATTGTGTGAATAACATTGTCAAATGGCACTATCGCCGAAATTCGGAAAGGAATACTACTCTTACAGCTCTTCTTTGTGGAGATGCTGGGCTAGTAAAATGTTTGGAGTTGGTTTTCTTGTTGGGATTTAAATCTGCGCGGCTTTTTGTTTTCAATCATTACATTTGGGATTATTTTGGTAAATATTTACTTGACATATTGAATATTTTTCGCTAAATATGTGTGGTTTTAGTTCGTGTAAAGGAACAATTCGAATTGGATTTGATTGAGGAGAGTTCCGGATGTAGAAGTGCAAGTTTAGAGAGAAATCATCAGGAGACACTTGCTGTGTGGCGTTGTTATTGCCATCTGGTGGATGAAATTCAAACTGCGAGTAAAGCATTAGGAAAAGATGGAAAGTTCCAGTTATTTATTTGTCTCAGTGTCAGGTACTCTTAAAAACTTGTAAATTTATTAACATATTTTGTTAACTTTTTATGTTTCTATTGTTCTAGAGAGCATTTACTTCACAGAATGTTAACCCCAATGGCGACATGTCGTGTGACTTCTGAAATGTACGAAGAAAACTCATTTCTGCGCAATCGCGGACTTCTCACCTTCCTGCGGCAAATTCTCGTCCCTCTGGATGAACTAGATGTAGTCCTAGAGAACTCTGTCACGCATGGCATCACTTCGCTCGTTGCCAACGTGCATTAACAATAACTAGTCGCAGTGTGCAGCTAATACGCGTTTAAATTTACTATTAATACAATGATCTGGTCATGATCCGTTAAAGACAAAAGAAACGATTGGAGGCTATTTGAATACTCATGGATAATCGAAAGAAACTGCTATCAAAACGTAAATACAAGTCAAAACGAAAGCACACAAACCAAACAAAAGCAAACAACTCAAATAATTCACGCATAAAATGTCAGGATCACACATTGGTAGAATGATTTGCAACGTTTTTTGTACAAAAAATCTATTTTTGTTCATTTATTGATATAATACTCAACGTAGGCAACTTTAAAGACAGCTAATCTATTTTTGCAACGTTTAAGTACCTGTAGTTTAGTTCAATATTTACTTTTAGTTACATAGTGATATATCAAGATCTTGCCGTCTAAACTTTAGTACTATTATTAATGTGATTCTCTCTTGCTTTTAGTTACCACGTTACTGCATCACGTAACAAGTGTTTCGAATGATTAATTTATAACTACTGTAATAATCACATGTTCCTTTGACACTCCAAGAAGAAAAGTTTAATTTATTCGTTAATTTAGCTCTAATCGAATATTATTTAAGTGAACGCGAGGCATGGAACAAATATTTTTTGAAATGGCTTCAAGACCAAACTTGTTGCGTTTATTTTTCTAATAGTTTAAGCTCGAATATACCAAAAATGTCGATGTAAGTGTATTACTAAGTTGCGAGAATCTCTGGTTTAAAGAGTGTAGCAGTTGTGGTAGTTTACGTGTATTTACTGTAAATAGTTGAAGAGTAGCTTCGTCTTGTGCTATTGTACTCATGCATGGTAACCATGGCAACCAAAACAAAATGTAACAACAATAATCAAAACAAACCGACATTCCTCACGCTGGAAATTGAAGATTTTAGAGAAACTGATTGCAAGACGATGTTGGATGTAAGAATATTTATGCCAAATTAGATTTTACAGGATATTATCACTGACTACCACGAATAAATTGTAGATAGATGTAAAATTAATCGTATGGTGAAGAATTTGACTAGAAAATGACAAGAATATTAGAGTATGACAAATTCTAATGGTTAATAATACTGATATTATTAATATTTATAAGTGTAAACTCATTGTGATTGTTTGAAAGAAAGTTTTAAAGAAGATAATTCGTCGTTAGCAATATGGAAGTCCAACACAAAACAGAAACAAATGCAAAGCAAGAAAATGATAAAATAAAACTTATTACTAACGTAATATTCAGAAATTAAATGGTAATAAAAGTAAATTTATAAAGAATTGATGCGAGAAAGAATTTGTTTTGTTTTCTTTTGATTTATGTTTTTAAAATATTTTTGCAAACTTGTTTGGCTAAAGCGACAGTGCTGCCAACACTACAAACATTCGCGAAAACAAATGCGCACCTTTTGTTTTATTTCTGAGCAGCAAGTTGAATAAGTTCACTTTTTTGAATAAATTTTGTGCGTTTTATGGTTTTAATTTGTTTGTGATGATGTGATTGGTTGAATATTATATAAATAATGTAGATTTTGTGCGGTTTTAAGAGTGTTTGCATGAAAAATTCGAAATTTGCGTTTATCGATCGTCATTAAACGATAGGTGGCGCCAGTGGTCCTATTGTTTAGTAAATTCCCAAGATGGCGATTGAACGCAGCTTGGTGCTCTGAGCGTGTGAGTGCGTCGCGAGGCAAATTACTAAATGGGCATCCGCGCTGCGGCCGTTCGCGAGCGAATTGCAAATGTCCGAGGCGCGTCCGCGCCGCGATGACCACTGACGCGTGTCCGCCGCTAAGGTGAGCCGCCGATCCGCATCCCCAAACAAGCGCATCGTCCGTCCGCCGACGGCGCGCTCCGGAGTGCACACACGCAGTGCGTGCGCGATTGGTGTGTAACATGTTTTGCAGCGTCCGGCCGCGGATGCACCTCGACGCCGCCGCCGCTTAGGTGAAGACACTAAAAATCGCGCGTGGCGTGATATGTGTGTGGAGTACATGCGCGCAGCGCGAGGCCATCTTCACACGGGGCGCACGGACGACGCACATTTGCAGACGCCCGATGAATTAGAAGTGAGTGTCCTGGGGGCGGCGGAGGGCGGCCCGCGCGTGCATACATGATATCGATTTATGCATATGTGAATGAATGGGATCTCGTCACATCGGGAGTATGTTTACGTTGTAATTCACGGTGTTTATTGTTTTTTTTCTCTCTGCTTGTAGATGGGATGGCTGTGCTAGTGCGATCGCGAAGAGGGACAGCACGTGTCACAACTCGCAATGGACCCGGTCGGACCATGGTCAGCGTACGCGTATAACCGGCTCTCGGGCGTGCAGGGCGGCACGCCAAGTGGCAGCGAGCTGCACCATCACCTCGCCGGTGCCGGCAACGCGCCGCCCACGACGAGCGCCACACCGCAGTTGTTACCTGGTAGTTTTCTGCCGGCGCCGCCTGGCTACGAAAGCGTTTTCAGTCCGCTTTTTCATAACGCCGTCGCTAAGCCAACCACACACTACATCACTCAGCAGCAGCGGCAGGCAATCGCGCAGGCACAGGCGCAAGCCGTCGCCGCCAAGCAAACCGCCGATGGCGACTTCCACAATGCACAGGCCTTTTTTGATCAGAACTCGGGCGCGTGGCAGCAGAACAGCCCGTTTGGGGTTTTGCCGCACGAGAGCGTCGTTTCCACAACAATCGCGAAGAGTTATGAAAACTTTAACGCGCATTTCGCTGCGCAGAGCATTAATCACTTAAATTCTCTGGCGGCGGCTAAAAATGCAGCTGCTAGGAATCAATCTGCACAGGTACAGACCTAAAATTAATACTCCCACATTTTTTTCTATTTATAATTGCATACTTTTTAGGCTTCTGTAACGAAAAGTCAGTTTTATCAAGCCCCGACGACGACATACTCAAACGCCGAATCTTCATCGTCTAGTAATAAATCCTACGCGAATTCACAGACGAATTCACCAAACATTCAACAGACATGTATTGTCAGCACGTCGCATCCTTCGCCAAACGCCAACTCGAAAGAGTACCGCGTGCCGCAACCACCGCAACGCTCCGCTGCTTTCCAAGTGGCGAACACTGCACGTGGTCCGCAATCGGCGAAGCAATCAGCGGCTGCACCTCAGATACAAACCAAGGCGCAGACGAAAATCTACGATATCGGCACGGCGCAAAGCGACCGCCGATCTGCGCCGCCTCCACCCAACGAAGACTCCAATTTACAACAACAGAGCGTGATAAGTTTTTCCATCATGGACGGACAGCGCCTCAACTACAACAATTCAAACGCGAAACGGAATTTTCAAGGCAATTTCAGGTATGTGCTTAAGTAGGCAACCAAGTGTACACGTAAAATAAAAACTTGTTTATTTTTAAGGCAATATCAACAAGGTATCAATACCGATCCGGATTTTCAACGCTCATCGAATAATTCCAACGGCCCCGACTGTAATGTGGTCGTACCACGACGACCTAGCCCCCTGCAAGCGCATTCACAGGCTTCTCCTCTGGGACACGCCTCCAGTCCTGCGTATCCGTTGTACAATAGTCCGATGAATTCAAACTCGCAGATCTCCAGCCCGCAGACGAATCAGGCCACTTCAAGTCCATTGGATGTGACTGTGCCGCGACCGGGTACTGCGCAGATTCCTTCCGGAGCGTATCCTAGTGTAATTACGCGCGCGCTTAATGCGGAACGTGTGCCCGAACGCTTTGAGCGACCCGGTGCGCCTGCCAATAATCAAAACTGCTGGGACGAGCAACGCCGCAAGTACAATTATCAAACCGGGAATAGTATAGAGATTCCGTCGCGACAAATCGACGTGCCTAATCGTTCCGAACCACCCCAGCGTAATCTCATTGGCATTCCCGAACGCCAGCAGCCGTATTTCGAAGCGGGTCACCAAGTGACCTTGCAGGATCTGTCAAGTTGTCGGGGTGACCCGATGAGTATCGTCAAAAACCTACAGCAACAACAACAGCAATGTCAAATACCACAAATTGAGGTAAAGCCAGAGAGTAGTAAAAAGCGGCGGAAAAGTACTGAAAAAGTGCAACCACCGCCTGAACAACTACCTGGTCGGATACCACCGCCTGCGCATAGCTCGGCGATAAACCCACAAGCACCACAAAATGGCGCGTATTTTGATTTCGACCGGTGGAATCTTCCAACGCCGCCGGCGAAGATTTTTACGTCGCAGGGGATCCAACAGCATCAGCCATTGATGGTCCCGCATATACACTCTGCGCATACACAAGGCCTGCCGTACTTTCCACCTTTTCACATCGCGCCACCATCGGAGTATCAGTCTGTTGAACTGACACCGCTCACGAACTACAACGAGCAGAATCAAAACCATGCGCAGGCGGCACCGCCACCAAACGCGCAATATCAGCATCCGCCCGACGATCAAGACCAGGTGAAGGTGGTGGTACCAAATATCGAGGAAGAATTGAATTTCCTCAATGATGCAACACCGCCAACGCCTCGACCGCCGCAGGTGCTGCAAAGCAAAGCAATAAATTCACCAGTGCCCGGCAAGCCCGACTCGAAAATGCCCAACAAGGGCAAGGAGGGCTTCATCAACAGCTATCTCAAGTTCTTGCAGGGAGAACGCGACCATTCACCGCCGCCGGTGACGAAAGGACGTAAATCCAATTGGAATCGTAGTAATAAACACACGCCGGATGCGAACGCTGCCGGCAGACAGGAAATGAATGGCGCGTCGGCGTCAGCTACGCTGCCAACTGGTCCACATAGCCATCCGCATGCCCATCAGCATTCAGCGATTACGCCGCACGCTGTAAAATTGACGCACGGTACATATACTCATTGAAATAACCTCTTCTCTCACTCGCCGCACACATCAACTCAATGTTTGCATGTTGCCCGTTCTAGGCGATCCGCAAGACGATCCCCGATACTTTCCCTTACCCAAAGTGCGCAAGCAGTGCGCGTTCGACAGCTCCGACGACGGCCTCTCGTCCGACGACGAGTTCTTTGACATGGGCATCGGCGGCGCTCACGCGCCCTCCAGGGGTGACAAACACGCACGCCGCAAGCACAAGAAAGAGCGCAAACGTCGCCCGTACAAGAAACGCGCCAAGTCGATCGACCTAGAACCACCCCTCAATGGTAAAACCATTAAGACCCACCTTAAAAACACATCCTTTATAAAGATATTCTTAAAAAAATCAAAGTACTTCTTAAAAATCTAAAAATTGACTTATTTTTACAGAAATGGATATTCCACGTCGTGAGTTAACAAAACGCGCAGCCAAGGATAGAATAAACCCGAATTCGATGAAAGATGAAGATGGCGGCTTAGACGAACAGCAAGATTTCCCTGATTCCGATTCGGATCCAGCATGGACGCCTGCAGAGCGACCTGTGGGCGAAGAAGAAGAACCAGTGAAGCGCAAACGCGGCCGACCGCCATTCAAAAACAAATCACCACGTAATTTGATCTCTGCGGCGGCGCACGACGCCGGCATCTCTGTGATGGATAGTCAGGGGACGAAAGTTGCGCTTACCATGGAGGACAATCTGGCTACGGCTGTCGCTAAGCAAGAATACGCGATAAGCAATTCCAGTATTGACGGCGCGTTTAAACCCGGCGAGTTTCTCGCGTTGAAAACGGAGTTGAATCTGCAATGGCCGCCGGCGCTGTGGCGCATCGACGGGAAGAATCTCCTACAGAAATACGAATCTTTCGATGAGAATGGCATACGGTTATATAAAAATATATCAACTGTAAGTAATAATTTATTTGATATTTATGGAATTGTTTTAAATTAATATTTTTCTTTGTTTTGTTAGTATTCTTCTTTAATGGCGGATAGTAAACACATGTACGTGCCGGTGCCTGTCAAGTTCCGCATGCAGAATCAGCTGGAAACAGTGGTGGAATTTCTGCGGAACGAGCTGGTTATCTACGATCAAGAGGTGCTAGAGAAATCAATCAAATCTCATGAAGTGTATCAGGATAATTTCGAGGTGTACATACAGACCTTGATATCGCAAGCGTTGGATTGCAATTTTTTGAAGGAAATATTTCATGAAAAAGGTAAAAATACCATAAAAATGTTTGACATTTGATGTTTAAAATTTAATTTTGTGCTTTGATAGATGATTATTTTCTGACGAATGTAAAAATGATCGACGATCTCACCATGAGCAAAAAGAACAAGTTGGTGTATTGCTTCCGGTGGCCGATGCAATTACTAAGCGTGATTGGCACATGGCCATGTTTCAATACATACACGGATTGTGTGGATGCAATGGGAAAGCGGTGTGCGGCATGCGACGCGCCTGGCGCTTCTGTACGGCTGATATTTTTCGGTCAGCCGTATAACGATGTCACGCTTGAGATGTGTCCACCAGATATCAATGCACCAAACGAAAAGGTTTGTGTTTTGCAATACATTTTATTCAATAAAATCAACATTAAATTCTAGGATTTTATGATGTGTCGGATATGTTCTAAACGCGTCGAACTCTACAACAAAATCGCGCATCAAAAGTATCTCATGTACTTGGAATGTGCGCGACGCGTGCAGGACAAACGCGTCAAGGAAGGCCAGAAGGACACCACGTGCATCTTAAATGAACTCCTCGCTGATGAGCGATGGTTAGGACAGGTAAAAATCACAAAACAAAGATTTATTTTAGCACGATATTATTTTGTGTATGTTTGGTTGCAGCTATTTTTATATGTGAGAAAATACTGGGGCGAAGTGGACTGCATCGAGCACCTGTTCCTGCAGCGGCCGCAGTTGATTCAGTGATAAAAGACTTGAAACGTGAGCACCAGAAGCAACCTAGACACATAGACGTAACTTTGTATCAACACTATTCAAGCGTAGGTCATACTAAGAGGTCATACCGCAAAACTGTACATAACAATACTGAAAGGAGATTTAAATGTTATATTCTACGATCCTAATTTTAGCGTCGTTTATTTTGCGTGCGTGCAAAACAAAAGAAGCAAATCGTGTACATATAGATATATATATGATGAGTAAGAAGACACAAAATTAAATTTAACACATTTGTAAAAAGTCGAAGTCGAAGATATTGCGGAGGAGGAGTTTTATACATACTGTAAAAATTGATATGGTACTCGCGCGGAGTTATGTAATTCATTTTTGCCATAAGTTTTATTGATATCTAACTATAAGGATAGTTACGTATTACGGATTACGCATACACGAGAACACAAAGGCAAACAAACACACACAAAACCTGCGTTTTCTTCTTCAGTTTTAAGTTTAATTTCTTGTAAAATCTCTCTGTACATACATTAATTTTATTATTATCGATTGTAATGAGTACTCTTAACAACAATATTATATTCTAATTATACATTTGCCAATAAGCGAGCGAGAATGATGATACACAAGAGATTGAAAGCTAATCGCGTTGAGTATGATGATCATGCAGATGATGAATGAAATTATTGTTTGTTTTTATATTGTTCTTGCTTTACGGACGCGACGTTGAATCAAAAAATGATATTAAGTAGAAGTTTTATATAAAGTGGAGCATTTGTTGTTGTTTTTTATTTTATTATTGCTTTGGTGGCAAAGAAACGATAACAAACTGAAATAACAATAGAAATCTCAGACATATCGCAGTGTTATGTTTATGATATCGTCGTACAGCAGACGGAAAACGTCTTTCGCCCACAGGAAATGACCGTGTGTGAATTGTTTGTATTTGATTTTATTGTGAACGACAACATTACTCAAGGATTTGATAGTTTTCTCGGCATCCTGTAAAATGAGTTCATTTTTATCAGATTTTATCAAATATTTTAAATTTACCTTGTGATGAAGTAGCCAATCATTCATTCCGTAGTGAACCGCGACTGGAGCGGTGACTTTACTTAAGTCATAATCAGGAGGTGATAATTGCCCATAGATTTCTATGTTTTTTGAGGGGATTCTGTAATCAAAATTACAGAAACGACCGTTTTTTACGAGTTGCGAATAGTGGAGGTATTGTTTCATTGAGCCTCCTGCCGGCAGTGATCCTGTTATAATAGGAATCAGATCCTAAAATAACAAATTTGAACATTTATCATATTTTATAACATCCAACATCAAAAGTCTTACATCTTCTATTTGATTATTATCGAAACCAACGATGAAACCATAGATAAATTTACAAATGCTAAAAAATGGCGATGATGGAACACACACTGTGGGCCAAAAGATTTCATTCACTGTTCTAGGCAAAATTCATACAGTTGAATCTTATCTTGTTGCAACTACAATCAAAAATGCAAAATGGCGGAACAAACACATATAAATACTTACAACTAAAGTTTCCTCAATACTCGGCAACCCATATCTGAACAGTGGTGAAATAATATTACTCCAGAATGCAACAGGTGCCAACATATGCCCCAACAAAATCTTCTGATTATATTCAGGTTTCTCGATATTCATCACAAAGAAACTAGTTGTTCCTTGTGAGTGCCCTATATAAATCAATTTCTCCCATGAGCTTAACGCTAAGATATAATCGATCATGGCTGGATTATCATAGACACCAAACTCGTGAAACGAAAAATTCCAATATTCTTTCTTGTCTACATCTGGATTTAATCGGACGTGGCGTTTGCTAAATTTTGTACCGCGCGTGTTAGCCAACCAGAGATCAAAACCTAAACCTACTAGTGCGTAAACTAGACTTTTGTTTGGTCCGCCATTGACATAATCAATTGCGGATGAACCAACGCCTGGAACACAAAGAACTGGTGGTTTAGTTGGTTGGAAATCGGGGTAATTCGCATGTAAAATACGATGCGTTTCTAAAATATAGCCATCTTCGGTTGTTATGTGATGGCGTTCAAGTCTATAACCGTGTTTCGGGACTAATTCTAACTAAAAACGCCATGAAAGTATAAAAAAGTGATAAAGCATACAGAAAACTTAAAACTTACAATATTTAAACCGACTTCTTCTGGGGTATTTGTTAGGAAATCGACTAAATCTTCGTTGGATACGTGAATTTGTAAAAGAATACTTATAAAGAATGCGACTAGGTGTTTGGGCATTTTTATGCAGACTACAACGATTTCACTATATTTTGCTTATATTTCGGTACAAATTGGTATAAAACGATTATTATCTTACGTAAACGTTAAAACTTTCTCTCTTTTAAAGTAATTATTCATTTCTTAAGATTTTACGCAATTTATCGATGGTTCTTACACAAACTTTCAAACATTACAGCCGCCATCTGGTGGTGAAAACTTGAAACAGTTAACCTCGATGTAAATTATTTCATTACGCCGGTTGACGTCACCTTACGAAGAAATCAGCAGTAAACAGTCTGTTTATTAATTGTTAGCTCATTTCAGAATTACGCAATGCACCGCTGCTTATCGTAGATGTAATTGAGTGTAGAATAACCACTGTAAACAGATACAGTTTCCCAAGTTGTTGTTGAAGTGCGTGGAGTGTTTAACCAATAACAAGATCGTCAACATCATCACTAAACCGGTTAGCTACATCTTTTTTCCGACCACGCATGTTATAATATTATCTCACTCGGTCACTTGTGGACAAGCAATAGGAGTGCTTAATAGGGTTCAACGTTCAAATCATGATAAAACGTCATCATGCATGTGAATGTTGAATGACTAGCTACTAGCTCTAGCATGTACCCACGATATCGTGTGCAATAATTCACCTTGACAAACGTTCCGTCGCTTTTATCACATTTTCTAGGGCAGTGCTACTGGCAAGCGGTCAAACGGCGATTCTCCTCTTTCAAAGCCAATTTATAGCTTAAATTTTGAGCTAATTTAACAAAATGGTAAGTTTTTCTAATAATATTTGTTGATTATTGAATAAGTTCATTTATTTTGTGGTGAATTTCAGTCTGAACCAATTCGTGTCGTTGTCACCGGCGCCGCAGGCCAAATCGCATATTCTCTCCTCTACCTCATCAGCAAGGGAGATGTCTTCGGCCAAAACCAGCCTCTTATCCTACATCTTCTGGACATTCCACCAATGATGGGTGTCCTTGAAGGTGTTGTAATGGAGCTGACAGACTGCGCCCTGCCTTTGCTCAGAGAAGTCATCCCCACTGACAATCCCGAAGTGGCTTTCAAAGATGTCTCCGCCGCCTTCATGGTTGGCTCAATGCCGCGTAAGCAGGGCATGGAGAGGAAGGATCTGCTCGCTGCCAATGTGAAAATCTTCCAGGTGCAAGGCGAGGCACTCGATAAATACGCCCGCAAGGACGTGAAAGTTCTTGTCGTAGGCAACCCAGCGAACACCAACGCTCTTGTTTGTTCTCGATTCGCACCCTCTATTCCTAAAGAGAATTTTACTGCTATGACCAGACTGGATCAAAACCGCGCTCAAGCACAGATTGCAAACAAGTTGAATGTACCTGTTGGAGCTGTTTCTAACGTTATCATCTGGGGAAATCATTCTTCTACACAATATCCCGATGGGTCGCATGCACTTGTTAAAATTAACGGAACCGAGCGTCCAGTCCCGGGTGAAATCAAGGATGATGCTTGGTTTAAGGGATATTTCCTTGAAACTGTCCAGAAGCGCGGTGCTAGCGTGATTGCTGCGAGGAAAATGTCTTCAGCGATGTCCGCTGCGAAAGCTGCTGCTGATCACATGAAGGATTGGTTCAGTGGACTTGCGCCTGGGAAATTTGTATCAATGGCGGTGGTCAGTGATGGCAGCTATGGCATTCCTGAGGATATTGTCTATTCGTTCCCGGTTACTCTTAAAGACGGCAAGTGGAGCATCGTAAAGAATCTTGAAATTGATTCCTACTCTAAGGGAATGATGGAAGCCACCGCCAAGGAACTCGAAGAGGAGCGTGTTGATGCGTTTGCTATCATTAACAAGTTGTAATTGTTTTTATAGAGGTATTTTCTTATATTGAAAGGAGAAACTTTATTACTGCTTATCAGAGCCAAGATGCTGATATAAATTTTTGTATGGTACTGCATATTATTACCTATAATGTAAACATGTTATATCCCATATATTCATAAATAGAAAACGAGGAAAATGTTCTAAACAAATGAAAAAGTTTTATTTTCGTGTATTGAAGTTGCGAACTTTTAAATCTAACGAATGAATCCGAATGTAGCCGATGTAAAAAGTGAACATCTGCGCATGCGCAGCACGGTACAAAACTTAACCTTATATTCGATTTGACGGGCTTCTCTCTTTCCGTTCCAGGTCGCGTGTGAGTAACATCATACCAGCCTACCAAGATGACGTGAGTTATAAATCTGTAGATATTTAAGCAATCCTTCACCTTTAATTTAATATTAATCGTTTACCCTATTTTATTAACATCCTGGATTATAATTTCACTAATATTTATGTTTACCAATCCGCTTTGTATGAATTTTTCAGGTCCAAAGTATCGCGTGACACATTCTACGAATGTGTAGGCGCCGTCTTAAAGAACTCCAAACAGAACAGAAGGAAGTTCCTTGAAACTGTGGAAATCCAAATCGGTTTGAAGAATTATGATCCCCAGAAGGACAAGCGTTTCAGCGGCACCGTCAAGTATGTACACCTGACATGAAGTTTGCCATCAACGCGTAGAGCACGTTTGTGTGCTTAACGATTGATGTGTATTCTTCTGGTACGTCAGGAAGCCTCACTGGCGGACCTGCACCCAGGGTCTTAAAATAATTGGGGAGATACTGTCCGTTTTTAACGTGGCGTATCGAAAAATTCTTTATTAAATATTCAGGTTCAGAAGCATTGTGGTAAGGGAAATTGCTATCTTCAATAGCATTCAAACTGAGCAAACAAATTTGGATTTATTAAAATGCTTTTTGATATGAAGTTAGATGTATTTTGTTTGTGCAATATAACATTTGTCCTCAGGCTAAAGAACATCCCCAGACCCAAGATGCAAGTGTGTGTTCTTGGAGATCAGCAGCATTGTGATGAGGCCAAGGCACAGAATGTACCTTACATGGATGTTGAGGCTCTCAAGAAACTCAACAAAAACAAGAAGTTGGTTAAGAAACTAGCAAAGAAATATGATGCTTTCCTTGCTTCTGAAGCCCTCATCAAGCAGATTCCGCGTCTATTGGGTCCCGGTCTTAACAAGGCTGGCAAGTTCCCTGGTCTCTTGTCTCACCAGGAGTCTATGACTCAGAAAATTGATGAGGTGAAGGCCACCATCAAGTTCCAGATGAAGAAGGTATGTAATTCTTGTATATTTATTCAATTTATTATGCACCATCAAGCCAACAAACTGAGGAAATACCAACTCAAGATTGTACGGAAGCATGGTGCTAAAATAACTGCATTCACAATTTTTTTTAAATGTTTAATTTATTATTTAAATTTTATCATTGTGAATGCATACAATTTTATTAATATCTTAATATTTATGCCGATTTAAAAGGAAATTTTGTTTAACAATAACTATTTTGTTTAGGTCTTGTGTTTGTCTGTTGCCGTTGGACACGTCAACATGAGCGAGGATGAGCTTGTACAAAATGTGCATTTGTCAGTCAACTTCCTCGTCTCGCTGCTGAAGAAGCATTGGCAGAACGTGCGCTCCCTGCACGTGAAATCGTCGATGGGACCCGCGCAACGTTTGTACTAAGTTTTCTATGTTTACGTCTATCAACGTATCAATAAAAACACACAAAAAAATTTATCACTGTAATTTTCTATGTAATTCCCAGGACAATTTAGAATTAAAATAATATTTGCATTGCTAGTGTCGCTTCCATTGTATATTATTATTGGGAAGTTCTCAGGAGCGTCGTGAGATGTCGCTAGCAATGTTGTTTGATACTAATTTCTTATTTCACGCGTTTTACCACAGTGATTATAAACAAATAGCTATTCTTCTTATTTTATTGATAAAAGAAAGCTGAATTTATTCAATACACTCTTATATAACCAGAGAAAAATTTGTTAACGAATTTAATCATGAAATTAATTTGAAAATATTAATTTTTGGAGTTATTTGTTCACGCTTCCCACCAAAAAGATTATAATTATGCGTATATAATCTGTAGTAACGACGAGAACATCCGTTTATTAGAGCCGCAACTACTGTTGACAACTTCAGTTGCACGTCCACAACGTTATTAAGCGCATTCGGTTTAATTGTATGTAAGAGCCAGATGTGCGCATGCAGCTGAGCCGCGGATGAGGATGCTGCTGGCGTACAGCTTGTACAACCTAAAGACCGTAAAGAGACTTGTTCTTTCATGCCGACTTGAGCTTGCTTTAGCTGTCGCAGTTGGAGTGGGTGAGAAGGGTCCTAAACCACTCGAGCAGGTATATTTCTCGAACCGAAATAGCCCTCGCTGATCTTCCTCTTTAGTACACTCTTCAGCGTCGCTTCAGGTCTCTTCTCTTCTACGCCTTCTGGTTTTCTTCTGCTCTTCCGCTACCAACAACACGCGAAAGTGTTGCGGTCACCAAAATCACTCAAATAAAAACTATAAATATCAATAAACACCCAAAAAACACAAAAAAGATCTCTCGGTTATGGTTTTCCGGTCGTGTCGTGCGCGTATCCTGTCTGCATGCTCGTCTCAAGTGATATTATATTAAATATCATGTTATCGTAATGCATATTAAATAAAAAAAACGAAACATGCATTAAAACACGCATAACCGATGCTGCTGCAGTGCAACTGGAAGTGGAATTGTAATAAATTCAACGTTGAGCATTCAACGTGTGTGTGCGCGCGCGACAACAACGAAGAGATACGACACACATGCATGTGGAGAATTTAATCTGTATGAAAAGTACGTAAAACAAATGCTTCTATTTATAGCAAGCGTTCTGCACTCGGGGGATATCAACGCCGATGTGTGTGCGGAGCACATCACGCATCGAACAATTAAAATTGTAATAAATGATGAAGTGATACGCGTTCATGTGCGCGCATGATTCAGCCGTCGTTAAACACTCGGCGCGCACACACGCAGAACGCGCAAAAAAAACCGAATAACTTGAATAAACAATATTTGAATACATTGTGTGAACGGTTTATCTCGCTCGTAATCTTATCTAATCAGGCAGGAGTTAGTTTTGGTGTGTCGTCGTCGTGTAATCCGGACACAACACGTTGACGAATTAATATATCGAGAATCAATCGAAAAAACAATTTGAAAAGTTGAGATTTCTATGCAAATTTCGCGTCGTGTCTGGATGTAGTGTCGAGTGCTGGTGATTGTGATATCATATCGCCGCATCCTGTCGACTTCGTCGCGATTTAAACATAACAACATTGTCATTCGTGCATTCAAATGGGTTTTGGTTCAAAGACGAAACAATGTTGACGCGGATTAAATTGTTTATGCTTTTTGCATGCGTCTTCATGATTCAAACGAGTTATTCGCAGCAAACAATTGAATCGACTGAAGTTACTAAAATTGCTGAATCGAGCACAATTACTACAACAACAGAATGGGAAACATGTAAGTGGCCTCAATTTTATCTAAAATTGTTTTAAATACATGTTTTTACTTGTTTTAGCCGCAACTGAAAACACTACAAGTGATGTTAAAACAACGGATAGTGATTCAGGAGATAAATCTACTTTAAACTCTTTTTCATCAAAAGATGGTTTAAATTCAAGCCCTGGTAGTAAATATAAATAAAAGTATAAATGCTTATTTATTTCATATAATTTTTCTACAGTTGATGAAGTTGAAGATAATAACTTGTCAGAAGATGAAGAAAACAATTATAAGACTTCCTGTGACAAATGCAAACAAAACCCTGAAATTCTTGGATTAAAACATCAAATTATAAATGACACAATTAAAATTCAATGGGACCCAATTGAAGAAACTGAATTAAATTGTCAGTACAAATATACAACAAAAATTAACGAATTTAATGATTATCTTGACTTCACACGTTTTGCAAACACAACTGGTGTTGATATACCTATCAAAGATCTCTGTGGTATACACACAGTAAATATATTAGCAAGCAATATCTGCGGTAATGAAGTGAACCAAACCATTTCCATTGTTATTCCAGCCAAGTCTTTTAAAATTTCAATGGAGAAAATTAATAGTAACAAGACACAGATTAAAATAACTACCAATTGCAACAGCAACTCCAGTAGTTTGCAAATAAGTTGTGACTCAGGTTATAATAAAACTTTTACTAATGTACAAGACACTGATGTTAAAACACTTGACGGATTGAAAGCTTTTACAAACCACTCTTGCCGAGGAGAGTTGTTTAAAGACAATAATTCAGTGGGGAATGCAAGTTTTACTTTTCAAACTGAACAAAGTGGTAAGTAAACTAACAGTTGCTTCTTATCACTGTTACTTTGTAAATTTTATTGTTTAATGTTTATTTGTAGCACCAAGTAAAGTTAGAAATATTACAGTTTCTAATATAACGGATTCGAGTTTTGAAATAAATTGGGAAAGTCCTAAAAATGTTCGCGGTATTCTCACAAATTATACTATTACTTTGGAAGGTCGTCCATTGTATAATCCACCAGTATTTTGTCAAGATCTTTATAAAAATATCAAAATTGGTCCTGTTTCTGTGAGCGCTGATGTAAAAACTCATGTTTTTCAAAATTTGTCTGGAAATTACGAGTTTAACATTACTATCAAAGCGAAAACAAGTAAATTTGGTCCGTTGGAATCAATAACTACTAAAACATCTACACCATGTGAGTTTTATTAATTTATATTAGCTTATATTTATATTTAATGTCTTATTCATTTATTTTAGCTCCTGGGGAAGTTGAGAATTTAAATAAATTCATAGATGCTTCAAAAATAAATCAACCAAAAGCCCAAATAAGTTGGAGTTATCCTTGTGCAACTTATACATCTGTGAATAGAGTTGTATTCAGCATACATATTGCTGAAAATTCAAAAACAACAGAAAGAATCAATGAAACCATGAACATTGATAATCCACAACAAAATTTTACAATAGATCAGGAACTGAAGCCATCTACCAATTACACTATAATGGTTTACACAATTAATTTAGATACAAGTCAAATAAGCACAGCTAACAGTTTGCAATTTGAATCACCTGAAGGAGGTATGTTATTTATTTGAATTAAAATGTTTCATTGTTTAACTAACTGAACATCATTTTATGACTACAGTGACTAGTCCGCCATTATTCTTATCTTCTGAGATTGACTCTTTTATGATTGACATGTACTGGCAAAAACCTACATATGTTTTTGGAGATTTGGTTTCTTATAAAGTAAATATCACTTCCTTCGGTCCTCTGCACAAACTTGGCTGTGATGAAGTCTATTTAGACAATACATTACTGTTGGAAACAAATAGCACCCACATTAGTCAAAGTGTCAAACCAAATCATAAATACTCTGTTGAAATCACCACCAATACCACTCGAATGGTTGGAGAAACACTTAAATATGAATTTAGTACAAAACCATTCCAAAGTGAACCAGTTTTGAATCTGATATGTAATGCTACTGAAAATTCATCAAATGGCTCAGCTGGTTTGAGAATACAATTTGAACCACCTTGTAATACAAACGGTGTATTTGATTATTATAGCATCACTGTCTTTGATGAACAAGGTAGTAAAGTCTTCGAACATCGAGATAATTCCACATTTTTTGAAATATCAGACATGAAATACGAATCAACCTACAGAGTAGATGTAAATGTTGTAACTAAAGGGGATTTGAAAAGTAGAGACGAATTTTGTGATGTTAAAACGAAGTCGGATAAACCAAATCCACCAAACTTGAACAAAAGTGAAGTCATTGCACATATCTATGATAAACAAGTTGAGGTCATGTTGAGAGATGATTATTTCGACAACAGTCATGGTGAAGTAAAGTTCTTTGCATTACTGGTTGGCTTAGCAACAAAGTGGGAGACAAAGAATAATTTAGATAGTGGTTATTGGGATGGTATCAAGTGGCCTAATGATGAGTTCTGGAATGAAGAGGGTTTGCCTTATCAAGCAACACCTGCAAAATGGCAACCACTTAAAGGAACCATTCAAAAATTTATTTTTAAACTTGGAACTCAAAATTGTACTGGTAAAAATAATGAGTTCTGCAATGGACCGCTAACACCCAACACCGAATATGTCTTAGCCATCCGTGGATATACCACCAATGGGTATCAAATTAGTAATAAGCTACGATTTGTCACCCAAGACTTGGAAAAAACTCAGAATGTTGTTATGATTATTGGTATAGTAGCAGGAGTGTTGCTAATAATAATCATATCAAGTTTAGCCTGTGTTTATTGGAAACGTAGACCTAACAAACCAATAAGTCTTGAAGAAGCAAATCAAATAGTTCACAATCAGGTAATTGAGTTTATTCCACCATGTTCGGTGAAAATTGAGGAATTCCCTGCTTATTACAATGAAAGAAAGTTTAAATTAAATGAAGAATATGAAAGTCTTCAAAATATCGGTGGAGACTATGAAAGGACTATTGGATCACAAGCAGAAAATCGAAAAAAGAATCGATACATTAATATTTTACCTTGTAAGTAATAAAATCAGAGTAATAATAAGACAACTTATTACATACTTTTTATTTTAGACAATTCTTCGAGAGTATGTTTAGAAGGCTGTGAAAGTGATTACATTAACGCATCCTACATCAAAGGATATTCTGGTGAAGTGGAATATATTGCAACACAAGGACCTTTAGAGTCTACAGTTGCGGATTTTTGGATGATGGTAGTAAATGAAAACTGCAGTGTGGTCGCGATGGTTGCCCAATTCGAAGAGCAGAAAAAGATTAAATGTCATCGATATTTTCCAGATTGTAGAGAACAAATGGAGCTTTATTTAGATGATGGTGGGGAAATGATGGTGAGATGTTCCTATGCCTTAAACTTTGATTACTACATTGAAAGGCAAATCATTGTGCAAGTTAATAAGAAACAAGTTGCTGTTACACATCTACAGTTCTTGAACTGGCCAGATTTTGGCTGTCCAGAGGGAACAACAAATATGTTGCAGTTTACAAAGAGGTTACGAAGGCACATGCAAGTAAATAATAGTAAAGCAGTGGTGCATTGCAGTGCAGGTGTAGGAAGAACAGGAACACTTGTTGCTGTTGATATTCTTCTGCAAACTATTCGTGATGGAAAGGATATTGATATTTATGGTACTGTAGTAGCTCTAAGGCATCAACGGATGAAGATGGTACAAGCAGAATCACAATATTTATATATTTATCAGTGTATTTTGGATGAAATTTTACAACCTGTGGAATTAACAGGTATGTACATTTTATTTTTTATGATTTCTCTGATTTTTAACTTGTTTTTGTTTATAGAAATAAAACCATTAGATCCAATCTATGAAAACATGGAGAATTTAATAGAAATGAAGGTGATATCTAAACAGAACAATAATTGTGACACACAAATTGAATTTTTTAACGAAGTGAATCAAGCTACTGACGAGAATGAAGGAAAAACTAATAAAAGTTTGGATGACGAACAAAATAAAATCAATAATGCCAAATCTATGAACATAGAGGATACGTGATTACCGCAATATAAGGAGTTATTAAAGTATAATTGACTGATCTCTAGTCTATATGTATTGTAAATTTTTTGAATTGGTGTTCTGTGAATGTACATATGAAGAAAATAGTTTCTTAATGTTACATATGTTAAAATAAAATAAATAATTATGCTGGACAACCAAACATGCAACAAAGGCGTTTAGTTTAGAAGTTATCCTTGATTCTAGCATTTTTAAATTTTGAAGGATAAAATAAACGAAAGTTTTTAACTGTTTTTTACAAACTACCAACTGTCAGAAGTAATAATGTCTTAATTTATAAAATAACATCCAAAATAGAAATAATTGATAGATTTACATTGTTTAAACATTATTAATGCTTTTCTTAATAAATAATTTGTTTATTCTTTGCGTTGTTTATAAAATTAAATAAAAGTCTCAATAATTCTTTTGAAACTGTTAAATTCCCCTAGAATTCCCCATACTCTTCGGCTGGATTGTTGTCATGTTGTTTATGTCATTCACCTTTTCATAACATTCATTTGTTTCGTTTCATGACTAATTCCAATTCATCACGTTGATTAATAACTCGAACTCTTCAATTAGTTTTAGTCAATGAGCGAATCGCGGCCGCATCAAGATGGGTAAGTGTCCATACATCCCTCATATACTAAATCTAGCGCGCTCCCACGTAACAGGTAAAAGAGGTGTGGTTTGACAAAGTTCGTCAAGATAACGACTTTATCAGCGATTTTATCGCCGCACGCAATTAGTCCGGAGAATTGACGCATTATGCAGGTGTTCTACTAGCTAGTTAGACTCACAATGGTTGAGGCCAGGCCATTGTACGAAACACACTTCGGTGGTGCAGATGGCGAAAATCTACCCGAGGATGATTACTTTTACGAGGAAGAAGTGGAGAAAAAAGGCATTTCTAAATACTATAATACTATACTTACTCTATATTAGTGACAGGTGCAGTGACTAATCTGGTGTGATTATTTTCCAGGCGGATGTGATTCATGTATGACGCGAATCCCGTATGCCACCCTCATAGCCACCATCATGTGTGTGCTGGGGGTGGTCGTATTTTGCGTAACGATGTACCGAGGTTCAACGCTGGCGCTGCTCATGTTTGATCAAGTCTTCAACATTCGGCTGTTCTGGATCGAGGCCGTGCAGATGACTTTTGTGATCATTGGTGCTTGTATGGGAGCATTGGGATTCATGATTTTGACTGTTGGGTGTCTCACAACTGGTGCAACCAGGTTTAAAGTATACAAAGCCTGGGGGTCTAGAATTGGTGGCAGAATTAGCTGTGCAGTGGTAAGCAACACAAAAATTTCAAGTTATTTAACATAATGTGAAGATATTTTAAGTGTTTATGGTGAATTTTTAATTTGGTTCCAGTTCATGGTCATCACTTACATCTTGCAGTTTGCTTGGATCTTTATGTTCATCTTTCTCGTAGTCGTCACGTTCCTCTTCACGACGTTCTGGTTCATGTGCGCCAACGACCACGTCTCTTCCGGCAAAACGTGCATTGACTTTACACAATTTTGTAGGTTGCACTCTAGTTACACTGTGTGCACATGTAACATTTTTGTGAATTCAATTGTTTCAGACTTTTACTTTCCTGATGGACACAAACAGGAACACATGAAAGTATGCGACACGCAGAATGTTAAATTATTCTGCAAGGATTACGTTGAAAAGGCCGAGATTATGTTTATCTTGGCTACAGTTTCATGTATTTTGATCATTTTAAGTTTGGTGAGTGTACTTTTAAGTGTTTATCAAACAAAATATTTCAATTTCATGATTTATTTACTGTTACCATAGTAACGCGACAGGATTGATTATATAACCTGAATTTCTTTTATGTTCAGGTTCATTATTTGATGTGCTTGTCAGCAAACTACGCACACATTCGGGATCATGAGAAAATGCAAGAGTTGCAAGATTTACACTACTTACAAGAACCAGATCTCAGTCACAAGGAGTCGCGCTTCTAGGATACGGCCCAGGAAATACACACACCGCGATTGTCTGCTAAATTTAGGAGGAGCTTCCAGTAAGTGCATATATTTCCCCCCTAATATTTGCATTTAACTCTAATCTCATACAAAACGAAGCTAAAGTAAATCAAACAACTAACATTATTGACAAATTGACACGATAACGTTGACGCACACAGAATACTTTATTTTTTTACGAAGCACACATTCCGACGTGGCCAAAACAAAACACAAAACAATCATAATCAAAGTATATAAAAAACGAAGAAAATGTTTGTGTAGCAGACATAAATTGGTGTATTTCCTGGACAAATTAGAAATCATAAACATTCACTCATTAGTTCATGATTCATCAATCATTTGTTAAGCAGCTCAATGTTTCGACTAGTTTACAAATTTCAGTTCATTCCGTCCCCATTTGACTTTACTTATTACTAGGTTTATACAATATACAACATTTTTGATCAAATTTAATTGAATTGATCATTGATCTGTAATGACTCCGAAAGCGAACAAGCCAGTTATGATATTAGGAGTTGAAATAAGAAAAGGAGAATCGCGATAGAAACCCAGGGACCACCGAGACTAGCGAATGCACTTCTAGAAGACTAAAACACGACTGAACACGCTTTTATGCCGGCGGGCGACCCGCGAAAAGTGGAAGGGGGAGGGTACGGTTGACTAAGCGCGCGCCAAGACACAAACTGCGGACAGAACCAATTCCTATCCTAACTAGTTTTAGCGGGTAGTACGCATGTATAGAAGGCGAACGCGCAGTGAGCATCGCACTCAATCGTGCCTGAATCGTAGTGCATTCCAGTTGCAGCTCTCTAGATTCCTCTCTTATGGTTTGCTTTCGGGTGATTACAGATCAGTGATTATGCTACTCCAACGTACAAAATTTTACAAATAAACTACAAATATTCACACAATAATTAAAACCACACACACAATAAACTGTTGAGACAATTTTAAGCTTTAATAGAATAATTTAATACAATTCCGTAGTAATCACGAATATATTATATTTATCCACACAATTAACTCTAAGTACACTTAATATAATATATAATATCAAATACTGCAAGAGATTCAATTTAAAACGCATTTAGAAGTAAGTTCCAATCAAATGTTCATATTGTTTATGTTATACAAGTAGAAAATTAGGAAAATAAGTTAAACTTAAGTTAAAATTCGAAGAAAAACGTCTGAAATCATATCACACGATCACAATAATGTATATGATATAAATTTATAAATTTTTGTATAACATTTAGGCCTAAGATTGTTAAATGTGCACAAGTTGTTAGTTTTTTCTAGACTGTTTTTTGTACATCGAAATATAATATAATTTTTCACCTTTTGGGAAAGTAAAAATGGAAAAATCAAACCTGAATATCTATTTTAACAAAATTTATTTGTCTAGTTATATACATTATTTCTTTAAGACATCGATAAACGTCTCACGAGGTAGTTGAATATTTGCTACGCTACGCATTCTTTTCTTACCTTCAGCTTGTTGCGCTAACAATTTCATGCGTCTCGTTACATCACCGCCATACTGAAAATATTTATAAATTCAAATTAAACAAGAAAATTGAGGTTTTGCAGTTAGAACTTACAAGTTTTGCTGTAACATCTTTACGATATGCTTTCAAAGTTTCTCTGGCGATAACTTTACCACCGACAACGGCCTGAATCGCAATTTGTATCATTTGACGTGGTATAATATCTTTTAACTTTAATACAAGCCTACGACCAATTGTTTGTACTCTGGAGACATGGATTATTATGCTTAGTTCATCAACTGGGACGCCATTGAGCAGTACTGCCATCTATAACATAACCAAAAAGTTCAAAACTTCCGTTACAAAATGGCGACTCACGCCAACGTACTTTTACAACAGGGCTTGATTTATAACCAGCGTCCTCATAATCAAAACTAGCGTAACCAGACGAAATAGTTTTTAAAGTGTCGTGAAAGTCGACGACAATCTCACTCAGCGGTAACTCATAGGTCAGCATTATGCGTTCATTGTCAATGTTGCGTGCGTTTTGTTGAATGCCACGACGTTCTGTACAAAGGGATATCACCTGTCCCAGATACTCATCTGGGGTTATAATAGTCCCTGAAATTCATTATTTATATATAATAACATTTATAAATGTCTAATTATGGGTGAAACAAACCTATTACAATTGGTTCAAAAGTTTCTTTAATCTTAACCGCATCTGGAAATAACGCCGGATTGTTAATCATAAGTGTATCAACGCCTTCTTTAAGCGTTTTGTTCGTTTCCTTTAATTTTATTTTGTAAGTCACTGATGGCGCGGTGAGAATCGGATCAGCTCCGAATTCTTGTTGTAAACGCTGTGAGAAAACTTCCAAATGCAGTAAACCGAGGAAACCTAAACGCCAACCTTGTCCTAACGCAGGACTGCATAATATTAATTGCATTATATGTTTTGATTAAGAATTATCACTAATTTTACCTTGAATCAATGCTTACTGACACAGCCGAATCATTCAGCGCTAGTTTCTCGATTGCGCTCCGTAGATTAACATGTTGTGACTGATCAAATGGGAAAATCCCAGCGAAAACCATGGGTTTGGGTGGTTCAAAACCAGTCAGAGCTTCCGTTGGTGCATTTGTGTTGAAAATTGTATCGCCGATGAATGATTCTTTACTACTGCGCATGTTACAGCCCAGAAGACCTATTTGTCCTGCGATTCTATTAAAGAATTAGAATTTTTCTCTTTAATAGGTAAATTTGGTTGTTTTAGTTAATACTTACAATTTTTGAACGTTTTCTTCTTGTGGTCTTAAAACTGAAAGTGTTTTCACTTCGTAAGTTTTCTGAGTATAACATGATTGTATAGAATCGCCGACTTTAATTGAGCCATCTTTGACGTAGAGCAATGATAATGCTCCGCGATATTTATCGAAGGAACTGTCGAAGATTAAGGCACGAAATTTTGAATTTCTATCAACATCTGGTGGCGGTAATCTTTCAATTATTGCCTCTATTACCTCTTGAATACCGATTCCCATTTTTGCTGAAATCTATTTCAAAATCAACATTTTGTAAAGTAAAATGAGGAATTGTTACCTTCAGAACATCTTTTGCTTCAATGTCAAATAGTGTATTCAATTGTCCACACACCCTCTCTGGATCAGCATTCTTCAAATCAATCTTATTCAAAACCGGAATGATGCGCAAGTCATTGCCAAATGCAAGATAAAAGTTGGCTACTGTTTGAGCCTGAACACCATCATTAGCATCTACAAGGAGAATTACTCCTTGGCATGCTGATAAACTTCTTGAAACCTTGACAAAATAAATAAATCAATAAGATTTCTAACAAAAACTTCAAGTTGTACAAACCTCATTGGAAAAATCAACATGTCCTGGAGTATCTATCAAGTTCAGCAAATAATCTTCCCCTTGTAGTTATATAATAGTGAAGCACTCTGTGCCTTCACAGTAATGCCCCTTTCTCTTTCAACTTGCAACTTATCTAAAACTTGTTTATTGCTACCAGTTGATTTGATGGCACCAGTAAATTCTAGTAGGCGATCAGCTAGTGTACTTTTTCCGTGATCTACATGAGCGATTATACTGAAATTTCGTATTCTTTCCAAGGGAATTTCAGTTAAATCAACCTTTGATACTTGTGTTGTCGAAGAATATCTCTTTTGAATAGTTCTATAAACTCTGAGAAAAGAAATAAATCAACGTTTTGGTACATTGTAGGTACTATATTTTGCTTACGTCTTATAAAAATAATTCAGGTTTTTATTAACAAATTTATCAATTATTATCATTTTATTAATTTACATTTGGCCTATCTGTCGGATTATTTGTGGTTAGTCTTGCCTAGAACTACGAAATAAATTCGTTAGATGGCGCGGCATGTGCGAGATATTATAATTTATTAGTAAAGCAATGGATAGATTGCGCTAACTATACCAAATTGAGACAATTTATAAAATATAAATTGTACAGTGGGTAAAATCAATACTAGTAATTATAATAGCAAAATATAATATTAGAAACATAATACACTTCCATTTATTGCCTGGATGAATGAATAATGCAAAAATAACATTATTCAAATACGTTGTTTTTGTGTTTGTTTTATTAAGATCTTTTTCTTTTACTTTGCTTGATAGAAAAATGTTATCACTACTTTGTGCTTACAGAACTTACTGAAGAAATGGTGCGCGTGCTGCAAGTTAACGGTCGTCTTCGATTAATCGAAGTAAAAGTGCCTGATGTGCCATCCATGGCGACGTGTGCGAGCCTCCAGCCGACGAATCGTGAGTACACGTTCTTAATTATTCATCCCTTTATTGTTCCGCGGCGAAATTTCATGCATTCGTAAATTCACCGCGTGCCTCTTCGCTTCAATCGCCATCATTTGCCCATAGCTGCATAAAGCAACAATGAGACAATGGCCATTATGGGAACGACACACGACACCCAATTATAATTCGACCAGGATAAACATACAGTCTTCCAATAAATATTGTATGACTCGTAGGTATATCGTGCTGTTGTTGGTTGATGTAGCGTGCATGTTCATGCGAAATGTTAATGCTGTTTGATTGCGAGTACGAGTACGAGTATATTAATTACTGCACAGAAATGGAAAGTATTGCAATTATCGACATGGCGATCAATCACAGCTGGCGAGCTGACAAATGGACGAGTACAAATTGGCATGCCGCGATGCTGCGAATCAAAAACAACAAACACTCGCCACGTAAATTCATAGCTATGCTGCTGTGTATTGGTTAGAAATAATTTATGATTTAATTGATCATAATCAAACCGATGGAAATTTGTATTGCATATTGAATATTGTGTATCTTGCGGTTGGTGCGGTTTCTGGAATGCTGCGTCATTGAAAAATCGGTATAAATAGATATAATGCAGTGTAATAAGCAAAATTTGATGTATAAATAGTTTGCATTCGGCAAAATATCAACGCGTAGACTCGTAAACAATGCAGAATGCGATGGGGTTAAAAATAACGTGTGTTGTGGTTTATTTTCGGTCATTGTCATCCTCCAGAGACGAAAACCTTGGTAAAATTTTAAGAAAATTTAATTTTAGGGATGTTAAATACTAAAACAAAGGTAAAACGAGCTCAAAACATTTTTTGAACGTATTTTATTGTTAGATAAAACAAAATTCTTTTGAAAATGATTGCTTGTGAGGGATTTGCACATGATATTGAGGAAGAAACATGAACAGTCTGAGAGGCGCGCGCAGAAAACAATAAATTCGGAATTAAACGCGCTTAGCGCGCTCGTAAAGCGCTGATTTAGATAAAGATAGGCGCGCCATGCGTTTACACTTTACACACGTATATGTAGGTGGACGGTGGACGGTTCGTATAATATTCAACAAATTATAGCCGCTCGCACTAAGCACAGGCGGTGACACGATGACAATTAATTTATGCGGAAGTCGCGACTGGCGCGCGCGCTCGTTTTATTTTGCAATCATTTTATTTATCTGCGCTAAGAATGAAGGTTGCGAGCGTATTCACCTTTCTCGCAGCCTTTGATACTAATATTATAATATATATATTGCAATCAGTTTAACGGTTTTACACGCTGTAAGTAATATTATTGCACTTGAAAAATTATTCACCCTAATCAATTTATTTCGGATTGTATTCTCGCGTGGTGTGATAAAAGTTATTCGTTTTTATTCAAATGTGGGGTGTAGGTACTTGAATGTCGCATTTAGCTAGAGTCGTATATCACACGCGAGCGTTTGTAGTGTGTGGGTATCATCCCCTAATTGGTGGGGCTGTGCGGTCAATTAAGCAACCCTCTTTTGTGTACTGGCGCGATGATGACCCCTATGGGGATGCGCGGCGCACGCACACCTTTCCTCTGTTAACTTTTAAAGTTGTAGTGATGTAAAAAAATTATTTAAATAAGTGGTTTAAGGGGATGGTTTTGATCTACGCGTGACCCGTATGCACGCGCAAATCTCCTCGTCTGTTCAGTGTCCAGATGACGCGCTGGAATGATTTTTATGTCCATGCATCGTTGCGCATCCCTTGAGTCTTCCATTTCTAGTTTAAGTGGGTTTTAATTTGCCAACAATGCCCACTTGTGTGAGTATTGTAGGCATGTGACGTGCGGCATATTGCAACTCTCAATAAACATACTGGTAGAGCACGCGACTGTTTATTTTTTCACTGCTGACAGAAGACACGAGCTCGTGATGGGGTCAGTATTTTATGAATGCGAATTAGGGTGTCTTGACTACCCCAATTTGACGATTTATATATTGTAATATTTGATGCTTGGAGAGCAACCAGCATTTTTCATGAGAAAATTCGCGCAACGTATTTATCAACATTAATTGCCATTATACGATCTGATAGTATTGTGAAAAGCTTGGGAACCATTAAAAGAAATGGAAAAGTTAAGGGTGAGATTTATAGGGAGAGAAATTAATTTTAACATGTGTTTGGGTGCTTTCTTTTTTGCAAACGAAAAAGTTTGAAGACAAAAAATGTTTATTTACCAGAAATAACGCGACATCTCAATTATTTTCAAGTTTTTTGGCCCCTGGATTAGAAAAAAACATTAAATAAAGCGGAAATTAGTTAGAAAATCTAATAAACAATCTTCAAAACCTTCTACTTACTAATTTTCAGTCTAAATATTGTAGAAACTACTTTAAATTACAAAATCTTGATTATTTCGTTAGATTTTTATTCTCGTCAGTTATAAAAACGTATTTTTTCATAGTTTAAACATGTAACGTATGTTTCTCTTTGTGGGGGACTTATCACACCCTAATAATAAGTGAACCGTGCGTTCCATGCGCAGATATGAATACTCCTATGCTCGTGTACTACTCAAATAATATTCAGACTCACTCTTTATACTTCCACTAAATTCATTCACTTGTGTGTGTCCTATGTGCTTACCAGTCAGATACAAAGTGATGCAGCTTTAAACTCTCGGAGCATAATTTTATTAATACTCTGAGTATTGATTGGAACACCATGTGTGCGTACGGATAAGTGTTGAATTGCAATGCGGGCTGCACCTACCTCACCTCGCCGCATCCAAAGGTGCATGGCATGCATGCATGCGTTTTTATCGCCGGCTGGGCGTCGTATTCGTAGGCTTGGATGGAATACGAAAACACACACACACACACGCATACAGCTTATTTACATTTTTCATTCGTTTATGTTTCGCCGCGACCCCGAGCGGTTTCCGATCGCGCGCTGAGCCCTGACCCCGGCGAGTAATCGTACGCCGCCTTTATTATCTATTTTTATCTAGGTATTACCTACCTTATTGGTTATCAATGCGCATTTGCATGTGAATTCATATTTATAGATTTTGTTGAATGCGTTTGTTGGCTAATCAAAGCGGCGATTGTGGTGTGATTGGCATGTTTACAATGGGGGTTGATTTTTGGACGTTTTCGGGGGTTTTCGATGCGTTTTTTCGAGGATTTAATGGTGATACCAGTGACTGGTAACGATTATTCAATGACCCACGTCGTGTCACACCCTCTAGGGCACTGAGGGCACTCGAGAAATGTACAAGGGGACTAAACGGGTGCAAATACCGGAAATACGGGCGCGTAATGCCCCCTATGCGTCAAGAATCAGTGGGAAAATCAAACTATCAATTACGAGCACAGTCGACGAGTTTTGAAAATTTTTATCAATATATTTTTAGCTTTTACAGTCTGCTATTTTTGTGATTGTGTATGTAACGATAATCGCTGTTTACATTCGACGTGCGCTTTTGTACTTTCGACACAACCGGATGTCGGATATAGAGTCGAGGAAACCGGAAGGGTCGCCCCATAAGCGGGCGATAATGGCTCGAACGAAGTACAGTCGTTTGACAAACAACTCGCGCGGCTAATCATAAATGTAATGCGCATTTTTCTGTTTTTCGCTACGCGGTAGCGTAGGTGGTGCTCACGCATTTTGTTATCAACCTTTTAAAATATTATCAATTTCCTATAGTATACACATGTTTATCAACGCGGTGCAGGCAACAGTCGCGCGGGAAAGTTAATTGTTAATAAATTAACATAATTTATATACAGTAATAGCTTCCTTTTCATTTTGTTTCGTAAACAAGTTAATAGTTGATAAGACTCGATGGATTTTTTATTCTTTTCTTCGCGTTTTTTTTTCTGATTGAGTTCAAGTTGTTGGCGATGGCGCCACGAGAAAGTGAAAGCACTTTCTTGCGCAGTTGTTTCGGCACGCATATGCAACTCAACTCGCCAGGCATCCGGAGTTTTTAAGCATTTTTCGTCATTAAAAGGTACTTCTTGTGTGTGATTTATCATTTCGCTTGCAACTTTCCAACTTTTCTGGCGGGCTTTCTCGCCCGCAACAGAGACGTTTATTGATGCCTTTGATTATCGTTATTTATCGAAGGCGCATTGTGTGTTTGCTCAAAGTTTCGATTTCAGTTCGCTCGGCTCGGCGTCGTCGTTCTCGACGTTTACTTAGATAAGGATTATAAAATGTGTCTGCATTGTACGTGCGCAAGAGAGAATGAAATTGGATAGGCGTTTACGAATTGTCTACAGATATGGATATCTTTATGAATATTGCTCGCGTTGTAACATAAAATAGTTTTACTTTTCGTATTCACCAGATTGTAAAGCTACATTTGTGAGAAATAATCGAATATTGTCGTCATTTGTAACTTTCAATTAGATTCAATGCGTATTTTTATATTGGACAGGAAACAGGAACCGAAAAATGTGGTACAGTTACAAATTGAATTTCGAGAGCGCCAGGACAATGACAATGACACTAGAGATGACCAAAATAATATACGCGTGTGGGCACAAAACATTTAACTTAATAATATACAGTCGATTGTTGTTGCTGTTGTTGTCGGTGCGCCGTGGTTGAATTAATATATTTATATGTGATGACACTGCTGCCGGTGCTGTCATTGTAAAAGTTTCGAAAGTTTTTAAAGTGATCCAAAAAGCGTGGAAACTCCAACTCTCTCGACGCGCCACCACAACCAGATGATGAGTTTGGTGTCTGAATCGTTTTGTACGGATTTGCGCCACGCGCACAGCACCAGCAGCTCATATGCGGCTGTGACGGTAATTAGAGCAAAATGAATGACCCGCAATGACTTTCATCTCTTTTGTGCATTTACGCGCGTTTTGTTTGTGCTCACAAAACAGATTATTCGTCATTGTATGTATGTTATCTGTGAATTTCAAGCCAACGCAAACACAGCACGGGACGCGTTGAAAATTAATTAATTTTTGATATAAAAAT